ATAAGTCCCAGGACAATTCTATTAAAAAAAATTATTTCAAATTTATAAATAAAAGTAAATAGGCATTGGATCAGGTCTAAATAGTTCCGTTTTTTTTAAAATAAACGTGTCATCTTCAAATCTATACAAATAAATAAAATTGAAGTGTCTGTTTGTAATGTCAATGGTTTTTTTCATGCTCACACGGGAAATTGCACGATACTTAAGCCTAAAAACCAGTTGTCTGTCTGTCTGTTCCGGGTAATCTTCTAAACGTCTGGACCAATTTTGATAATATTTTACTACCAGGTAGCTATACAGCTATATATATATATATATATATATATATATCTATATAAGGAGTAAATTAGGCTGTTTTCCCTCTCAGAAAAATGCTATTAAATTTTGCCCGGTCCGGGTATCGAACCTACTAAGGCAATGCTTTTCAAATTCGCAGGTCCGCCTCACGAAGTTGCGGGTACCAGCTAGTACTCTAATATGTATCGAGTTTGAGAAGGATCGCCATGTACTAGGAAAGCCCATGATGCTAAATGGAGAGTTACTCGAGCGTCATGGGGACCTATTGCATTTGAAAGATAATAGAATGAATATAAGCCATATAATCTTTCTACTTTCAGTGGTGGGAAAAACTTACACAGGTTTTCTTACTTACTTACTTACTACACAGGACGAAATAGAAAAAAAACAAAATTCGAGCACATCGAAAAATTTGGGGGATATGTTATTTGGATGCCAAAAATGCTTCCTTAGAAAGGTCTGACAATTTTAGTGACACAAGCTGAAAGTGAATTATCGAAAATGCAAACTACAAATTCGAAAAAACGCCATTTCGAAATACCTGAGCGTGTTATATTTTATACAGACGGTTCAGCTTGACGTTCCTCTCATACTAGCCAAAAATCTGACGATAATTTTGCAGGGTATTTTAATTCTGATGGTTTGAAATAAATTAATTGTTGCTTTTTTATAAAATGTGACAAATAAAGGCACGAAAACTTAAAAAGACATTTAAAAAGGTTTCTTTCATTGTTTGCTTCAAAATAAAATGTCAAGGTCATGTATGTTTTTTTAGAATTTAGTGACCCTCCCACTGCTTTATATCACGTTCAAATCGTCAGATATTTTGTTTTGAGTAAATTCCGAACTCCCTTCGAGGGCTCCCCTGCTATACTTAGCCCTTCTAAAAGAACAATTTTTAACTCTGACTCATCCAAGAGAGTAAAGTTCAATTATTGGACGTGGAACGAGAAACTACTTATCAAATGACATGTGGAAATTGTAGTCACAGATCACCAAAAACTCTTTTTTATCTTCGCAATCTATCGAGAATCCGGGGACGAAAGAAATCCGAACTTTCGAAGTATTTTATTGTTGGAAGAGACTTTTAAACTAGATTTCTTGCTCTAAATATGAAGGACTTTGAGAGACACTCTCAGTGGTTTATTTAAAGTCGATAATTTATAACTTTTTTTCTGGATATTGAATTTTTTGGCGTCTCACGAAAACATTTATCAAAAGTTGAATTTAACGTAATTGTTGTTCTACTTCTACATATATTCGCTAACATATTTATACAATACTAGAAATCGTCTGGCTGTCGAATATCAACCGTGGACATCTTGTTTGATTTGAAGATCCAGTATAACTGGAATTGTCGTAATATAGCTTTTGTATCATGACAGGTCAAAATATATCCTTTAGACCAATATTTTAGTGTAGCCGTTTTTAGTTATTAACCTTATGACTTAAAAGCTTTGTACCCCACAAAGATTTTTCTTCAGTTATAAGTATCGTATTTATACGTGATGAAAAATCTCACAAAACTCAAACAACAAACTCACTTTCACATTTATAACAGAAGTATGAAAGTATTTTCATACTTCTGTTATAAATGTGACAGTGAGTTTGTTTGTGTGTCTGTTAGTTTGTTACGCTTTCACGCCTAAACCACTAAACCGATTTTAAAAATTCTTTCGCCAATGGAAAGCTACATTATCAGCTAGTAACATAGCCAACTTTTTTATCGCGCTAACCGCGGGCAAAAGCTAGTAAGAAAACAAAGAAAATAAAGTGTCTTAAAGCCATCTTTAGTTACTCAAGACCACCGTCAGCTATAAAACGTAAAGTAACTAAACCTCGTGCTATCTAATACTCCTGTGGAAATATTCAAAGTATGTGGAGTAACTACATCACGTAAAGCCACCAGTATCATCTAAAACCTTACTAATACACTGGTTTAAGTAAACAAGATTTTCAAACATAGTTGTTTAAACAAGTTATGGTAAAAGCACCAAATAAAAGCACGTTGGGAGGCGAAAGTTTCTGCTAAATGTGAGGTTTCACCTTCAAGTTTCCTTTGTTTGACTTCTACGTCTTATTTACGAGGAGATAATAATCTTCTACCGACGTATTTACTTTCTTTGTTTCATAATATATCCTACCTTAGCAACAGTTGCCCTAAATATGACCGTTTTATTTCGTGCTTCTTTGTAATATAGGGAACCTGACGAGTATCGCTTACTTCTTGGGTTATATTAGGCGGCTTTTTCTTTCGTGATGTAATCCGTTTGTGGAAACAACGTGTGTTCAAAATTAATAGCTGTTAATTGTCTGTAATTATGTCAAAGAAACACATTTATAAGGTTTTTCGTTGCGCCGTCCACCTCACTATTGGTCAACTCATATTTAGCGAATCTTTATCTTGAATACTTTTATATTGCAGTATAAAATACTAACTTAATGCTATTTAAATATTGCTGAAAATCATAGTATTCCAACGCGCGACCAACCACAGCCTCCTCGTGAGCCACTAGCGTTCGAAATTGCCAACGTTTATGGCGAAGATAAGCTCTGTAGTGTAGTGCATGTACAAACACACACACATAATAGCTCTAAAACTGCAATATCTCAATTAGATGTTCTTTTTAAAGTTATAACAAATGTGTTTCTTTATTCCCTGAATGATCCACTAGCTTAATGCGAGAAATTTTTGCCCGAAATTCCTCTATTGCACGATCATATGCGCGAATTTTGACGTGCATTAAGCTAGGCCTGAGATGTAGCAAAGAACGTGCTCGAGCATGATTGCGCATTTATGCACTCAATCTAAACTGAACCTAAAAGCCTCTTTCGAGCTAGCTAAAAAATACTGAAGTCAACTGACGCCATGACTTTTTTACTCGATATCACTCACAAAATATTGGCATACCAGGTGAAACCTTTGCCTTTGTCTCATCAAATGATTGAATAATATTTAACATTAATAACTAGGAACGGAGATAGGCATTGCCTCAAGCCTATTATGGTAGTTATTTCAACTTTACAATGATGTCGTACCTAAAAAGTAACACAGCCTTTTACTTTAATCTTTATACAGTACTAATAAGTTTAAGAACTAAAATCTCCACCTTCTAAGCTGTAAGCGCTCATACGTAATTTTATTGCTACCAACTGCGATCAAACGATCAAGGATTACTACTATCTTCATTGCTCCAGCCAAGAAAATAGCACTGTGTAGTGTATGACAATGCAAAATTTAAGTAACTACTAGAAATTCTGTTTTATAATATTTAAAAGAATAAGAAGTATCTAGTACTTACTGTTTAATGAATCATGGTATGAGCATTAGAGCAAATCTTCCAATTTGTCACGGACGTAAAAAATATTCTTATTTTTTTGTATATTTACCGAAATTTCCATCAATTGCGAACTTGGAAACACTTTTTTGTTCTTCTTTTTTGTGTACTTTGGGAAGGTGGTCCCACAGTCAGCAAATGCAGGTCTGATGATAGAATGAAAAAGAGGAAACTCTCCGAAATCAGAAGCACAAATAGTGTTATTTTTGCATTTTATGAAAAGCGATCACCATTGGTGTTGAATGTTATTTTTAACAAATTTAAAGAAAGGACGAATGAGAATGTCTGGATTTACAAGCCAATGGAGATATGCAGCCATCGCGGAAAATGCTGTATCGCGATACATTTACTATTTTCTGTTTACCTTCAAGTAAACTGTATATTTTGCTGTTCTACTCATGATGCAAATGAAATTAGTACCTAAAATGGTATTAATATGTTATTAAATTGCTTACTCCGAATTTGTTGATAATTTAATTAGTAAAGTTACCCAAACAAGCTCATAATTTTTTCATCTTATCTTATTAAAATCTAAAGTAATCACTTAAGGTTCTAACTACTATCGCTCGACACCTTGATTACTTACATACTTAACGCTAAGTTATGTACTAACCACCGTATTACTTTATAAAATGTTTTTTAGTCGGTTTTTTTGTGAACAGTCTATTAATTTCTGCACTAGATTTTACTTCAAAAGTCATAAAATATAAAAATAAATGCAATAAGTATATTAAATTGTATAAGGACATTTAATACACTTACAAATTCTCCTTCGGGGATATAGACAAGAATTCATTCAAATGTTAATTTTTTATTTTATTCGATTGCATTTATTGAGGAGAAAAAATATATTTAAATTACATCCAAATATGAGTATTTATTTAACGCCGTATCATAACATCTAGAAGCTCTAGATTCAATCAGGGCCTCAATTCTGCTATTTTATGTTCACGCCAAGCCATTGTCATACCACTAACACGCTATTGAGATGCCATCGAGTGACTATTGGCATCGGTACAAATATCGGTAGTCTACACTAACTCAGTGTCTTTACAGTGGTGATGGAATGGCAGTGGCTCATCAGTTTCATCAGTTTCATCCTCAACAGCCTTTAATAGTCTACTACTGGATATAGGCTTTTGAAAGTCGAGTTCGTATAGGGTTGTGTCAAGATTGCCTACTCTTCGTTACGTATTTACATTTTCAAAATTTCAAAAATGCACAAAAAAGAGGAATTGAAAAATAGAAACACTCACCCTCCTGTACAATATGTTATGGCAGTTGTTCCTAAGTTAATTTTGTCTTAAGAACTTTTTATAATAATCACTAATGTTGATTTTTTTTTCATCTTTTACAGGCCTCAAAATGTACGGCCTACTCCTGGAGAACATGGCGGAGTACATCCGGCAGACCTACGGAGAAGAAAGATGGGAAGACATCAGAAGGCAAGCTGGCGTAGAACAGCCATCCTTTTCAGTTCATCAAGTATATCCCGAAAATCTCATCACCAGATTAGCTAAGAAGGCACAAGAGGTACGCAGAAAATTAACTATAATTTAGGTACTTACCGAACGGCTCATCCGAAAAGTATTTATTTAAATACTAGCTTTTAACCGTAATTAGACTAATTAGATTTTACACTTCTATCGATAGGTGTGATCGACTATGTTTTCTGAATGAAAATATACGATACCTTTGCCCTTTTCTGTTACATTGAAAACTTGTAAGCAAACATTCTACGACAATTATTTGAGCAGTTAAGACGTTAAAGCGGAATAAACAACCAAACTCACATCGCATTTATTATTTTAGATCGGGTATCTTAATAACTTTCAAAAGAGCGTAATAACTTGTAACAAAATCTTTATTTCATTCCACACAAGTTACACTGCAAATAATAAAAGAATATACTTCAAGTCTATTTTATACTACATAATATAAAATACTGGAAAATAAATTAGACCTCCTGCGGGTAAATACCTCCTTCAAGGCAAGGCAAACATCTCTGTTTTTAGCTGTGGATAGCTAATTTCGACCGGCCGTCTTTCCTATTTCATCCGCCCATCGAGCGTCGGATCAGCCAGTCAGATATAAAGTTCATTAGTTGATACAAACCTTTAACTTGTTATTTTTGTATTACAAATGTACACTATTTTGTACGGCCTGATTTCTACTCGAATTTTAATATACTAGAGATCGATTTATGGTCTAATTTTAAACGAGCCTGTTTTATATCATTGACATCAAAGTAGTACATTGGTTCAAAAGTTTATACAATAACAGTTTAACTTATACTGGATAACTTAAACTGTTATTGTGTAACTTTTGTACCATGATAGACCCCTTTTAACTTTGGAGCACAAACTGTTTAAAAAAGTTGTGTTAGCTTTTTGCACTTATTTATCTTTACAGAGTCTTTAAACATTTATCTTTAAAGTCGCTTTTTCTCTTAAAGTAAGTATAGTACATGCATATTATAAAAGAGATAATCCGAGAATTTCAAAGATTTGTTCAGCATAGCGAAGCCTCCTTTCTAAGGAGAGGCCTGTGCCCAGCAGTGGACTATTATAGGCTGTTGATGTGATGTTGATGTGTTCAGCATATTATTAAAATGAATATTTTAGAAAATAATAGAGGTTTAAAATGCGGGGGCCCTACGACCGTCGACCGTCTCGAGTCGCAGCGTCCAGCAGGATCGGAGCGGGCCTATAAGTATTGCATTTAAAGATGTCCTGTAGTATAGTCCTATCAAAATAATAACTATTATTAATAAGTAATTAATTATACTTAATTAATTACTGCACTCTTATACCACATTAGTAGTATCTACATTGCACCCGTGCTTAGCCGGGGCAGATCGCTAGTCTGCATATAAAGTATTTAAAAAATCATGTTTCCGTGCGCTATATTAAAATTTGTTTAAAAAGGAGAACGAAGATTCTTTTCGCGTTTTAATACATAGAGATGTATAATAATTACTTCGTACGACTATTGTCACCAATAGATAGTATTTTTAAATATAAATAAACCCCTTTTTTGCTGCTGAATAACATGAAACCTCACACATCTCACACACTGTCGTTTGATCTCAAACTAGGTAAAGACTGTAACTGGTGACTGATAAACCTAGTTTATTTTTTCTAAATACTTATATATTATTGACTAGCTGACCCGCGCCATTTTGTCTCAAAAGGAATAATTTCCCCGTTTCGCGACATTTTTCATTGATACTCGACACCCATTGGTCGTAGCATGATGCAATATGGAATATTCCTTGATAAATGGGCTATACCTATCAGTATATATCTAACACTAAAATAATTTCTAAATTCGAACAAGTAGTTCTTGAGATTTTCACGACCATACAAACTTTACCTCTTTATAATCTTATATTCGTATAGATATTTTACACCCAGACACAGAACAACAAATGATTGTTGCTCACCACACACTTACTTGTGCTAGGCAGGAATCGAACCCACGACCTTCGGGACCACGAGACTAAAAGCCCATTTTTTTTTTCATAAGTAAAATAACAACATCAAAATACTGTTCAAAAGTTTGGGAACAATTTACACATGAATTACGGCCATGTTTATCTTGTGAATAATTCTCGTTATGAAACTTTGTCTTTACAATTTTATTACCAGCCATTATGTCCTTGCAGTATAATATTAAACCCTTACTTCCTATGAATTAAATACAAAATGGCGTTATTATAACAGAGTCGAATTAATCTACAAAAATATTAATAGGTAACTCAAATCATTTGGTTGATTTAAAAATAAAATACCGCAGCATATTCAATGGCATTGACAAATTTATTATTATTTATGTATTTCGTTCGTTATAAATTATAAGTCTTTGATGTGTGAAGCCATTGATTTGTCGTGTTCTTATGACCTCTTAACGTGGCAGTTGTGAATGAAATTTTTCATTTATATTAGCCAATAATTCATTAGCTTATGCTACAAGCAGGACGAAATGCTATTCTATTTCAACTATTTGCTTTAAATTTACTTACTTCACCGCCTGTGTTAGACATGCGTATCCAAAACAAGAAGATAAACAAGCGAAAAAAGCAGAAACGAACCCGTTTCTGTTTTTTTTAAGAGTTTTCTTAGTCCAATGGATTATTCAGGTGTAGATAATGCTATTCTCTGCGACTTTTAAATAGAGCACATTGATTGATTTGAATTTGAATGATGTTCTAAATATAACTGCAATTGACTGCACGGATGGCCTAGTGGTTTAAGCGGTCGCCATCCGCTTACTACTACGCTGAGTGTTGTGGGTCCGATCCCCACATGGGATGACACTTTGTGTGATCCACAAATTGTTGTTCTGAGTCTGGGTGTCCTTGTGTCCGTTTCATGTATGTTTGTAACGTCCCCCGCGACACAGGATTTATTTCTAGTGCGGGAGTTGTCCTTTTTTAAATAAAAATAACAAAAATGTAGATATTGCCAATGATCTTCATGAATCCAAGTTAAATACGATAACCGTAATAATTCATTAAGTGTGCCTTTTCATCTTATTTTACGGCATCTTAAAAAGAAGAATGTGAGACAACTTAACATAATAATATAAATAAATAATTTGAGGTTCAATTAAAACAGATTTCAATATTTTGTCAAGATCACTCAATAAACTTTATCACGTTTATACGTCAACTTAAATTTAGTAAAAAACATTTCCCCTCTAGGCCTTCCTTTCCATTTACCAAGCATTATCAAATTATATTGACATTAAACTTGGTGAGTCCATATTTTAATATGTATTATTACCGCAAAACTTGGCTGAAGGATAGTCCGAAAGAACCGTCAAATTTTCAAAGGGTTTTTTTTAAAGAACAATAGTAAATTAAAAGTAAATTCATTCATTCATTCAATGTCATTCATAGGAAACTTATTCTATTAAAAATATAAGTTTCTTAAAAGTATCATCTAAGTCAGTAAGACCTAAGGAAAATCTTATAAGCTTATTTGATTTTTTAATTTCCCTTATTAGTTTAGTGTTACCAACTTACAGGCATTCTTTAAAGTAGTGGATAAACTGTCCAATAAATTGTTTTAATATGGTAATCAACTATGTTTTATAATTGTAAGTACTAAATCAATAAAGAATATAGTTAGTGGTACATTATTAAATGAATAATCTTATTTGGCAATAATTCCATATCCAGCCACAACCAACCACCAGACCAAACGAATAAATGTATGTAAAAGCAAGGCTCTCATAGGGTTATGAGATAATAAATAATTAAACTACTCCTTGAATACGTCCTCATTATGATACTTATTATTCCTTATCTCGTTAATTAAGTTCTTCAATATTTATATTAAGATTTAAAAAGGCAAGCAAAGGAGACACAGGCAGTCAAACTGTAGAAAACAGATCTTATATTCTGTTCTTTATAACATGATTAGAAAACTCGAGTTTCTGATATTTTCTACGTTATATATTTATAAAATAACATATTACTCGATAATATTTATTACTGCTAATGTGCACGTAAAAGGATACTATTTTTCATTTAATTACTAAGGTATTTAAAACCTACATTTAAGAATTAAATAAACTTGCAAACACAATACAGAGTAGGTCCGCATGTATAGAAAAGTAGGTATGTGGGTGGGTTATGTAACTTTACTAAGTAGGTCTGCTCTTAATAAACTTATATCAGCTTCCACTCCTTTTCGTTGTAGCCATGCCACTAAATAACCTCTTCCTTTTGTCTGAAGTCGCTTTAAAATTATTAAGCACTTCTATTGCACTTCTTGCATGTATACATCAAATTGAGTTATACTCGTATAAGAATGAATTATACGAGTATTACTCGTATGTACTAAAGAAACCAAGCTAATAAAAGCGTGTTCTTTAAACACACCTTACTTACATTTACCTTTAAATACTAATATACTATTTCATATTATGTGTCATTGGCCCATTAGCTCAGTTGGTTAGAGCGTCGTGCTAATAACGCGAAGGTCGCGGGTTCGATCCCCTCATGGGCCACTTTTTTTCTTTGCCAAATTCAAATAACACCAATCATTTTTGCCAAATTCAAATAATGTCAAAATATTGTATGTGGTATAATTTATATTTTTCATATTAATATTGTACATTACTTATTTTTAATTAGTTCATAAAAGCGTGGTAATAATTATTATGCAATAAAATAGATTTGTAAATTATGTAATTACCATACATAACACCTATATAGACATTGACTTAACAAAAACTTAAACAAAAAAAGAAATTTATAATACGACAATTAAAACATTATTTTTATTTTAAGCTACTACAAAAATATTTCTGCAAAATGAAAAAACAAAAAGATAATTTGGAGATGCTGGGATTTGAACCCAGAACTTTCAGCATGCGAAGCAGACACTCTACCACTGAGTTACATCCCCGACAAGCATATTGCCGAAATTATGTATTAGATTCAATGATAAATATTTTATGAATCTAAATATTTAGGAATAAAATTTGATAATGTTCGGTTGTATTTTAAAATTGCAATGCTGTACCGATCATCGTCAAATTTTTCATATCTGTTGCATGTGATACAGGGAAGTGCATAGGGTAAATTTCATCTAGAAAATAGTACTTACTGCTCGCGAGGGATAGAAAACATTGCCTTTGCGAAAACGAAGTCACAGGCAAAACTGATATAAAATATATTTATATACCTATATAACAATGATATAAAAACATAACTATGTTCTACCTAGTACATGTTTAACTTAACTTAAACTTTAAGAAAATCTTTGAGTAGACCTTTGTTCAGTCAAGAACATTCTATACCTAAAGCATTAATATTTTTATAATCAAAATTGAGCCAAATCCGTGATGATATAAAATATATGTAAATGTGTATAATTACACTTATTTTGACAAATTGCTATAAAACTCCTAAAAGGCGTTCTCTTTTACAGGTTCTTGGCATTTCAGAACGAGAATTTATGGATCAAATGGGAGTATATTTCGTCGGATTCGTGTCACAGTATGGTTATGACCGGGTCCTGTCAGTACTTGGGCGACATATGAGAGATTTCCTCAACGGATTGGACAATCTACACGAGTATTTGAAATTTAGTTACCCTCGAATGAGAGCACCGAGTTTTATATGTGAAAATGAAACCAGGCAAGGACTGACGTTACATTATAGGTCCAAAAGGAGAGGTTTTGTTTATTATGCCATGGGACAGATACGAGAGGTAAGTGTTGAACTTAGTATAATATGCTTCGTCGTATACAGGCCCAACTTGACGGGGAAACCACGGTTTCACAGAAAATGAGAAGCGATTCTTTATTTGTTGTTGATTAGTAAGGAGACAGAACAGAGAATAAAGGTGTTATGGTCTGTTATTCTTCGTTCTGTGAGTGACGTTACGGAAGGACATAAGCCCTTAAACTCTTGGCTCAAAAACGTTAACGTACTTATGCACCAAATACTTACGTATAATCAGTTTTGCATACCATTAGAAATATCTGTTTTTTTTTTAGTTTTCATTAAATATTATATGTATTTCCTAAGACTCCCTATGGGAAGAAACACCTAAACAAACCACAGAGATCCGTACATAACTTATTTTGTGTACTTGCTTAGACTGCGGATTGCATTTCAAGTTTTTGCGTACTTTTTTATTGAAAAATAATGTTAGTTGACGGTGAAGATTGAATTGGTACACTTACTTTTTAATTTTCGGGTGAGATGATATAAAAGACCTATTTCTTCGGGTTCCATGAATTCACCGCGCGGGTGCCGGGTCCATCGCGTGATAGATGGGGGCAACATTTGCGACATCGACAGCGCCAGGGACTTGCGACCCAGGTATAGGACCCAAGTTTAGGAAGTACTTCCTAAACCGCTGCTCACCTCCACTGTCTGCTGTGTTACCCCCTCTACCTAACCACATTTGATACGAGCCTAGCAATTCCGCTTTCCATATTCGTTAAATAAAAGAGCTTACTGAAGCTTTTGGCATTCCAAGCTTTTAGCTTTTTTCCAAGAATTTAGCTGGTATACCCACTTCCACGGCATACAACACAACGATATAACCATTGTTAGTTATTCTGTTAGTTAAGTCATAGTACTTGTTTCTTTTTAAAGCGTGGTCATTAGGGATGTTCGTTTCCTACGGCAGCGTGAGTTCTACTAGTACTAGTCGCTTAATTGAAATTGCATGAAGAAATATGTCTGTTCTGGACGCCGGGTCAAAGATATCCTCCGGTATTCTGTAATGATTTTAATACGTGTCCACTAATAATGTCCAGTCACTGGCGGTATTTATAATTGAGTACGGCTTTTGTGAAGTCTTTTTTGGTGAGCCATCCTTTACAAACGCGATGTTATTTCTTATCTTTGTTGTCATTCGTTTTTTCGCTTTCGCCAGCGATAAACATATAGCTTCGAGTATGATTTGTAATACCCCCCCGGTCTAATGGCGCCTTACAATCTGTCAATCGAAATGTAGGACAAACAAGCAGAAAACATCCTTTTTTTTTCCGTGCGGATATCCCCTCGGATACCACCTCGGTGGCATGTCGGACTCGAACCGACTAAAACCGCACAGCGTCTCGGGTACTAATAGCCAGGGAACCAGGTATACCCTAGAAAGGAAGTCCCTGGTGCCCCGACATACCTCGGGGCATCTGCAGACGAGTAGACAACCCCCGCCCCCCCGTGTGAGAACCCCAAGTTCCCTCTGCTCCCTGGAAGCGAGCGCGCTTCGCAACGCGCTCGCCGCCACCCCGGCCTGCTTCTGCTAGGGTGACAGATGGCCTCACCTGTCACCCCCAGGCCTGCGCTTATGGAGGACGGAGGACGTTCTGCGACCTCCGGCGCTTCAGTAAGTGCCTGGCTGTACCTATTTCCGCACTGCACATGATACAAGTCTTTTCTGTAGCTTTTCCCCACTTTACTAGGTTGCTTTGATCGGGGAGAGTCAGTTGAAATGCGTTGAGGTAAAATTTTAACAGTGGGATACAAAATTCTCCTATAGTTAACCATTCATTCTGCATTTCTAGGTTCATTGCACCTTGTAGGTCTCGTTTTCATCTTGTAGTAGGAAAGATTTTATCTCTTTGTCGGTCTGTCTTCTAGCTGTCTTCTGTCTTCTAGCGTACCCACCATGAATTTCTGGTGGAAATGGAGCCGTGACTTGAGCTCTGATGACTTTTTGTCTATTATTAGCTAGGTACTTATGGGCAATCATGCATTCAAGAGATGAAGTGCAAACTGATTCAAACGTCAGGCAAATTCAGAGGTAGTAAAACCTCTTAAACACGTTATTCTCGTTAGTTATAATGATATAGAAATAGTATACGCCTATCTAAAAGAAACCTATTCATATTTACTGTATTCTTCAATAAGTAATAATAACTTCACACACTCACACACGGTAATATGATCCCAAACTAGGGACTGTACTATGGTAACACAGACTGCTGATAAACAAATGATCAATGCTCCATGACTATATTTCTATAGTTATCTATTTATCTATTTTTTATTTTTTTCTTTCAATATTACGGGCCTGTTGGTTTAGTGACCCTGACTGCTAAGCCGGAGGTGGTGGGTTTGATTCCTACCCAAGACAAATAATTGTGTGATGAACACGATAATTCGACATTTTTAAATATATTACAAAGAAAAATACTTTTAAAAATATAAAAAGTAGTAGACCACCGACATCGGGTACGACTCCTGAGATAAATGCAAATATTTGTTTGTTTTCTTTTTCAACTTTCACGAGATTCTTGTCATGAGAAACGGCTGCTCCGTGTGAACGGCGATATCAACAATCATTGCGCGACGCTCTAATAGATCTATCATCACAATATCAGGCTTATCTGCACAATAATTTTAAAAATAGTCTACAATAGTATTACTTTTAACAATAGTCCTGTCTGTGATAATAGATTGATCCCAATACAACGTGGCCCGACCATTCTCGAGAACTGGGGCGGGCACATGCCTGTAATATGGCACCTCTAGATTCACATGTTTGTATTTAAGGGCAAGCTGTTGTTATTTATTATTGTTATTATTATATGTACCTGTTTATTTAATTTCATTTTATGCTTCACTGTCGATGAAAAGAAAAGCTGTCACAACAAACAAAACCTACTCGTTATACATTTGATTTGGCAGATTAGTATACCTTTTTTTTTCCGTGCGGAAATCACACCCCAGGCCTGCGCTTATGGAGGACGGAGGTCGTTCTGCGACCTCCGGTGCTTGAGTCGCCTGCGGTACCTGGCCCGTTCCCGGGCCTGGCGGGCCGGGAGAGTCCTAAACCTCTCCCGGTCCCGCTCCGCCGTCTCCTTCGCGAGCATAACTTGCTCGCAGAAGGAGACGGCAGAGTTCCACGCACTCTCGCTCCGCACGATAGCCGCAATCAGGCTATCGAGTGAGAGAACTCCCACTCCGATGGCCGCCACGAGGTCTCGCCTCTGACGCCTCTCGAGCCAATCCTCCATAACGGGTCTTACCGCCGCGATGACGGCGTGCCCAGCGCTCGGTTGAGATTAGTATACCTATCTATAAATCAAAAAGTTTAATCAGAACTTTATAAATAACTAGCTGTTAGCATATTGTGTGTCGGTGTATTGACGGATTAAGAATACGGAATGTCACTACCCCAATTCATTCCGTGGGTGTCGTAAGAGACGACTAAACAAAACAAGGCAGGACACCAGCACTACAAAAAGAAGGAAAACTTGACACAAACCCTATACCAACCTGTCTGGCCAGCGTGGTATAGTAGGCCAAAACCTCCTTTCTAAGGAGAAGCTTATGTCCAGCAGTGGACTATCAAAGGCTGTTGATGATGAATCGATCTGGTTGGTCTTTACTAATAACGGAATCTGCGATGTTTCATTAAGTATAATAATATTGAAATTGATAAAATGTTTTTTTTTATTATGCTAATCTAATATAAAGCTGACATAAACCAGTATTGCTTATTGTGCACCGATTTCAAACAGACTAGAAGGGACTATTGCTATTATTATGTTGCCTGTTTTATTGATTGTACTTATTTTACTTTTTTTACTTAGATTTGTAATTCTTTTTTAATTTTTAGTGCTCTTTGTAAGTATTGTTTGAAATCAATTCAACTTTATTTTCAAAAGGATTTATTTTATCATTTTTAGTGTGAGATATATTTTTAATGAATAGATAATTACGATATTTAAAACACTGCGTACCGTAATATAACCAGAGTACCAAACTATAATATGTTAGATTACCTATATCCAATATAATTAAAAAATCCGTTACTTTGTTTAGATAAGGTAGTAAGATGTTATATTATATTATGTTATATTACATTAGAACTCAAAAAAAAATAGTTTTCCACAGTACATAATTTTCCAAAACGAGGAAGTGGTATTTTTTCTTCACATTTGAATGGAACTAAAGGGAAAATATATACGTCCAAATGAAAAAAAAAATCCAAATCGGTTCACAAATGAAAGAGTGTTGAGGCAACAAACATGAAACATTATTTTTTGTGTAAATGTTTTATAATCGCATTTATTACTCTCTTGTTCACATATCCCACACAAACACCTAACAAATATCTTGAAGGAATAAAACAAGGTCAATACATGATTCGATTTTTGCAAGAGTTATTTTGTAACTCCTAAAGATAAAAAAAAATCCTAAAAATCCTTCCATCATCAGCTCAGCAAAATAACACAACGGCTACTAAACGCAAATACCTATAAAGCTAAAGAAATAAGCTAAACAGGTTGTCGGGGCTGTAAAATTTGAGGGTTTCCCTTGATTTCTCTAGGATTTCATCATCAGATCCTGATTTGGTGACATTAGGACTACCTCGGGAGTATACCCTTTTGATTACAAAAAGAATTTTGAAAACAATTGACCACCATTCCACAATTGACGGAAATATCGCGTAACAAAAAAAAAACACAGCCGAATGTATAACCTCCTCTTGTGTGTTTTTGAAGTCGAATAAAAATGTAAGTCATCACGTATGTGTTTAAACATAGAAATCATAATAAGATACAATAGAACATAATAATAAGACATGTGACAAAGACGTGTCTTATTATTACGATTTCTGTAGTGTAGTATGTGTGTGTAATGTTGACGAAGAACATTTAATTCGTTTCGTTCGTTCGTTATTACACCGGGGTCGTAGTTCAGATGGTAAAGAGCTTTAGCATGTGGGAGGTACCGAGATCGATACCCGGCGCATCCGGTACTCCTAGGTCCTCTTGCACTTCTGTTGTTTAAATGTAATATTAAGTAGTAATAAAAAAGTAGTAATAGTGAAGTAATAGTGGCGCTTTTTGCCCCGCACAACCAATCTGTGGAACGGGTTATCGTCTGCGGTATATCCAAACCGATACGACGTTCAAACCTTCAAGAAAAGAGCGTACTCCTTCCTAAAAGGCCGGCAACGCGTTTGTGACGCCTGAGTTGCAGACGTTCATGGGCGGCGATAGTCACTTTCCATCTCGGTGTCCCATCTGCTCGTCTACCCCCTCTAACATAAAAAAAAGGTATCGGGCAAAATATGTACCCCCAGTTTCCCCTTAAAGCTAAAAGGTCAAATTTATAAAACAATCATCAGACCTGCCGTCCTGTATTGTGTATCAGAACCATACAGGGCGGAAACGGGTAAGAGACGCCTGAACATATCAGCATTCGCATTTCTGTAGCAGAAATGCGAATGCTGATATGGATGTGTAGTGTGACTTGGATGGACAAGGTCAGGAATGAGTATATACGAGGGAGGCTGAAAGCGGCACCATTGGATGAAAAGTTAAGAAGTAATAGGTTATCTTGGCATGGATGTATCATGCGGAGGGATGAGGAAAATGTGCCGAAAAAAGTGTTAGGTGACAAGGGAAGAGGAAGACCAAAGAAATTGTTGACGGACTGTGTGAGTAAGGATATGGCTAGGAATCGAGTAAACTGTGAAATGACGAATGATAGAGTAGAATGGAAGAATCATGCATACTGCGACGACCCCAAATAAAATTTAAATAAATCATATATGATGAATATAAAGTAATAAAGTAGGCTATAATGCGAAGGAATTTTTTTTGATGTTTGTGTGTAAAAGGAAAAAAAAACTATTAATTAATTTCAAAACAACAGAAAAAGTTCAAAAGGTCCGTAAGTTTATGGAAGGCGGTTGGAGACGTTGGGTATCGATCCCGGTACCTCGCGCATGCTAAAAAGGAAAAAAACTATTAGTTAACTTCAAAGCAACAGAAAAAGTTCAAAAGGTCCGTGGTTTTATGGCTGGAAGATGGAGACGCCGGGTATCGATCCCGGTACCTCTCGCATGCTAAGCGAGCGCTCTACCATCTGAGCTACGTCCCCGATGTATTATTGTGTAAATTAAAAGTTCTATTTCAACCCTACACAGACACTATATACATGGGTGACTTACATTTTTCTTTTAGTCATAATCTATCGATATGTATAAAATGTTAAGTTGGTTTGTGTACGCTTGGAAAATTCAAAAAGTTCTATTACGATTGAACTCAAATTTTGACATGATACACAACCTGCTTCAAAGATGGTTTTTATCTATTCTTCGCGTCACTCTTGTTCCTTGTTTCTCATCAATGCGTCCACAATATGTCACAGCGAAGCGTGGCAAGGTACAGGAGCGGTTTGTTTACCGTGTGTAAATTTGAGCTCAATGAATGCAGAACTTTTTGAGATTTTGAAGCGTTCACAAACCAACTTAACTTTTTTTATATAAGTATAGAGGTATAGATACTACCAGAAGGCCAATTCCCGTAATAAAAGTACGGTCAAATTCAGTTCCAATCAACTCTCCATCTCGCAATTATCATAAAAGCTATTTCCGTGCTAAAATAGGATTACTAAGATTAGCAGATTATAGATTCAGTTTTCGGTTACAATACAATATTATCACATTACAGTCAACGACAGCAACGTTTGATGTTCCTTAATATATACATCACTACGAAAAAAACCTTTTATGACAGTTGTGAGATCGAGAGTTGATCGGAACTGAATTGAGACCGAACTTTTATAACGAGAATTGGCCTTCTGGTATAAATCATGGTAAAAATATAGCAGGATGTTTTCTGCATGTTTGTCCTACATTTCGATTGAATTGTACCTGCCTACCTACTACATACTTACTATAGAGGAAAATTGTGTCGATATCACAATGCGCAAAAATCTAAAGTAACGTTTTACTTAGCTATATAAGTAATAACCAACTAAAATTGTGTAAAAAAAATAACTTTGATAACAAGCCACAGACTAATAAATATTGAGGAACATTTTCAAAGACAAGTTTTAAAATGTATTTGTATGTAGGTAATAAATTTTTGCTATGTTTTTTATTATTATTTAATCATTATCGTCTAAATTAAAGGTATTTGCAAGTTATGTATATCATAATGGAGTTTAAAATGCAGGTCCAAGATTTTACCAGCACAAACACACGTACGAACATTGCAAGTGATAATAAAAGTTTGCATAACATAAGATCACAGTTTAGAAGCCTTATTATAGCGCAACCTGTTAAAAGTGCCAACAACTTACATTTTAATTTCTTGGGAACTACCAACAGATGGCGTCTTTTTAATTTTCCTTTTTTTAAATTAAATATGTTTCGAAAAACATGAAATAATATCCGTATTTCCTTTCAGGTAGCTCGCCATTTTTACCACAAAGATATGCGAATAGAGTTACTAAGAGAAGAATTGTTATTTGACACTGTTCATGTGACTTTCCAATTGACATTCGACAATCGCGCATTTACACTTGCTTCCTTGGCTATGACCAGAGAAGAGAAACATTTACCAATCAGCGCTTCTGTTCTATTCGAAATATTCCCTTTTTGTATTGTTTTTGGGTAAGTATCCTAATGTTACAATTTTATTCAATTTTATTTTATTACTTTCATATTTACATACTTTTCTTTTGTTAATTAAATTGAGAAACAAGATAGTAAGTCATTACCGTTAGCTATGTACCTATTATGACTTTTGGAAACACTAGTTATAATTGACCGATCTTCCTACGGTGTTGTTGTACTGGTATACTGTTTTTGTACTATTATTGAGTGAGTACCAGTATACGGTACTCAACAATACCTACTTTGACTGACTTCCGGACAATGTGGGACCCAGCCTACATATGTTGACCTACTGATTTATTTTGTTATAATAAGAAGGTATTTTTAGAAATTTCACCTATAAGGGGTTAAAAAGGGTGAAGGGTTATATGGAAGTTCATAATTTTCAAAGCTAAAAAAACACGAAACCAGAAACAATCACGCCAGCTAAGCCGCGGGCGATAGCTAGTAATTTATACATTTTACACTCATGTCTCGCTATGGGCATTATAAGGAAGCTTAAAGTCATCCAAAGAGCAATGGAGAGGGCAATGCTCGAAGTTTTTCTACGTGATCCAATCAGGAATGAGGAGATCCGCAGACGAACCAATGTCACCTACATTGCCCAAAGAATTGCCAAACTTAAGTGGCAATGGGCGAGACACATTGCTCGCAGAAAAGGCGGCCGATGGGGTCAAAAACTTCTGGAGTGGCGACCACGTACCGGAAGACGGAGCGTGGGTAGTCCGACGACCTGGTGAAGGTCGCGGGCAGCCTTTGGATGCGGGTAGCAAAGGGCCGGTTGTTGTGGAGGGCCTTGGGGAGGCCTATGTCCGGCAGTGGACGTCTTTCGGCTAAGATGATGATGACACTCACTCTCATTTATCTTTGTAATAGAGGGCAAGCCTATTGCCGTCAGCCATCCATGGGTAAAATGGGAAGGCAATGGTAAGAAATGAACATTGCTTATACATATATGTTGAGAAGTGTGGTGAGATGGTGGTGTAGTAGTTCGAGAAGGCAAGGCGAGTAGATCAGGGTCGCATACGACCGAACGAACGAACTGTTTGTTGCTAGGAGGTTTCACACCTTTAACCTCAATTTATATTTTTATTAAAATGTATTTTACAATTTAATTATATAAAGATGAAAGTTTGTGAGTGTGTGCTTTTTCACGCGCAAACGGCTTGAACAATTTTGATAAAATTTGATATGGAAGTAGCTGACACCCTGAAATCATTATCCTGAATAAATGTAGGATGTGCAAGGAAGTGACCGCAGGGTGCAGCTTGTTCACAATAATCTTTAATTATTCCAGTAATATGGGTTGGTTGGTATATTTTAATTTTTCAACTAACTACACAAGTTTGTGCAGTATTTTGTTTGAACAGTAGCCGTTAAAATATAACTATGAATACCTATTTTATTTTCAGATCAGATATGGTTGTGCGGAGTATCGGTAACTCTCTGATGGTAATATTGCCAGACTTAGTTGGGAAGAAAATAACTAACTGGTTTGATCTGGTTCGACCGCTCATCGCCTTCAAATTCCAAACTGTGAGTATACAGGGTTTTCCAATAAGAGGTGTTATTTTAGTATTCAAAGAAAAATGCAATTTTTTAAGATAAATAATCGGCTGTTTATTTTATAATAAAGAGGAAGGTATGCCGTTAAATAATGGAAGATAACATCAGCCAAATGGTTACCACGACCACGCTTACAGGACCATATCCTTTTAATGAAATTTTGCATAACCAAATCGCAAAGTGGCAGCCCTATGTCCTCGATAGTCTCACGAATTCCATCTTTGAGGTCTTGAATCGACGCTGGGCTGTTGGCGTAGACCTTATCTTTCACGTGGCCCCAAAGGAAGAAGTCACAAGGTGTTAAATCACAAGATCTCGGTGGCCAATTGTGATCACCTCTTCGAGAGATAACACGGTCAAGAAACTTTTCCCGTAAAAGAGCAATGGTTTCGTTGCTTGTGTGGCACGGAGCGCCGTCTTGTTGAAAGTAAACGTTGTCCAGATCAATACCATCCAACTCCGGCCATAAAAAATCATTAATCATATCTCGGTAGCGCAATCCATTCACGGTAAATGTTGATCCAACCTCATTTTCGAAAAAGTAAGGTCTAATGACCCCGCCGGACCATAAACCACACCAAACAGTCACACATTGAGGATGTAGAGGCTTCTCAACAATAACTCTTGAGTTTTCCCAGCCCCAGATGCGACAATTTTGCTTGTTGACGTAGCCTCCTAGGTGGAAATGGGCCTCATCAGTCAAGATGATTTTTCGATAGAATTCCGGATCATTTTCATGCATTTCAAGTACGCAATCAGCAAAGACACGACGTTGTTGATGATCGGCCGGCTTGAGTTCTTGTGTTAACTGAACTTTATAAGCCTTAAGACCCAAGTCTTTATGCAAAATACGGTGTAATGACGTTTGTGGAATGCCCAATTCCAAAGAACGACGAGGAATGGACAAACCTGCGTTTTCTTCAACACTTTGGGCTACAGCAGCAATATTCTCAGTTGTTCTTGAGCGACGTCACTAACTTGTCCCAACAGCTCGAATTTTTCCACCAATTTCTGTATTGCGGTCCGACAAGGTGCTTCACGACGACCAAAAAATGCTTTAGTTTTGCGAACTGTGACTGCAAGATTTTCACCATTTTTGTAGTGAATTTTAATAATTTCAATGCGTTGTTGAAGTGTGTATCGTTCCATTTTTAGTAATGGCGTAGTTTCTACTTGTCAACTTGTGTTTCTATTTGTTTTCTGTATGCACTACCTATCTATACTAATATTATAAAGCTGAAGAGTTTGTTTGTTTGTTTGAACGCGCTAATCTCAGGAACTACTGGTTCGATTTGAAAAATTATTTCAGTGTTAGATAGCCCATTTATCGAGGAAGGCTATAGGCTATATATCATCACGCTAAGACCAATAGGAGCGGAGCACCAATGAAGAATGTTTCAAAAACGGAGAAAATTTATTACTATTGAGAGACGCAGACGAAGTCGCGCGGGTCAGCAAGTCTAGTTATAAATGATAAATTGGTGTGTGTGCGTTTCAAAAACTCAAAAAGTAGGTATGCACCAATGGAGCACAAACGACACGATATTCAGCCCACTTCAAAGGTTGTTTTTAGCTACATATTTTTCCCACCGAACAATATTTCACAGCGAACATGGCTAGGTAACAGCTAGTTATTTATAAAGATCTGATTATAGATCGCTACTGCCTAAATTTAATTTTTGTGTAAATGCAATTGAGTTTAAAAATAGCCCCGGTTCCTACTACGCCTAGTGTTGGGGGGTTCGATCCCCACGACTCGATCTGAGTTGTCTTTTATGAAGAATAAATAAAAAAATTATATCGTAAAAATGTAAGGGGTTTTATATCTCAATTATTGTAAAAATATTTTATTGTCAGATAATGGTAAAAGTAAAGTTATTTTATTATAAAATATCTTGAAAAGCACCCACGCTTTTTTACGATTAAATGGTTTTTCTGTTTGAAGTTACAGAAAATTATTTTCTACTTTTTAGTTCGTCTAGTTACAAGGGTACTTTTTAGTTATTTTGTTCTTACAACAGTTTAGTTTGAAACTATAATTTCTATTTGCTTTTTTAGTCATTAATGATGATTATTTTCTCATTTAGACTAAAAAATAACAAGTAAATAAATCACATATGCTTCAGCATACCTACGCCTCTTAGTAAGTAACAAAAGACACTACCGTATTTTTGGGTATGGAAAAAGCCGTTAATCCTGAAGATCCTGATCAGGATAATGGGCCAAATTTATCAAATTATTGTATTGTGCTGAAAATTGCGTTGAAAGATTCCGTTACATAGATACATTTTTACGTATGGGGTCTACCAATAAGAACGTCCTGGTTTAAAAATTGAATAAAACACACAATTTGTTATGAAAAATGCATCCGATTGATTTATTTGATAGATATACATATTTATTTATATTATGTTTTAAATAATATATCGGCCAAATGACCGTCGCGGCTCTTTTTGCAGATGGTCACCCGCTCACGCCAATTTTCGATGACGCGGTGCACCATTTCGGCCGGTATGTCGGCTATGGCTCGTCTAATGTTGGTTTTTAGGTCACGAATTGTAGCTGGAATAGTCTAAAGGTGTTAAATCACACGATCTTGGAGGCCAACTGACCGGTCCATTTCTCGAAATTAACGACTCACCAAACTTCCACGCAATAATTCCATGTTCACTCGAGTAATGTGAGGTGGTGCACTGTCTTGTTGAAAATAAAGGTCGTATGCATCAATATCATCAAATTCCGGAAAGAAATATTCGGTTAACATCGAGTTATAGCGCTCGCCATTCACAGTAACAGGGTTTCCTTCGTCACTTTCAAAGAAGTAACGAAGGAAACCAATGACTCCACCGTACCATAAACCGCACCAAACTGTTATTTTTTGCGGATGCAATGGTGATTCATGAACCACATGTGGATTTGACTCACTCCAATAGCGACGATTTTGTTTATTAAAAAATCCATTGAGCCAGAAATGGGCCTCATCTGAGAAGATGATTTTACGATGAAAATCGTCATCGGCTTCCAACATTTCCAGTGCATAATCGGCAAATTCACGACGGATACAATGGTCGGATGGCTTCAATTCTTGTGCCAAAACAATTTTGTATGGGTGTAGGCCCAAATCCAACCGCAAAATACCCCAGGTGGTCATTGGAGAGAGCCCCAACTCCTGTGAACGGCGTTGAACTGATCGATTTAAATTCACATCAACACTGGCCTGAACGGCTGCGATATTCTCTTCACTACGGCATTTCTTTGTCTCACAGGCACAGCAGTATCGTGGAGAGTGAATTCACTTTTAAATTTTGTTATTATGCAAACCTTACTGAACACAAATGTCAAGAAACGTCAAAGATCCATCATCAAACATGGCCGCTATGAGCTGTCAAAACCATGTCATCCCTATTGGTAGACCCAGTATGTATGTACATACAGGTCAAGCTAATAAAATCATGTTAAAAATAATTATTGTTGTACGAATGACTAAGTCGCAAAATCAAACCTTTTCAGTCCCTATAAATCTTATGTGTATGGGTATGTTTTCACTGTGGGTGAGTCATGCTTCCGCACATTTGGGCCGGCTCCACAGGAGTGCTATCACGGTAGTAATTCTCTCGTTTCCTTTCACAAAAAGAGTGAGGTTACCGGAAGCCAAACCACGCCTTCTCCTTAAAGCCTCCTCTCCTTAAACCTAAATCATAAATGTGCAAGTCACTGTAAGGCTGGTAGTATGAAGTAAAACTGTAGTATAACGTTGCAGTTTTGTGGTTGGGGCTGTGTCAAGTCAAAAGTCTCAAACCAACAAGATTACCATGATGAAGAAAAATTCAAACGTACTAGGTAGTTATATAATTAAGGCTAAAGGTTAAAATATAAGCTATATTAGACGAAGAACCTATTACTCAGACTAGCAGAATACCGATTGAACTTTCGATCACAATATTATAATTACATTACATTAAACTTTGGATGTTTAATACTTTACTACAAGAATACCTTTCATGACATGTATGAGATCGAGAGTAGATTGGAACTGAATTTTGAAAGAGTTTTTATTCCAAGATTTTTTCCTGTATCCCTGTTGTGTTAACTGGGTCGTTACATTCCACAGATACTCAATCGTACCAATAACATCTTCGAGCTAGTGACAGTGGAAGCCGTGATGCACGAGAAAGCACCAGACAAGAGGAACGAGCTCCTCCGACTGTCTGACGAGACAGATTGTGCTACTGATAAAAACCTTAGACTCAAAGGTAATGTCACAATTCATTCATTGCCCTGAGTTACTCCTAGATTGTTTGCTCTTGCCTGAGGGCACAATAATAAAAAAAGATTTTTTGCTTGTGGAAACCGAACTAAATATTAATACACTAGCTTTGGCCGCGGCTCCACCCGCGTATATGTCGATTATCGCGTAAAAGGTTCCTCAAAAATCAAAGTATCTCCATATGAAATTTCATGTAAATCGGTTGTGATTATTGATTCACTATACAAACTTCCACCCCCCTTTTCACCCCCCTAAAGTATGATTTCTGGGATAAAAACTACGCTATGTCCTCTCCTGGGACCCGGATTATCTCTATACCTAATTTCATCTAAATCGGTTCAGCGGTTTAAGCGTGACGAGGTTCCAGACAGACAGTCAGACATACTTTCGCATTTATAATAAAAGGTCTTTACCTATTAAATTGCCGCTTTGTATGCAATAACGGAAAGTACTTATTTTTCAAACTTTTTTATTTCTGTTATTCGAAGTAATCACCCATGCAATCCATGCATCTTTGCATTTTGCATTGGCAGTTTATTGCACCTACCGACTATTACTTTTTCCAAAATTTAGACAACTTTTTAGTGGGTAAAAAATTCAATTCGCGAGAGGCAGTACAAAATGCCTTTGAAGAGTTTGTTGCCTCCCGTCCAGCAGATTTTTACAAGAAGGGCATCAATCAGGTTATCGAGCGAGAGAACTCCCACTCCGATGGCCGCCACGAGGTCTCGCCTCTGCTCCACCCACGCCGGGCATTCTGCCAGCGTGTGGAGCGCCGCGTCCACGGTCCGACCATCGCAGTGGTGGCACTAAGGCGTTGGCTACTTGCGGATCAGACACAGTTCGGATCAGTCGGTATGAGAGGGTCCCGTGATGCCTCTCGAACCAATCCTCCATAACGGGTGTTACGGCCGCGATGACGTCGTGCCCAGCGCTTGGTTGCCCAAGTCGTTCCTTCCACTCCCCTACGAGGATCCGGCGGAGTTGGGATTTCCGGACATCGATTTCTCGAGTTTCCCGCGCCTCCTTGCGCCACTGATACAGAGCCGCGAGGGCTCTCGCCTCCAGGACCCACGGTGGAGTTCCGGCCAGGAGACTCGCCGCCCCAAAGGCGATCGTGCGGTACCCCCTTATGATCCTGATGGCCAGTTAACCTCTCCCCCTGCCTAATTCTGCGATGTGAGACGCACACGCGTATCTCATGAATTGCAAAGGGACGGCTGTCAAGGGGCCCTGTCAGAGTCTGTCTGTTTTTTTTCTTATTTACCTTTTATAGTTTCTTTTATAGGTTACTTCGGCTTTAAATACACTCACAAAAAATGTGAAAAAGGCCGGATACAATCAAAACACCAATATTTCAATTTCACGGCTGAACAGTTCCTGACATAACCCACATCACTATCGTATTACGGTCCCTTAATTTGATTTATTTTGATAATCTGTAGCAGCTGATATTACAAAAGCGTTCCAATTTTTCAGGCAGGACGTTCTAATTTTATTACAACCTACAATGTTTCAACCTTTTCACTTCAACAGTATCTTTGACAAAATCTAACCTATCTTCTATTACTATCTTTAGGTACCAAAACAGACTGTTCGAATGTCTTACGAATAAATAAATTAAAATCATTTCAACAAAAAATATTTCAAAAATATATTTTGACGCGCAGTGTCGCGTACAGTGAGCACGTAAATTTTTTCGTATTCCGTTTTTTTCCCATTCGTAGTTTCGAAGACAAGGTGGATGAAGTTCATCTTGAAGAGGATATGAGTGACTCAGAGTAATTAGAGAGGGTAGAACGAGAGCTATGAGAATCGGGTGACAAAATTCAACAACATCTCAATAATGTCTCTTGGGCACTACTGATAACAGAAAGTCAGAAAGTCGTTTTATATATTTATATTAATATTATTATATTAATATAACATACGATTTCAATTACATGTACCTCTGGGATCGAAAGCGCTGCTGAAAATTGAGTATCGCGACTCGGGAGCTCGTTGGTCGAATAAAATATTTTTCATGTGTGGTCAAAAACTTTCGATTGCTTTGATTAGCTACTCGTGTTCATTAAATTAAACTTCTAAGTGTATATTTTTCTAGATATGGGACCAGTCTTTAAACCACATCGCTTCTTCGCGCATCTCGTTAATTAGCGATAAAACGAGGAGACAATTTGCTACTCATTATGGACTTTTTTCACTCTAGGAAAGAAATACCGAAAAACTTATTTCTTAATGGGACTAATCCCTGCCACACGTCCACCACTGTAACCCCCGTACACCAGGATTAACAGCAATGACCCACGAATACACGGAATTATGACACTCGGGTTTTAACCGTCTTGGAACCAACAACGAAATTAATCAGAAGAAAATTGGAGGAGTTGGCAAAACAGTAAATCCACTTCCCTCCTTAGCAAAGCGGGATACAAAATGAAGTAAATTAGGCATACACCCTTTTAAACAAAAACAAAATATTATGGGGCCTATTTGAATTCGATATAGTTGACACAAGATACCCATACTAAAAAGCCCCAGATGTCACCTGCAAGCTATTCAGCATTACATTACGTTCATTATACAAAAGACTACATTCCCAGAGGATATGATGAGCAGACTGTTCCCATTGTGTTGACTGTTGAGCATTGACACAATGTTGACTCGACTAATTTAAATGAATACAGTTTGTCCTTAAAGTTACCATGACCTGTAAGAAATTGAGCGACACAATGATCCACCTAAAGCCATGTCCTCGACATCCGTTCGCGAACAGATGGAAAGAACTGGTAAACTACTGGTTGTACTGGTGGCGCCCCTTAGATGGTTCGTCCCAGCGTTGTTGCCATTCGTCTATGAGGTCATTATAGACATCGGACTGCTGCTAAAGCAATCTTGTAATTTTATCGCGATCTCGTGCGCCCAAAAAATCGCATTACATGTTCATTGTCGCATCGTGTGAGCCGCATCGATGGTCAGATGGTTTTTTGAACCACCTGCACTGTGCGCACGTTGGCTAAAATCTGGTGTGTCTTTATCTGGACAAGCTCGCGTTTCGTGTACGGCGGCGCAATTAGCACAAGTAGGAGTTTTAATGATACAAAACTATTGTAAGTGAGCGAATTGTTGACAATTTAAGCAACGAACTACTTCTATATTGTTTATGAATCTACAAATGGGCCAGTCTATATAAAGTTTATCTTTTGTGTTGGCTAGATGTTTCCGAACGGCTGCCTCTAATTGTAAGCCTATCCATTGACGCCCATTTTCTAGTTTAAGATGCCTAACAATTTTGGTTGACTTAATAAGGTCGTTCTCACTTAATTTTAATTCGTCCTATCAAGGACGAATTAAAATTAAGTGAGAACGACCGTGCCTTCCTAACAGCCTTATATCGTCAGAATATAAATTCTGACGATATAAGGCTGTTAGGAAGGCACGAGCTTCAATAAACCGGGTACGTTTTTTACAATTATACGGGGCCTTCGGCTGTTCGGTTTTTCTAATCGTAACCCTACTTTAATGGCGACTACAGATTCCAGTTTCTTAAGCTGCCTTTCGTGAGCTACACGTAACTCGACGCCTGCCTTGGCGGTTTTTTTAACGCCTACAATTTGGAAACCCTCATCGCTCGGTTTAATAGCCTTCATGAGAGCTTGTTTCGTTGCTAACGAGGTCGCATAGTCCGCTGAGCGTTCCGTAGTGGGAATGCCATAACACAGGGCCTGGGAACGCGCGCTTCAGTAGGTACTGAGCACGGGGCGGATTTAGGTGGTAAGCGAAACTTAAGTTTGTCCGCGTACGTTAAACTCGTTTAAGTTGCGATACCCTCCATTTAACGCTCGAAATTCGCTAACTGCGTTTCGTTGCTAGAGGATTTTATTGCTAATAAGCATACGATACCGGTAATTCGTTGAGTAATGTGTAAGTGTAAGCGTTAAGTTTGAGTAATGAAAAACGTATGTTGCACCTCCCATCTCTTCAATGCCTACTCAGACTCAGGCCTACTCACCAAGGCCGTCTTAGACCACGCCGGGGCCCCGGCGCCACAAGGACACAAGAATTTGGGGCCCTGTTGGATAGTAAAACAAAATAAATAGATAGGTATAGATAAATGTATAACAGATATAAATACAGGTATTAATTAGATAAGCAGGCTTGAATGGATATAACAGAACAACAAAAACATATATAACTGAAGATGGTTTTGACCGGATCCAATTAAAACCATCTTCTGTTATATCTCAGTCTGTCAAAGTCTGTCACTTTTAACTTGAGAATATCAAAATTTGTATCTAATGTTACTCATTATTTTTAAGGAAAGCGTAGTACGTATAAGGCCATTTGTAGTTATAATTGGTAAAATGGTGTTGGACAGGATGAACTTAAAACATATTTTAAAAAGGCTTTCATAATTTTTACAAATTCCTTGTAAACTATGCCAATTTCAGCGTTATCATTTGAAATTAAAACAACCATTTGTTTTATACGTAATATATTAGATATTTGGCAGTTAACAAAAAATTGTAAGCGACATCCCAGTGCAAGTGGTGTGGTCCAGTATTGTCGTTGGTAATACACGATGTGGTTAACTAATTTCGATTTCTGTTAATTTTACTTTAATTTTTTTTACTATTTATAATTTTATGATTCATTTAAATATTTATAAAATTCTGAATAATCAAATTTATTTTCTGTTTTACATACTTTATTACTAGTTTATGCCCACGTCTCAGGTTTTCCTAAAACGGAACCTACATGCACCAACTTGAAAAAAGTAAACACAAATTAAGTTGTGATTATATCAAATGAAAAAAATAGGCTATTAGTAAGGCGATTTTAAACTCCAACAAAAAAGTTTTGATGGTGGCGAAACGGAGAACCATTTCTTGTTTGGAAAGATTGGCAATGCCACATTTTCTGTCACATTCCGCAATGTAATCACATTGTGGCGACTTTGTTCTCGCTCCGGGGTAGCCACAAAGTTACTAATTAAGCGCCGATTTCTTTTTTGTCGGATTATATCGATTTAAGAAAGGAAAAAAATTGTATAGTATAAGCGATTAAATCGCTCTGTGTATTCGCTTTTCGAGGTCAACATTATTACGGAAAGTGAACGGGAAATTGAATAAAAATAATTCATATTACTTTTGTACTGTAGTATATTTTATGTATTATAAAACTACATAACTTACTGTACGTATTGGTGGAAAGACCGAGAGAGGGTCGGTTGCTATAGCTGACGAGTAGAATATCAGTATGAGACACCGAGGCTCAAGAAATTAAAAATCGCCTGTAGCGAGTGCCTCAGAATGAGATTGTCAGAACAAATAACAAGGGTAGCACATGAGATTCAATCAAAATGAAAATAAGAAAAGTGTCAAAGAAATACTGGTATGTGTACCTCGAGATGAACGAAATGAAGTTATTACATTGTTTCTTTATTATAAAGAAATGTATGCTTTGAAACAAATTTTTCATAATGTCTTTAAGGTCTATTCACCTAGTACAGCATTATAAGAAGTACATTAAAGAGATTGCTATGGGCCCATAACTGAGATGATAACGGACAATTTGCAGTTCTGGATTACGCATTTAAAATTAATTGGGTTGCAATCGAGACAAAGAAACAATAATAGGTTACTAGACTCTGAAAGTAATTTTATGCGCTTTTTTGACATTTTGCTGCGTAACATTTTATTGTGTACGAGTATGTCACTTTATATTCACAGTTTTTTAAGCCAAAAGGCGCAAAAAGAGTAACTGTAATTAATGTCTAAGAAAAAAAAGAGAATGAGCAATATTTTTACAGTTTCCAAATTGCCTAAATTTGGTATTTTGGCATTTCACTAACTCGTTAACTTCTTCCAAATAGTCTCGCCAAGGAGTTGAATTAGTACTGAGTACTGACATGTATGCAAAACATTTTCAGGCATGGTACCGAAGAAGCGCTTTGCATATGACGGGAGACCATTACCCGACATGATTAAGTTACATCTCAAAGGTAGACCTGTGCACCTTTGGCTGTATAAGCAACATGAAAAGCACAAACCAAATTAACGCACATTATTGCAATAACTTACGTAATGTAAATACAGTAAAAATTGTTTATGTTTTGCACCAAATTCATCGATATTCTTAAGATTATCACCGTACTTTTTCGTTCTAGCAGACAAACGAGGATGTAGATACAAATTTTGTTGGTTTGACTAAAAAAATATGTTAAAAATGGAATAATAATCTAAATAAGTTTTACAGTACTCCACACTGAAATAGTATCTACATAAGTACATAGCTATAATATATACATATACCTTATAAGATGCAAGTTCTACAAAATTTATATTTTAGTCAAATCAACTTTTATAATTTACACATACTAGGTACTTCACTTTAAGAATCAATTGATACTTCAAATTTAGTTATTTGTAAGTGTTATCTTAAAATTCACAAATTATTTTGTTTTGTTAAACAGCACTGTTTAACCACATCTTTTATTTTTCCTCACGTAAAACGTTTCGATCTTTCAAATAACACAATTTTTCCCTTTAATCCATTCCGCAAATATTTTAAGTAATGATCGCAATAAAATAAATGTACGAGGAAAATATACAGCCGACCGATGTAGGGAAAATAATAAATACATTCATGAAGATCCGAAACATATCTTCTTTTTAAAGCTTTTCTAGCTCCTAAAGCTTTTATAAATAACGAAATCCAATCAAGAAATGGCCGAGTCTTGTAGTTTAATGAAAGAGTACTTTCCCGTGTTTACTTCTTGATACCTGTAAATAAACATTTTTATTTATAAATCTTACTCTCGGTCTGTTCGTATCAATTTCAACTACGAGAATTTTATTAATCAGAATAATAAGAAGAATTAAGAATTAAAAAGAAAAAAAACCAAAGGCCCCAGATCCCTTGCTAACTGCCTAACCCCCAGGCCCCTGTAACACAGCTATAATTGGTTATTATATTAAATTATTTTAGTACACTATGTACTTAAAACAACTATATTCTTGATATTAAAAATTACAGCTCAATTATGAATAAAATCGCACCTGAATTGTTATAAAATTCTCGTAATAACTCTTTGTTAAAAAAAATAATCATCGAGTAAATTAGTAATGTATGTATTTAAATTTGACATAATACACTTAAAAATATTTAAACGTAGTTATGTTAAGACGATATTCCTGTTAAATAATAATAATCATATTTTGAACATCTGACACCCAACGCCATCTAGTTTCGACCTAAGCAGAGCTTGTACTATGAAAACTGGATTGACTGATCGAATACTTACATACCTAAATAAATATGTAAGTATTTCAAAGAAAGTGTCAATCAGCGATGCACGAGTAAGACACTTATCATCAGCTGACACATCTGTTCATTTGGCCCTCCCGTTATTTTTAGGCACGTCTTTTTACTTTTCTTATACGGGTCTATTAAAAAGAACGTAATTAATAATTGACAGGAATCGATTTAATCGATGTGCACATTAATTACACACTAAAGTGATACTTGTCACTGCCCTTTCACAGAACACCCATTGGTTTTTATCTTAATTTTTTACCAATAAAAAACCTTTTTTTTCCGAAAAACAGAATCTACTTCATCTTCTTGATTTTGGCGGCTCACAATCAAGAAAAATTTATTTGAAGTTTAAATAAATACCTTGTATTGTTTTATCTAGGACAAATGATCTACATGGATAACTGGCGCATGATGATGTACCTGGGTACTCCAGTAATGCCAGACCTAGCAGCTCTCGTGTCAACTGGATTGTACATCAATGATTTGTCTATGCACGACTTCAGCAGGTAAACACTGTAGTGTCATATTTCAGTTAATCAACGTCCTCGTTTTGTAATTAGCATACTGGCAGCACCAAAGACTCTGGCATGCTCTGTATCGTGTCCTTCTTCCGACATGGCACTCAGTACCCTAGTACCCTACTCAATAGCGGAATGGTCAATATTAGATTGGGAAAGAGTAGACTTTTGACTGTACGATAAATACAAGAACTTCTGACCTTCTTCCTTCATTCTCTTTTACTTAATTTTTGTTTACCTCATTATGGTTCCAAGGGCAGAAGGTACGGCCTTGTTGCATTCGAAATTAGTTTTAAGTTCTAGTTATGACGTGAATAACATTAAAACTTTTTAAAAACGCTGTGAGCCCTTGTGATATATTCATTAATGTTACTCCATTTATTTTATAACTGCATCTCCTCTTATTTCAGTCGAGCTCATGTTATCTCTGTCCAGCTCATTACACCTCAAATGAGGCTATTTCATTTTGTAATGGACAATAACTCCAGGCCAGGAAATTAACTCGAATATAAAGAAGAAACATCATTATGAAAATATTTATGTGCAATTAAATGCAAATGCATGCAATAATCAAAAATGAACACAATTTAAATTTCAGAGATCTAATGTTAGCTGGAACTCAGCAGTCAGTGGAACTAAAACTAGCATTAGACCAGGAACAACAAAAGAGCAAGAAACTGGAAGAGTCCATGAGGAAACTGGACGCGGAAATGAAGAGGACTGATGAATTACTGTATCAGATGATACCGAAACAAGTTGCTGATCGGTTGCGAAACGGAGAGAATCCGATAGATACGTGTGAGGTAAGAGCATGACAGAGTTATTAGAAACTATAGAGAATACACCATAAAGTTTTCATAACACTACTTCACTATATATTAAGTTAGTACGTTGTATACAATATTGTGACATCAGTTAATTTCACTGAAGCTTCGCTTACCTTTGTAAAAGATTACGTGATGGGAAAATCACGTTCAATCTGAACTCAAAAAAAACTTCAGTGTATAGCGCTAAATATTGCTGCTGCTGTATTTTACTAAATTATTTCACTTTCATATGTGGTACTTTGTCACGTATCCGTTATACATGGCGTTCAGGACCTCCCTAACTAAAAGATGAGGAAAACTCTTACAGACATGAACACTATTAGGGAAATAACAGACAATAATTATGGGCACACAAAACATGCCTTCTGCAACTCAGATAAACATGCTGTTTAGATAGGTACTCAGACCATACTTTTTTTATGGCGTCATTATTTTTTGCCTTGCGTGAATGTAGAAGCTCGACCATTAATAACATAAATTGACGACCCTTATATAATAAATAAAGCATTGTTTTTACCACAACGATACCGCGATAAATACGCTGATTTTTACGAACCTGCGTAGACTTTCGCCCTTTTTTGCAGGGATTTTTTTTCATAAACATGAGCCTGTTTGTATGTTCTGACATTATTAATGATATACGATGTGACGTGATGATGTGTTAATGTTTTTTACAAGTATCATTATTCATTATTTTCACCGACCCGAAATATTTTCGTATGCTATTTTAAAATCGAATCAATTTCTGCAGCAACTAATAACCGACCATACTATATATTTAGTGTTTTGTAAACTACTTATATAGTGATTCATTTTTATCGTTTTAAGGTTGACTGTTGAATTTAATTACTTTTATTATTTATTTATTTGAAACGGTGAATCTATTTAATTTTAACAAAGTAAATATTCATATAATCTTTATATATCACTTTAACCTTATTTCTTCTAAACATTTCATCCATGACCTTTGTTTTTATTTTCGTCCTTCAGTGTTGCCGTGTTTTCTGGTTTAGTATAATAATAATATAAACAAGTGTTCGTGTTCAGACCCTCATTGTCGAGATAAGCGATTCCTCTATTGACATTAAACTTACGAAAGTTCGCTTTATCATACCCGTAAACAAGCTTAAGCGCTATTGCTGGCTAAAACTTCAGCTTGTTTGAGGTGCTAATAAACATTTAAGTATTATTAGATTGCTGTGTTAGTTCAAGTCTTACAACTGAATTTTTATTCAAGTCCGATTCGATTAAGTGCATATCATAAATACTTACACCTTCCCGTCTGGGCAGTCGCGGATTTACATATTTGCCGCCAGTAGGCTATTAAATTTTTGCCGCCCCTACTATCTTATACTACAATTAAAAACCCGTATATTATTCGTCACCCCATCGGGGTTTGCGGCGGGGCGGTGTGTCGGAATTGAAGATCGTGACCGAAGAGCTCTGGCGGCGTGCTGCTGGCGGTGTCTTAAGACATCGCCAACACATTCGATAGCCTGCCATTCAGCTATATCAGGGGAAGGCACTCCACTATCACGGGGTGCCAGAGTGCCTAAGGCGGCTAGTGGCAGACTATGTTTCGCGCGGGACTTTATAAACCTTTATAAACCAATTTACCGCCCTCGAACGGGGCGGCGGAGGTGCGCATTTTAGGGCTTCATGCCGCCCTGAGTAATGATCAAAGTCAAAGTTATTCAAAATTACTACTTTAAATATTTATATATTAAATATTTTAACAATTCAAATTCACAAAGATATTTCACCCAAAGTTTAGTAATTTTTCAAATACAGATGTTGGAGTATTTGGTACGCTGCATAGTACTAATTATTGTTATTTTCATTAAATTTTTAAGACTTTTTTCCTTCTCGTATATAATAATGTTCTTCTTTTATGTAACTCAGATAACAAACAAAAATGAGCCAAGTTTTTGGCCCTAGGCTTCTTTCTGCCTACTCAGCCTGCTAGTAACTGCGTGTGGGCAGGCAGAGTCGATAGAAAAATATTTGCCACGATCCTTACATACAGTTCACACCTCTTCCATGTTCATCGAACGCTTTTGAAGAGGGTCTTCGTCAGCATACTGCGAATCTAGTCAGTAGGTATATGTCTTTCGGGGCTTGACAGCATTGGCTTGCCAGTGAACAAGTGGTCCTGTGAGTCCTGTGTGGGGCCTTATATACTCTTTAGTTATTCGCTCTTTTCTGATCCATTCTCATTGCATAATTCCTTTCTTAATTCTTTTCACTAAATCTTCTTTCTTAAGCCTGTTGAGCTCTTTGGAGTACCTACTTTTATTAAAAAGGTAGACATGCAATAGTATAATAATAAATACTGTTGTAATATTTTTATTATTACTTATAGTATCATACTACGATAGTCTCATGATAAATGGTTTCCATCTACTCAACAAACTTTGTCGTGCAACATAAGAGTTTTAGTTTCTTGTGTGTAATAGTATTCAAATTTGACATTGTTTTTATAGATGTTCAACACCGTCTCCATCCTGTTCTCGGATGTCGTCACCTTCACGGAGATCTGTTCTCGTATCACGCCAATGGAAGTGGTGTCGATGCTAAACGCAATGTACTCTATCTTCGATACGCTAACGGAAAGAAACCGAGTCTACAAGGTTTGTAAAACTAGTAAATTAATATTTGTAGCCTTAAAATATTGTTAATGTGTTTAGTCATAAATAAATTGTATCACATACAACTAGCACTCTAAACATATAATTTAACCAAAATGATTTAAGATCATTTACAGGAACTGATGTTTAGAAGTGCCTTTAAGAACCTTAAAGTGTCTTTAGAAAACAATCGAAGTTAACTACTGTGGAGGACCGAGTGTCATGTCCCTCCAACACAAAGGGAAAATCCTCCGACCAGGCGAGGTGACCATGGCTGGCGGGCTGCGGCCCAACAGTTGATGTTGGGAAGTTGTGTATATGCTAATCGGCAAGAGAATTCTTCACATCGCGATACAGCTTTGCAATTCTCATTCAGTAGTTACCGTTGTTCGATATGTCTTCGTTAGATGGCACTGTAGTATGTTTCCGTTTCTTTGTATGTCGGAGTCGCCACAACTAATACCCTTTTTTTCTGTGCGGCAATCTCTTCAGATAGCACCGTGGTGGGGTGGTTACGTTGGACTCGATTTGACTAAAAACCGCACACACGGTCTTGGTCACAAGTAGCTGGGGACTTGGTGTTCCCTAAGAAGAAAATCCTGGGTACCCGACGTACCCCGGGCCATCTACGGCATGTAGATGACCCCCTCATTTAACAATAGTCAGTTAACAATATAATAGCAATATTCTGACTAGTGACCTACCGAAATTTCGGTTTCGGCCAGTTTCGGCCAAAAAATCTAGTTGCGGTTCGAGTTTCGGTTTCGACCAAAATTGGTCAAAACTTACGACCGCGTTCGTAAAGTGTCGGTATTATGCCCGCCTCTGAATCACACGGGCGGTGTACAGTCGCGGATTAAGTGCTCATAGCATTGGAATTTTGACCACATGTTCCTGAGTAGGTATACTCGTACTAACAATCTATGCAATAATAAAAGTAGATTTTTTGATCGGTCCAATGTCTTACTAATAGATGTACATAGATCCGTACAGCCCGACGGCTCGAGCGAGAATGACCGAGTACGTGACGTGTGTGACGTATGGTGGCTGGGTCGGGGCTTCAGCCCTACCGCTACCCCTAAATAGGGGTAAGTCATGGGATTACCTTTGCTTTGGGGACCGTTCTTGACCGTTTCGGTCTTCACGCACCCTGGCGATCAGCCCAAGCTCATTGCGTTTCTCCTGCTGTGGCTGCGGCCTTCCCCGCCAGCGCACGCTACTTGGCCCAAGTAGGCACAGGTGCCCGCGAGCCGCGAGGGTGTTCGCAGCCGCAAGAGCTGTGTGCGGCGTTTGCACTCGTCGCTGGCGAGAGCGGTGGCGCTCGAGCATGTGGAGCGCGAGGGGAGCTCGCATGTCGTGTCCGGTTGTTTTCTCTCACACTCGACGTTGGCAAGCGTCTTATTAAAACTTGAATTAAAATCAATCAAATTATTTTTATTAATCTGTTCGTTTTTTTTTACTTTTTTATGCAAACCTTCTCCTGATTATATAAACACAATAAAAGAAGAATTATCCAATTTAGTGCAGTCGTTCAAAAGTTATGCGCGTACACATGTACATTTTAGCGATTCATTTTTATTTATATAGATAGATTAGTGATACATAAAAGAGATTATGTTCGATTCAGATATTACTTATGCCGTATTACAGAAAGATCCTCAAAATTTAAGAAACGCTTGATCGTAGTTTCATAAGGCGAAAACTAACTTTCTGGAGTTTTGAATATCATTTTGTAATACAATCCTTAGATTTATTTGTTTGTAGATACTTATTTGTTGTTGAATTACCGTCTGTACCCCTATTTTACCATGAAATTGAAACAAGGACCGTAAGTTCGGTTTCGGCTTTAGCTGAAAAACTTCTGACAGATAGAGATAAATACCTAGGACATGTATTCGCCCCTCGATAAATGTTCATTTCTTTTATTAAGTTATAAATAAATTATATTAAAATTTACATCATTCTTAGATATGAGACAATATGTCATCATAATCTCTTGGTTTTTTTTACTAACGTAAGTGCCCCACCAAGTTTTCTTATTTTGAAAAACTTCTGTACAGAACCATTTCCTGAAACCTCCTTATTCATACGCAGGTAGAAACGATAGGCGATGCTTATATGGTAGTATCCGGAGCTCCTGAGAAAGAAGATAATCACGCTGAGAAAGTGTGTGACATGGCACTGGACATGGTCGATGCTATCACTGATCTCAAGGATCCAAGCACAGGTATTATAATAATTTCACCTAGACTATACAGAATTTGAAAAATACAAATACTTTAATTGCTTTAAATGAGGATACATAGTGGTTGTTAGTAAAAAGGGTTCAAGCTCATTTAGCCATTCACGTAACAGCAATTGCAATTTTTCCTTAAATGATAGATACTTCTAAAATTATTAATTAATAATTCCATTTCATTTCAATATTACACTTCTTCAATATTATTTTCCTGACCGAACAAACAAACATTGTTTTACACATAGATTCTAAAAAATAGCCGAATTTTTTTCACTATAAGACGATGCAATTTGATTCCAAATATTTTTTTGTATGGAGACCCGCCATTGTTCTTTCTTAAGAAGAGGTACAAAGTTTTCGCTTCACGTATTATATAGATCCTGTTATTATAATTAAAAAAATCAATATACTAACGTTCATAATTACTATGCTCAACATGCCGAGTTTCAATAAATGGAATAACAAAAAGTCCGATTTAAAGATAATCCGAAATATCAAAAATTCGAATTCTGATTCCTAAAAGTTTGGTTTTCTTTTGCTGGCCACAGAATTTAATAACAGGAAATGGTACCTGACGCAGGTATATATAATGTGGCGAAGAAGATACAAAAAAAAAATACACAAATATTAAGGGGTCATTCATAAATTACGTCACACGAATTTTAGGTCTTTTTGACCCCTCCCCCCGTCTTTGCCACTGGTAGTTTCAATTTTATGCATGTATTTAAAAATAATTAAAAGGAAACAATAATTTTTATTTCTTTGTTTATTTCTTCATCATCAGCCTATCGCAGTCCACTGCTGGACATAGGTCTCTCCCATTGCACGCCACTTAGATCGATTTTGGGCTTCTCGCATCCAGCTCCTGCCAGCTATCTTGCCCAAATCGTCATTCCACCTGGCCCGTGGGCGTCCTACACTACGTTATAGCAAATTAATAATCTTTATTTATTTCTTATTTTTATGTAATAATTAATTTTTAATAAAATTAACATAAAGACCAATATTTTACGACTAGTTAGGAAACATTAAACGACTAATTATGTTAATTGAGGGTACAAAACTTAATCATCTTGTGCCCATGGACTTTGGACCCATTCCTCCATATTAGCTATTACTGGTATATCAGTCAGTCAGTGACTTCATTTTCGTTCTGAATATGAACGTCAGGAACATTTTTTGTGTCGACATCGTTTTCTTCCATCCATCAAGCATCGTCATCATTCATTAAACACAGAATTTCTTGAGTACGTCTAGCCGCAATTCTTTGAGGACAAATTTTTGAGGAAGGTAACATTTTTTGTTTTTTATGCGATTGCTTATGTTGATTAGCGGCTTTATATAAATGACTAATTTGCTCCAAACAACATCCAATACCTCGACCGCACTTTCAAAGTTTCGTTTTTCTGGCTCCAAGTCGACAAATCGATTACTTGAATGAAGATGTGACCCAAAATCTAGGCTAGTAGATAAAGTTTTTATTCACATATAAATTTCGCGTTTTAGTATTTTAAATTTTAATATGTGATGTCACAAAGCTTTTGACCCTGCCCTTTGTCGCACAATGACACATTCCGGTGATGATCCTCACCCTCCTGGTATGGATGGCCCCTAATAAAAAAGTCGACGTTTTTAAATAACATTAAACGTTACTTATAGATTTTGAATTTATCTGATAACTGAATATTATACTAAGTGAATCAGAATCCTAATTTATCAGTTTATTAAATATCAAAAGTATCAGAATAATATTCTTATTATTCTGATACTTTGAGGTATTGAAAATCGAAATGTTGTTTTTCAGACCGAGAACCCATCTAGCATTTCGAACTTATAAAAATCGTATCGTAATAAATTTCGTGAATTTTAATAATACTTAGACATTATAATTCTTAAGCAATATGAAATTCGGACTTTTGAAAATCGAAACATCTAAATTCGGAATTAAATATTTCGGAGTTTTTGGGTGTTCCCTAAACAAAGCCCGTGCTTTGGTTACCAGACTGTTGATAAACATATTTACATAGTTATTTCTAAATACAATTATGAGTAAATTACACTCACACCATGAACTAATAATCGTAAGTATCACACAATTGTGTGGCACACACTCTAGCGCTATGGCTTTACCCAAAATTTAAATATGTACATAATTTTAAATTTTGCAGGATCTCATCTATCAATTCGTGTAGGCGTTCACTCAGGTGCAGTAGTCGCTGGTATCGTAGGTCTAAAGATGCCTCGTTATTGCCTGTTTGGCGATTCGGTGAATACTGCTTCAAGAATGGAGTCTACTTCGGAAGCAATGAGGATACATATCTCACAGACGACACAAGAATTATTGTCACCATCTTATATGGTTACAGAGAGAGGAGAAATACAAGTCAAAGGAAAAGGTATGTGAGAGATCCATAAATCATGAAAATTTGTATCTTGATCAATAATATATCGATGAAAGAGAATTGTAAAACAGACAGTCAGAAATAAATATTTGAGATTTTTATATTCTTGCAAATGGTTAAAGAATTCGGAGATCGATAAACTAGTAGGATCCCCAGTTTAATATATAAAATTTCACTGCTGTACAAAACTCCGTTACAATTTACAGGTGCAATGAAAACCTATTGGCTCGAAGGACGTGAATGCCGACTACCACTCACTAAAGTCATATCACCACAGCTGCAACCAGGCACTGAACTTGAGTGGGAGCGAGCTGCTGACATAAGAGACAGCATCGCAGAACATTCAGCTCAACACTTAAACAATAAAGAAGCTCAAGCACGTAGAATCCAAAGCTCTGAAATACATTTACCGAATTCTCTAATCAATTCTGGACCTAATTCTTTGGTTAATAGTTCCGGAAATTTAATCGCAATTCAAGCTTCAGCTCCGAGTGCTAGGACTTCTCAAGTGCCATCGAATGGTCCAGCAGCGACTATGACATCACCAGTAGAAGAGAGACGAATGTATTCGCCTGTCACCTTTCAGGATGTAGCAAGGAGAAGTATTGCTAACTCACCTAATAGAGCTGAAAGGGAAAGAGGTAAGTGCTATTATATAAAATATACATATAGTAATAAATACAAACGTACTCGTATAGTTCACAGTTCTAAGTAATAAACATATTATTAAACTGCATATTATTTCTGTTGTAAGAATCAAGGTCAAATTCAACAAGTGCGCCTGGAATATGGACCGATGCAGAATCTCTAGATCCACCGAGAACCGCTGATAGCCTTAACTCTTCAATTTGGTGAGTATCAAAAGCTTTTTAGATTGAAATATCCATTTACTTATTCAATCATATAGACGACATCTCTAACGTTAATACATTATCATCATCATCTTAGGATCGGTAGAAATTAGATCGGTAAATCGGTAGAATTAAGGCCTCACTTAAACACTTCCACAATGACCTATCATGCTCATTTAAGATTTAATGCAATTTCTCCCTACCATTTCAACTAAATCGTTACTCCTATGCACGCTCAATGGTCGCTACAAATTTTCGAGTTTGCAAGAACTGTATGACTGTATTTATTTTTATTACTACTTTAATTTAAATATTTCCAGTGATCTTAAACGACGTATATATCTTAAGTTACAGTTCAACATCCCCTTGCAGAGTTGGAACAGCACCACAACCGAAAGACCGAAACGAAGACAACGTTATCGACACTGTACGTATATATTTTGTATTTTGGGTGATTGGTATCTACATGTGTTTAATTTATACTCTGCTTTTTATGCTATAATATATAAAAACAAAATCAGTTAGCTATTTGAAAATATTTATCAAATGCACCTTAACTTATATTATCTCAAAAAAATATTTCTGCCTTAATAAAATCCAGTTAGTGATCTTATTAACCCTACTGCCTTTGCTATCCAAGTATCGGGAAGAAATTCTGTCATCTCAGAAAAATAAATATTTGTGTAAATAATCTCATTCACTGTTCAAATCTCGCACAGTTAAAATTAATATGGTGATGGTAACAGATTTTGAAATTAAAATGCGAGAGTCGAATATATATATTTTAGATATCAATAAATAGTCCTCGGCTAAAGTTTGGGTGCTTCACGCTAATCCAACAGTGCGTGTCGCAAATGTCACTACCGCGGTCAGCTCCTCCTGCTATTGGGAATTCCTTGCCGCTGCTTAAACCTGAGACTGATTCATCTACTGCTAAGCAAAGTGGAGATGATATAGGTAAGAATTACAGTTTTATTATAATATCTTGTGCATAATTTTAGTGTTAGTTAGTGTTTAATTATGAACCAAAAAAAAATTGCCACAGAAGAAAAGTCATCCAGATACGAGTAATAAATTCACAATGTCATTAAAGCTTATTTGATCGTAAGTTTAACCTTGCTCCTGTACATTAAAGAAAGTTAAAATTCATAATTTAAAGGATATCTGGTAACATTCATTCAACAAGTCCATACTCTATATTAATCTAAAATCAAATTCCACAGAAACAGATGCAGAATATCAAGATGCACACACTGAAATAAATCAAGCTTCCCATGTATGCAATGTAGTAGAAAACATAGATAATCAATCAAAACCTGGCAAAGTGACACGATTCAAGGCGCGAATAACTCCAGGGCATTACAAACAATGTGCTACACAAAAACAATACAACAAAGATTCTATGAAGGAAAAACCAATGCAAAGCAATGTTCATCCTCATGGACATCACCACACAAAGAATGTCAACCATCACCAGTGTTGTGGAGCATTCGGCAATCCTCACGTGAGACATAAAGCTAATAATTCCAGTTGTCATCTTATTTGAAGTTGTTAACTTGTTTATTACAATTAGTTTTGTTCCAACTGTTTTACTCTCACAGATGTCTAAAGATGTCTCTATTTCGTCTTTCTTTTAATGTGATGATGTATTGTATTGTACTTAAAATATTGCATATCCTTTTCAACATAAAGTCAAGTGGGACATTTCATACAGTATTAAACCCAGACAAGTAAGTATTTACTTTTTTCATTATAATTTACTAAATTTAATAGTATAGTTTTGCAAACCTATTTTATAAACTCACTCTAGTCCATAAACATGATTAGTAAAAAAAAAAAAAAATACTTAATCAGATATTATACCTGTACTTAATTCTTTTGTAAGAAATGTATGCGTGTAATTGAGATTTTAGCTAAATATTTTTGTTGCATAAGTTAACGTTACGATTCTATAAATCAAAAAATGGTAAGATATTATTTATCGTAAGTATTTAACTTAGAATAGATCTCAGACGAATACATCCCAAAAATAATTCCAAAGATTACGAATACGAAAGAGAAATCAAGTGATGAGCTTTACATAATGACAATAGAAAATAAACATAAATATTTAAAAATATATCAAAATTTTGACATCGTGTAACGGTGGTTTCTATAGATAAGACAACATTATAAAATAATTTAACGTATTAGAATATATTTTCTTGTGCACGACGCAAAGATATTTTTGTTGTATGTACTTATATTTTAGATAAATAGAAGAATGTTTATTATTCGAGATTATATTTTGAAGTAGAAAGGGCGTAGCAGATATTCCTTTGTTTATTTAAACAAACTTAGTAACTTCGTACCAGCCTTATTCCATAAACAGTCTACAAGCCAACTGGCATATTACTCATTTACTTTTAAGTCTTCGCGTAATATTTCAAATTCAGTATACGAAGATGTGTTGCCCTGTAAATATTTTCAGAAGACGACGCTTAAAAACATCTTATATAAGTATCTGGAGAGCGACAAATAATAAAATTGAATGAACAAGAATATAATTAGTCTTTTACTTTTCGTTCTCGTAACTTATGAATAGATCAGGGCCTCAATTCTACTATTTTATGTTAACGTACAAGTCACTGCCATTCCAATGATACGCTATTGAGATGCCATAGATCTCGGTCTAAATATATTCTACTAACACAAATTTACAGTTTCAATAGATTTTAATTATTTTTTTAAAGACCACTCCGGTACTAGCAATATATCCTGTGGCGCGAGGTACCTCACAAATATACACGGACACAAAGAACACCCAGATCCAGAACGACAATTCGTTGATCACACAAAGTGTCGTCCCATGTGGGGATCGAACCCACAATACTCAGCGTAGTAGGAAGCGGCGTGGCGACCGCTTAAACCATCATATCTATCGCGCACCATCCGTGCGCCATAGATTGTCGATGTAATGACAATGGCTTATCAATAGTGATGTTAACAACATTGCCATATATGGCAAATTAAATATAGGTAGATATCATTTCCCTACACATTTAAAATGTACCGTTTACCAAAATATTACAAAGGCATCGACGACATTCATCATCAACATGTATCAGTGACAAGTCATCGGTCTTACATAGTAGAATACGAAAAGTGCAAAACTCTATCAGACAGTCCATCGACAGTCTATTGATACAATAATAATAATAATAATAATAATAATAACTTCACACATCTCACACACGGCAGTCTGATCCCAAACTAGGCAGAGCCTGTACTATGGTAACCAGACTGCTGATAAACATACTTATATATTTTTAAATACATACATATTATAGATAAATAACACCCAGACACAGAACAAATGATCGTGCTCATCACACAATATTTGTCCTGGGTGGGAATCGAACCCACGACCTCCGGCTTAGCAGTCAGGGTCACTAACCACTAGACCAACAGGCCCGTCAAATAATAAAGTACAATAATAAAGTAGCAGAATAATAAAGTAGCAGAATTGAGGCCCTGAACTTCAAGGGATGTGATTCCATTCTAACGAAATTTATTTAATTTATTTTATTTCGTGTTCTGTGTGTATGTATATGTATGATTGAAGAACTTTATTCATTTTATTTTTCACATCCACCTTAAAGAGCACTTAGAGTTACGAACCAACGTTATGTATATGTTTGTTACGACGTTTGTTACATGTACGTTAATCAATAAGTATACCTAGTAAGTATATCAAACAACTTGAAATCGTAGAAATGAAACGAAATCTTTAAGTTATGTGATGCGCATGCGTAGTAAGGTATAGTTAGTGAAAGAAATGCATAAGCTAGTTAAACTGTAAAATATATGGAATGTTTTTTAGTTTTTAGAATTGAATTTGTTAGAATTAAGTACGATGTTCTTTGATTTTATTTTTATATTGCGGGCGTATTTACAACGCATATTTAATTTGTTCATTATTCACTTCGTTATTTTTTTTTGTTTCATTTCGAAATCTGTACGTGTCCGAGTTTGTACCAAAAGTTCATTCATCAACAAGACTTTAAAATATTTTAGTGAAAATAAATCGAGTTTTATGATTAACAAAACTCCTACCCAATGCCCTTCGTGGGTAATACCCAAGTACTTACATAGTGTTTTACAGCAGCCCTGGACTAAGAAAGGAGGTTTTGGCCTACAACACAACGCTGTTTTTCCTTCTCTTTTCAGTGCTGTTGTCCTATGTAATTAGCACCCTAAGTCGACTCTCACGACACCCGTGAGAAGAATAGAGGGTCGTGACACTCCGTATTCTCAGTCCGTCACCACACGGATAATCGAGCAATTGTAACTTTCAAATACATTTCATACTTTCAAATACATAATAACTAATTATAATTAAAGAAGGCTAAACAATTTTACTAAGTACAATATTTGTTCTAAGTGTATTTCCTGCTATGCCCTGATTTAGGAACAATTATATTTCAGATGTTTAGTTTACAAGAGCCACAATCTAGGTGTAAGATTTCAAATGTATTTTGAAAAATAGATGTTAATGTGTACCAATAGAAAATTTTCGCATGTAGTTCAGTGTTGTGAGTCAATTAAATTGTATATCTAGTCGTTTTGAGATTATCTATGTTAATATTCTATTTGTATGTTATTTATTTGATACTTTATTGTTTTTATTATGCGAAGTTATGATATCATTTGGCACTTAGATAAATAGATTGTACGAGTACTGTCTAAAAAACTATTAGGTACTTAAAACAGCTGCTGTTATAGTTTTATACCTTTTGGTTATCTAGTATTAGTACCGAGCACTGGTACTTATGCAAAATAAACCTCCTTTCCCTGCCTTTTAAGTGTTACCTTTCCTTAGAATTTTGGTTGGGCCTCTGGCAACCTCCGTGATTCGGTGAAAAGCAACGAGCCGAGGGGGCCCATATGTATATGTTTATCATACACTATTATATAAATAATTTCCTTTTTTAATAGCAATTTCATATAAACGTGAAAATCTGGATGTCCACTCAATTAAATATACCTTTTTATTATAATTTTAAAATAATATATATATTTTACTTTATGATAATAAAGTCAAATTGTCAACGAACTTAAAGCTTTATGGATGAATTCCTAAGTGAGAAGGAAAAGGAAGGAAAAATTGTATATATATTACGTTTTTGGTTCACTTCATATGTATTATAATTTATTTCAAATAGTATAACATTGGTATAATGGTGTTTATTACTTTGCCACATATTTACCGCCTCTGTGGACATACCGCTTGAAATAAAACATCTGGATTTGGAATCATGGACGTATAAAAAAGTTGGACGGAACGGCCGCTAAGACAAAACTGAGGCACCGTAATGGCGGCAGCTCTTGGTGTGTGAATGAATTTTGTGGTTGCCCAAATTTATGCCCTAAAAATAAATAAATAAATAAAAAAAAATTTTTTTTGACAACACTGAATGAATGAATTATTTCATTCTAGCGAATGCTGATTAATTTTAAGGTATAAAATTTTGAAATATGTGATTGAATTATTAATTTACCTAGAAAAAGTGATGCCTGAATTATTTTTCTTTTGGTCAGTATGGTTTTTACAGCATTTCACTATGCAAATGTATATTTATATGTTTTCGCCGCGTAATGTCGCTCGGTGTCTTGATGTTTGCGAGCGTAATGGCCGACTAATGTGTGGCCACCGACCTATACGTACAGCGTACTGGCCGACTATGAGTGACACAATTTCTTGTTAGCGAGACTCTGTCCGACTTTTTTATACGTCCATGATTTGGAATTAATAAATATAAAATATTCTTACAGTGCGATTGCAGCAACCATAGACATTACCTCCAATATCTCTTAATCTATGAATACCTCTCCGATATGACATCAGTCATCACTTACCCGCCGAAACCGATTCGTGGACAATTGCAGGCTTCGTTAAAGGAGGTTTTCCATCAACCGTATGCATAAAAACCTCCTTTACTGTCAGTATACCTTATTATTTTGTATTATTTACGTAGAAGTAGGTTTACTATAAACTTATCGAACTTTCAAATAAAGAAAAACTTTGTGGTGGGGACAAAAAGTTTCAAATGCACAAATGATTTCATATCAGTAACACTACCTGTTCGTTATTGCGAACGACTGTAAATGATACGAGTAATTTTATTTATTTACTGTTATATCACGTTGTACAAAAATGCTTACCAGTTACCATTTTGATTTAATTGCCAATTTTGTGAATCTCACTCTTGTGGTATTAAAATTGCATCAAAGTGTTTGTTTATTTTATTAATACATTCACCCTGCGTTTATCTATGCCCAACTATTTTAGGCATGCATCCAAATAGTATCAAAAACAAAACAGTTTAATTAAGAAGCGTCGTCCTTCTTTTTGGAGTCAATTGAAATAACATTGACAAAAAAATATAATATTATTAATTACACCTTATAACCGATAACCGTTGCCTATTAACATTCGCGTAATAAACAGTTACGTCACTCGCGTGCCGACCTCTTCCTCATTTAGTAATAATAGACACTTGGAAACGGTCTCCATACCATCAAGAATATAAAAGAAATTAAAGTGATATAATTAACATTTAATAAACCAATACACAACACCTATTTTCTGTATAAAGAAAATATAAATAAAGTCTTACCTAACAAATGTATTTCCCCATGAAAGTGATTATACGAACGAATCAACAAACATAAAGTGTGTGCTTACGCAAGCAAACTACTTTTCCTAAAGCAGAGAAAATTGCGGTAAGCGAACATAGAACTTATCGTATTATGTAATATAATAAGAAAGTTACTTACTTTGACTTAGCACCAAGATACCACTTAGAATATGATATGGGTATTATAACAAACACCAATATATCACAGAACCTGTTCAAGTTACATAATAATATTATGTAGAGAATCCTCTTTTGTATACCATCAAAAGGAATGAAGTTTGTAAGTTTAAATGTTAGAAGTAATCTCGGCAACTACTCGATCCGGTTCTGAATACTTTCTCTAGCAGAAAGCTACGTTACCGGCAACTGGTAAAGCTATTTCGTTACACAAAGCGCAAATTGCACCCATTTGCAGCTGGGACCAGATTGCATAGTGAAAGTAGTGTTAGTATAAATAAATTCAGGCCCGGGGTTTGCTCTCAGAAAGGTTCAAAACCTAGATGACCGAGCTTTACTCGGTTTTTTTTGGTAAATTTTCCAAAAATGAAACCTAGCTAGATCGATTTATCGCCCCTGAAACCCTCTGCATACTAAATTTCATGAAAATCGATGGAGCCGTTTCCGAGATTCAGATTATATACATATATACAAGAATTGCTTGTTTAAAGGTATTAGATTATTATTAAGTCGATGAAAATGCTAAACTTGCATCAAATTCCACTTTAATTCATTAATAAGTATAAGAGGTCTGTGTGCTCGAGCACTGTGCATAAGCTATAGAATTTGCAAGATATAAAATTAATTTGTCAAATATATTTCTACACCAATATGTTTACAATCCATGTCTATAAAGAAACAACACATGCTACGTCAAAATATTAGCCGTTGCTCTTATTCAAAACTCAATTCTGTCCCCTTTAAATGTTGCTCAGCCCAATCATCAAATCTATTTGACAAATCTTCTGACATGTAGTTCTTCCAGTCCCCAATCTCGCCTTTTCTTATAAATCTTAGATCCGTAGACTCTAAGTAACTTGTGCCAAAAGATTTTTCAAGAATAGCTTCCAAATTCACCGCTCTATTGGTCTTCATATTTTGAAAAGACAAATGTTCACAAAGCTTCTCTACTTGAATGTCACTTAAGTCCTTGTTTAGAAACTCGGCGGTTTTCTTTATTACGGAAGGTAGGTCGTGCTTCATCTCTTCGAATTTTATGAAAAGGACATTTGGATCGTTGCGACGGCGCCAGAAACCTGGATATATAAACGTTTGGGATATCAACTATCAATCGAAAAAAAGTTTAAGAGTCCTAAAGTTTACGTAAGTAACATATTAGGAAGTCCTGTGTGAAGTGTCTTAGTTTAATTTTTAAATTTAAATTATAAACAACAAAATCTCTAGACTTTTTTATCAACAATCATATTCACATATATATTAGCATTATCTCGTCGTACGATAATTGTATTTAGTTAACTTTGTGAATTCGAGTAACAGTAAAAAAAAAAATTTTCATAGAAATATGTAAAGAATACCTTCAAACTTATTGTAGTCAGCAAAGTAGGAAAAATGCGGAACTATCAAAAGGGTTTTCCTTCGATGTTTTTTTTTCAGATTGCCAAAAATTCAAACTGAATAAGATTGAATTTTTTTTGTTCAGTAAAAGCAGTTGTTTTAATTGCAAACGTACCGAGAATATGATTCCAAACAGGTCCAAATGGTGCTCGATCTCTCATGAATAGGTCACAGAACTCCTCAAAGGTCCCTTTGAGTCCATGCACTAGGGTGCAGTAATGATAATAGGATACCACCATATCCTTTGGATTACGCGATGTGTATATTACCTACGAAAAACAAGTAAATATGTACACATATGTACATTCAAATTTTAAACTTTCGGGTTCAGCAGTTTATAGAAAAAGAAGAAGAAGAAAGAAAGGAGGAGATACTTTACTTGCGGTATCTCTTTAACGTATCTGTTTTAGTACTTGGGTTGAGCGTCGATAATCTCAGTTACTTACTTGACAAAAATCAACAAAAAAATTAACGCGGTTTTCTGTTAAGCCGTGATATAACTCCGGTCGAGCCACTATTTGTGTCAAAACATGGCTCTCCCATCTCCAGAAAGTCTAGTAGTAAGTTAAATAGTTACAAAATACCTTGGATTTCGCAGTTCCATCTTCCCGCTCAATATCCATAGGCAGTAAGTCCCATGGCAGATGACTCCGAATGTACCGAGGATACGGGAGACGGTTTTTCACTAAATCAACAGACGTGCCCTGGACTGATTCCTTGTACCAAGTCGCGTGGCCCGCCACCATAATGCAGGATAGCTCCACTAGGGGACAGCGAATCTTGAACAACAAGTATAGTAAGTAGGTTGTGAGAAAACAGAATTTTTGGGAGCTGTGGCGGCGAGTGTACTGCTGCAGGATCTTCTAGAATAATAATGGACGTACTAATCTTCTGTGTAGAACCTCCTACTTATTGGAACACGGAACTTAATTGTATAGTTGGTTTGATATAGTAGATATGCTTTTATGATCGACATCTCATTTACTAGGGGTAAAGATAGATTTTCTCGAATAGATCTAATTAAAAATATTAAATGCTCATTAAACCCTTTACTTAATTTACTTAAATTGGGTCACAAAAGTTTTGAAGCATGTTCTTTTCCTCCCTTTTTCCGAACTAGGTTAGGGTCGGCTTTAAGTCTACTATGATGTGGCTGAACTTTTTACGCGGAGCGATTGCCATTAGAAGCCCACAACTCAAGTACTAGGCGACATCGAAGTTCTGTGGGAAAACTGTTATTGGACTTCTTGGGCACCAACTACAAGTAACGATTGTAACAGATGTTCGTATGACAACCTGGACCGACGTCTTAACGTGCTCTCCGAGACACGGAGATGTCTTAATGTGTTAAGAATGGTCACCCATCCATAGACATTTCAAAATATATATATAATAAACATATAATATTAGTACTGTAAGAGTGGTGGACTTGTGCAATTCTGGTATATCTGGTAATCAAGTGCTTACATGGCACTTCTCTAACTGGTGTTCCAAAACATACCTGCTGCAAAGACCTGGCGCCTTCGTAATCTAAATCGTGTCCAATTAGCCACACCATTTCCTGGCACCATGTTGAACCTGAACGATACAATTTACTTTTAAACAACAACATTAATATTAAACTTAGACACAGATTTCTAACGTACGACATCTATCATTTTACGTAAAAGTCGTCCGAATTTCCCCGGTAGTGGTCATAGTCATCAAGTGGTTCGAGTTCTTGCACTAGATGGCAGTGACACTGTTGCCACAAATTAATAACGTGAAAATTGCAAATTAAACCGTAACCCGTAATTTCACCTGCGTTTACCGCTACTACTATGCGTCTAGTTAAATTCTTGGTCATAGCATATACTTTCCTTACGCATACCTACCTACTTCATGCACTACAAAAATAACATATTGAGAAGCATGTTTAAACAAACTAAACGATAGATAAAGGTTTTATCGAACAATATAATTAGTTGAAAACTGTAAATCTAATCGCGGTTGATTTGCTGTCATTTTTTTAAAGCGGTTCGTTGTTTGTATCCGAAACTCTCCGATGTATATGAAATTGAAATGGGACAATTTCGGAATATACCCCTTTCGAACAGAAAAAGAATTTTGAAAATTTATCTAGGTATATATGACGGAGTAATGCCCGAACTGTATGTTTATGTTATGTTAACTGTATTTTGTAAAGAAATATAAACATTCGAATTTATAACCTCTTCCTTTTTGAAGTCGGTTAAAAAAAGGTAAAGTACTCAAGTGATCTTGATAAAAGAAATTTTTACACAGTTATAATATATGTATAACAGCCGCGCAAACTTAAAATTAAATGTTTTAGTAGAGCTATTACGAGAAATAAATTTCAACAGATATTTAATGTAATAGCGCATCAAAAACTGTAGGTTTCGGCTTTGCCGTGAACGTCACAGTCATTCGGTTTGTATGCTTAAAATAATATCTATAGCTTTACCACACTACAGTTATTATAATCTATATTAGATGAAAATGTCCCCAAACCACTCACCAGTCCTGGGATAAGAGCACATCCAGACATCGGTATCCATCACCTCCATGTCCAGGATATCCTGTCCTATTGTCGTGTAGTCAGCAGGCAGAATCACTCTGCCAGGATTAATCTCAACCATGCAATCTTTTTTGTCAAACATTCTATCTAACAAATCCCCGGTCTCGGGATCTAACTTTGAAAACGTCAACATTGGCCTCATCCTCATTTTTCAAAACAACTATTTTTTAAATTAAGAATCTTTCATGAAGACGTCCAGCCTTGGCGTTGGATGGAAGTTTTGTGATCGCTTGCTGTACCCACGCATTGCGTTTACCTTTCCCACTCAATGCAGAAAGTCGTTGACTTTCTAACAATAGGATTACCAATTTTTCTTTTCCACGCCTGACAGGACACTCGCGAAATTATACATCCACGCGGAACTCATACCGTTGTGAAATCATGTGATCATAACTTCGATTTTTAGTCTATATTTACACGAGAAAACAATATTCATAGAGCTTGAACTGCTCAGCGTGTACTTCAACCTTCACAGATGGATATTCAGGAGTATTTTAACAGGCTGAATAAACGCACGTTTTTTACCAGTTATTGTAGGCTGGTTTTCAACAGAATGCGACAAAAAATTAACGCACATATACATTATCACAATAGTCAAATCAAGCTATACTTACGCGTTATTTGTTAGGTACTAGCTTTACTGGCGACCAAGTAACTATGTTGAACTATTTCCGATTGTTGATTAGAAATTATAATGATTAAAGAAGACAATACTATAATTTAACAAATTGGATTTGGGAGATGAGAGATGGATTGCGATGGACATGGAGCAAAGAGATAGATAGAAGAACTCTTTAGTGGCTACTACATTGAGTTAAACACTGTATTATATCAATAGGCTACCAGTAACCAACTCGAGTTTGAGTTCATGTGAATCCTGTGTGATGGTGGAAAGCTGAACTTGTGAATTAGATTCAGTGTTGAAGTGTGTATTTTTTTTAACTATTTAAATAATTTATTATTAAAGTAACATTTTTAAATATCCATTAAGATATTTAAAAATGTAGCTTAGTGGAGAAAATTTAAATAAACAAAGAAACAATAGCAGCAAGATTATTGAACCACACAAATATTTGTACAAAGAAGATGGTTACCCTATTAAATCTACGTTGGACTTGCTCAGCCGGTCGAGCTTTAGGTTCATTTTCTTGATCTTCCTGCACCGAGAATAAGATAATATATACCTACCTACATATAATAAGTAAATTATACTTACTACTTTCTGAAATTATAACCACAAGAAGAAATATTTAGTCCGATAGGTCGACTTGTAAAATTTCTGAAAAGATTTACTTGCAGAAATAAATATCATTTCATCATTGCATTTCAAAAACAACTTTAAATAGATATTAAGAAAGATTGATGTCATTTGTTTTTATAACAACAAAATTAAAGACGGAAACTTTAACATAACCAACTTTAGGTTCCTATGACTACAACTTCTTATTTTCAACTTACATATACATCCATATTTAAATTTAATTATTACTGTTAAAATTACTTGTAAGTTGAACTAATGGAATATACAATATTAAAATAAGAAAGTTTAATTCAAAAAGCCTTACCTAGTAAAGCTGTTTTTAAAGTTTGTTGAATTACTATTATCATTTCACTACTTTACTATTCATACAAGATTTTTATCTATTTTCATTTTTAAACTCTCCCGGTACAATGTCATGAAGAAATAAATATAAATAAATACCTAATTTATGCTATCATAATCATCATCATCAACAGCCTTTAATAGTCAACTGTTGGACATAAGCCTCTCCTTAGAAAGGAGGTTTTGGCCTACTATACCACGCTGGCCAGACGGGTTGGTATAGGGTTTGTGTCAAGTTTTCCTTCTCTCTGCAGTGCTGTTGTTCTGCGTAGTTTTTTCCCTTAGTCGGCTCTTACGACACCCACGGGATGAATAGTGGTGGTGACACTCTGTATTCTTAATCCGCCACCACACGGATGCTCGGTGCACGGATGCACGGATGATCATGCTAAATACCACACACTCATCAGACGAAATTAGTACATACTCTGTATCTATCTATATCTCTACTGTATTATAATACAACCACAAATGCTGCATTTATTTCCGTAACGCTTTTCCTACCCGGCAACTTTCCGTTTTCGTCTGTGTGCAACGCAACGCTTACGCATTTGATAGTGAAGTGCAGGTATGACGCAACGATGCACTCATGCTCAGAAAACACTGTTACTCCCCTCATGCATCGCTGCATCGGGTGTATTTTGTATCGCATGGAAAAAGAAATAAAATGTCATAGCAGAATCGCTAAACGGTTGCTCATTCGTTACGTATAACCAAGACCATTAAACTTACCTACAGGTTTAATGGCTTTTCCTCAAGGCACGGAATACATACCTAATTAACATATAATACTACCAGCTCGATAACTGCGCAAGAAATTATTTTCCAAATTAATAATTAAGTTAATATTTTAGTGAGGTAATTTATGGAAAAGTTAAAGTTAGGAAGAAAAATGTTTATATTTTTTATTCCTTCAAAAGATTTTAAATACCATTGATCATGAATACGCTTGCCAATTAGTAATACTAGAACTAAAGAGTAACTATTTAGTATCTGTTCTTTCGGGAAAAGGGTGTTAAATTATTAGAGGAATAAATCGTTTCATGTTTCTAGTTTTGGTTGTTCTGGTTTTACAGCCTTTATTAAACATGCAAAACTGAAAAACAATGTAAATATTTTGTTAAGCTACTTAAAAACTGATACAAGTGGCTTCATAATAATAATGTTTCATACCGTTGAAGCAACATACTTTGTAAACTTGTCATCAATATGGACATCACTTACTTACCTCAATTCGTTTCCTGTCACTCCAAACCTGCCATTTACTTCCGGTCGGTCGATCGATTCAAAAATGTCATCGGAGTTGTAAACAAAAACATAGACTTGTATGTTTTAAACGCTACAATGTCCAAAGTAACTAATGTTAACTCTAGTTTAGCGTATGAAATACTGCTTTACCTAAATAGTTTTTATTTAGGAATGTTTTTCGTGTGTGAAGTTGCCATGGGTATTTTAAAGGCGATAAATGTTTCTTACCCCGAAAATGCTTTGCTCACCGAAGCCGGTATATTTTGTGCTCTTTGTCTTATTGAAGTTGTTCGTATATATTTAGGACGAAGAGGAAATTTAGCTAGTAAAAGTAAGTGAGGCCTTCTGGTTATTGCACTCACAAACCTACATTTTAACTGCCCTTCAATATGTAAAATGCAATTATCGATCTAACAAATGCCATAAATATCCGTAAACTCGTAAAAAACTATTTAATTTAGTATTTACAATATTGATATAACTTTTAAGAATATCACAAGTACAAATTTGAGCACAATATTGTAAAAAAAAGTTTTAATACTAGTAAGTTTAATAATAAATGGCTACACTTATCTTCATATGTATTACATACATTTGACTACCAAAACCCTATCAAAATAAAACATAAAAGTATGTATATTGGATGTATATCAGCATTTATAATTGATCGTTACTATTAGAAGAGTCAGTCTTAAGTTCTGGATTGCATAGTGAAGTGCTCATTAATAATAATAGCTAATAGCACTAGATAGTTTTTTTAAATTTACTTAATTAAAGTCTATTTAAAATATTAGACCATTTATTTACAAAAATAAGTGTCAGGTAATTTTTAATTGACTGCAATGTTTGTTTTTCAGAAGTACCAGTCTTCTTTTCTGTGATACTAACAATACCTTCAGCAGTTGGAGTATGCTACTTCCTAATATACCAGACATACATACTCCGGCTGGAATACATTTGGTGTGCTGTGATGCTAATGTTTCAAGCATTGGAACTGGCTTTCGCAATTCTCTTCATCTTCACTGTGTGTAAAAATCAACAATATGAATAGAATAAGTTTAAAAGCAGTTCATTGCCAAAAAGATATTGATGCCAAACATGTGGACAGACTGTCTATGAGTTTACCTGCATTGGAAATATAAACTTCCATTAGTTTTGAAGAAATAATATTAGTGTTCAATTTTTATGATAGTTGTACACTGGAACCTTAATCCCTATATGGGTGGGCACAGTTGCCACCATAATTTTACATAATAGTGGGCAAGCCTATTGTGCCGGGCACTGTGGCAATCAGAGATAAGAGAACATAAAGTATAATAAAAAGGAATTTTAATTTATTTATACATCTTTAGTGTACACCGCTACAGTACTTATATATGTACTGTAGCAGTGTACAATGAAGATGTAAAAATATTAAGGATGACATCTATTTATAAATTTAGGACATGTCGATCCACATAAATTTAAATGTAATCCTAGAAACCACAGTGAGCAGTAAGTTTATTGGCAGTCTTATCGCTCACGGTTATCTTTACACAGATATTATCAAATCTGATATTGGGTAGTCTGACTTTTATAATACTCCAAATAATTAATTTTATTTAATAGCAAGGCATTTTGTTTATAGGGACAGAATAGGCGGAATGTAAGCATTGTGATTATTATGATATTACCTTCATGTATTTTTACTATTATAATTTGAGTTGCATAATTTTCCTAGTGGTGGTTAGGCCTACTGTTTAGATGTGTATTCTAATTCTATTAAATAAATGTACTTAATGATTTTGTTACTAACACACTGGGCTTTGTGTGATAAACAAAAAAAATACTATTAAAAAATGTGTGCGACACAGTTCAGGGGTGTTTGTGAGTTTACTTACTAGTGCCAATATATATAATTCAAGACAATGCAACTTTTACAAGGATCGGTTGTTGCATATCCCAGTGAAGTCATGTTGAGTTTTGAAATTTAGAGTACTTAAAAATTTAGAAACAAAGGATAATGTTAAATATCGCTTGAAACCATTATTAAAAAAAAAAGCATAAATTAAAGCACTAGTTTCCTAAAATGAGAGGTTTGTTTGTAAGATGTATAAGCAAAATGACAGACTTGCCTTTTTCTAGATGAGTTAAAAGAATATTGTCATACTAAATTGCCTGGTCTTCACTTCTATTTTTACAAATAAAACACTGAATCTGGCAACCATAAATATATGGTACTAATTAAATTAAAGGTTTTAATGTTTAAAATTTATGAATGAAACTTTATTAAATATTGTACAAAATAAAAAATAAAAATCTGAACAATAATTATTTTATTATTTTATTCTATTTCTATAATATAATATACAATTTTATTCATTATCAGGTGGTGTAATATGTTCTGGCAGTTTTTGACATTCAATTTTAGTGACTTTTAGAGCACAACCTTCAGGTAGATTCCTCTCAATATATTCAAGGTATGTATCACAAGTGGATCCTGTCAGTCTTTGCAAGTGTACAAATCTAAAGTATGTCCGAATTTCGTATTGTACTCTGTGCTTCTTATAAATGTGGACAGCTCTGAGTAAAGTATGCCTTTCCTTTTCTGCTTTTCTTAGTGCCCAACTAGAAACAAAAGTTATGTTAAGTAAATGCCAAGGACTGAATTAAATGTTAACATCTTAAAACCTATTTCCCTTCTTCCTTTTATTATTATCATGTTATTAAATAAACACCAACAGACTAAAGTAATTTGGTATAACCACATTTTATATAAAATAATACTAACACTAAAATTCCAGTTGGAAAACTTACTTCAATAAATAACAACTCTCCCTCAAAGTAGTAGGAATGAAAGTCTTGCCATGTGGAGCGATGGCAGAAATTAATGCCATTGGAGTCATGAAAAATGTTCAATCTTTGTACCAGTTGCTATTTAGTTTATAAGATTATTAAAATCTAAAATAATCATTAACTGAAAAAAAAATGTGTTTTAATTGAACATGATCTTTGAACTTTCTTTTATTATTAACTTTCTTTATATATCAATTTCTTTTTGGAATTTCATAGCCTAATTATTGAGGAATTGAGTAACCTTCACCTTCCCTCATTTCTGAATCTTATTTCTCACTCTGTGATAATTGAAATAGTCTGTCAATTATAGCTGCTATTCCTACCTCTTTGTGACTTCGATTCCCAAATGTGATGCGGCTGCAACACAGAACCAGGAATAACTTAAAAGTACCGCAGGATCAATCCCTCGCATCTCTAACTCGACTCTTTTATATAACTTGTCTAGTTCTATTGTAGTTGGGACCTGTTCAGTAGGTTTCTGAATAGTCACTGGAGCTGTTGATAGTGGTCGCATTGTGCAGTTGAAAGAAGTAGGTCTCCAGACCACTGGCGCAGCTCGCCAGATAGTCTAAAAACGGAAAATCTTTTTCATCATTCAAGGATTCTTAAATAAAATTATTACAATTTTATTGGTTATTTAAATTACTATGAGCTTACCCGAATAGCGTTCATGCTTGTATTTAAAAACTTTATAATATAATCTATTCAGTTATTTTGTGTGTGAAAAGAGTATATTTGATTTATTTTAACCTCAACAGCTTGACACTTGGGTCATCAATATTGACAGTAGCGATGTGCCGAGTAGAGCTTGACTCGAGTCAGACTCGATTCCTGCTTTAGACTCATCATCATCATCATCAACAGCCTATACTAGTCCACTGCTGGACATAGGCCTCTCCTTAGAAAGGAGGTTTTGGCCTACTCTACTGGCTTTAGACTCGCTTATTCGAATACCAATTTATTTTGATTCGAGTACGCCGGACTCGCTTCCGGCACTCGAGTCAGGAAGAATCGAATTTGTACTCGCTGACTCGATTCTGTTTAGCGATTCCATGTGACCCGAATCTAGCATACGAGTTAGGTTGACTCGCTCGTACTCGATATCTGTTTACATAAGCAATGATGTGACGCCTTTTTTTTTTGTTGTTGGGGTGGAAAATCCCTTCGGATCTCCTGCTCCTCGGGGGCTATGAGCCAGGAGTATGTGGTGATTCCACTAAAAATCACCCCGACGGCCGGCCTCAGGTGTCTTACTCTGAGGAGGACCCGGACCATGTTATTTCAGGTCCTCCCCGAATTGATACCATGCCTAATCAGGACCTATCCCAGGGGAGAAGAGTTCTGGACCCGAATTTCTAGACTCAAGTTCTAGATTGAATTTCCAGACTAGAGTTCTGGACTCGAATTTCTAGACTCGAGTCTTAAACTCGAGTCCTGGACTAGAGTTAACATTCGAATACCAAACATAGAACTCGAGTACTGGGCTCGAATCGCAGAATCGAGTCATGATTCGAATACCGTATAAACCGAGTCGCTGTTTTGGTGGATCGAATCGACTCGATTCGATCCACCAAAACAGCGACTCGGCACATCACTAATTGACAGCTTATTTAACAGTTATACATACACCTTAGTGGTGTAAAAACAAAAACTCGACTATTCGAACCGATTTAAACCGGTTTGAGCATGACCCGAGTTGAATAAGTTTGACCGTTTCTTTAACCGGTTGAGCCATGTCATAGGACCGCGCTCCACTTCGACCGAATAAAAGTGATTTATCTACCAATTGATTCTTAACCGAGTCGACAAGAGAGTAAATAATTATCAATTTACCTACAAGCATAAATAATATTGTTGTGCCTACAAAATCGGTAACGGTTAATGCGGGTCGTTTAATAATAATTTAAGACATAAACCGATTTGCCAACCGTTTGAATCTAAAGGACATATTTTTCTTATTTCCACCAAATGAGAAAAAAAGAAGGCAAGGTAATCGTGTTACTTGACTGGGTATTTTGTTGTATTGTCCTTAGCTCTCAACAAACTACAAATCAATTCATAAGGTCAGTCGGTTAGTATAGGTAGTGTCAAGTTTTACGCTTGTATTTAAACTCGGTTGCGAACCGTTGACAAACCATATAACGACGGTTTAATCAATCCCGTCAAAACGATTCACACAAACTGTCTAAACGATTCGAATCATGCACCAACCCTACCTATGCCTATTCCAATAGGAAACTAAAATTAAAGTATCCTGAAGCGTTGTGATCATCACTTGCGTCTCCTTGGGTGGGTTGATTGTTGTGTTGACTCCGATTGAAAATTTATCAAATTATACAACCACCAGCTGACGTATAATCCACTACTTTATGATTTAATGACAACTTTTCATCTTCAAGAAATTGAAAAATTGAAAAATGATTATAAATATTTTTTTATTACGTGCGTAGGCTTCTATCACTGCTCAACCCACCCACGGAGCCGCAGCTGACGATCACAACGCTTCAGGATACTTTAATTTTAGTTTCCTATTGGAATAAGCATAGGCAATGTTGGTGCATGTGCGTATAATTAGGAACTTCTAAAATTAGATACAACCCTTTGAAGCATTTTACGAGCTATCGATTAAGAGGAAATAATTAACGAAATTTGCGCCTGGTTCATGGAACATTAGATGTTTCACATTCAATTTTTTTCATTTTCACACATAATATTAACTTTCAATTTCAGAACGACGTATTAAATGTCTGTCTGTCTGCATCTATATGATCTATCTATATATTTAAGATTTGTGCATCTTTTTTCCGTATTCTAAAATTCATCAACTGACTATATGATACGGTTACGCATAATATCTGGAATATATTTAATAAAAAAAATCTTGAGTTAGAATTGAAATATTACAATTTCTTATGTAGTTTTTGCGACACCAATATTTCCATTTACACCTATTCGTAATTGATGTATTTACAAGAATGGTTGGAACAATGATCCTGTTAAAAATGCTGCACTGCAAAAGAATGTGTGCTAGCAAAACAAATACTGCTCAACAGTCTGCTAGTAGTAAGCCTGCACAGGACAACAACTCCAAAATGAGAACTGTAAAGAAAGAAATTGTGGAGAATGTTTGTAGAGTGTGCCTTAAAGAAGGTAGCATACCTATTTATGGAAAGGATGGAAGTGAAGACATTTCAAATGAATTAAATACGTTTGGAGGAATAGATATAAAACGTGACGATCCACACCCAAAATTTATTTGTCAATTGTGCAGTTCACTGTTACAGGGTGCAATATTATTTAGAAAAACTGCACAGCAATCAGACGAAATTCTTAAATATCCAAAGACTGACGAGTTTATTGAACAAAATGATGATACAATGGAGTGTTTAGAGGAAGACAATCCTGATATTGTTCAAGCGTGCAAAGTTAAGAAGCAGGAAGAATATCATTGTAAGCGGTGCAACATCAAATTTCTCTCTTTCAAAGAACTTGATGAACACAAATTAACTGATGAACATGAAAACATGAGACATGTCTGCCCATATTGTCACAAAACTTATGCACCATTGTATTACAAAAAGCACTTAGAGTTACACACAAAACCTCCCTCTTATGTCTGTGATGTATGTGGTAAGGAATTTGTAATGCAAGGTCATTTTGCACGCCATCGACTTACACATTTCTACAAATTACCATTTAAGTGTTCCCTATGTCCATATAAAGGAAGATTCAGTGAGTCATTAAAAATGCACATGCGTTCACACACTGGAGAGAGACCTTATCAATGTACAGAATGTCCTTCCAGATTTATAAACAAAAGCAATCTAAACAAACATATGTTAACACATAAGGATGAACCTGATTTTAAATGTGATACCTGTGGCCGAGGGTTTCATACTAAACGTGAGATTGAACTACATTACAAAGTAGACCACGGTGGCGTTAAAGACCATTTCTGTAAAGTATGCGGAAAAGTATTTGGATATAGAAAACAAATGATGAAGCATGAGCTTAAAGTTCATAAACGGGCAAAGCTGAGGAGTGGAAGAACACCTCTGTATCTAAAGGTGGAGAGTATGCAGGAACAAGGACAAAAAATTGTAACAGAGAGTTAAATATCTATCTATAGTATCTCCAATATTAAAATACTTTGTCCCAGATCAAAGTCATGAAACAATGTGATTATTGTCTATGTTCATTTGGATTTCTGTGAATATTTGTACAAACATAGACAATAAGGCTGTATTATGTATGGCATAGAGATATAACCTAGAGAGAACGAGAACCCCAATTTTGCAATATAGGGAATGAGAGAAATGGATAATAGATAGTCCCTCTATCTCTTTCGAGCCGAGCTTTGTGGTTGGGTTAATAAAAAGCCAATCGCAGCTTAGCTAAACAGAGACAGAGGGAAATAACAGTTATCCATCTCTCTATTACTTCCACTTACAGGAAGCTGTATCCCGTGTTCCACCTGTGTATGGTTATATCTCTATAATGTAAGATTTATTTTTATTAAATTATTACACCAGTAACATCTGTAGTAACACAGCTTGAAGCTTTTAGATCATTATGAAAATTAAAAAAAAGTAAAGTAAGTAAAATAAAAATAATAATTATATCATTTGTAAATTAACAAATTTATAGACTAAGTTTCCAAGTACATTTTACATTAAATATAAATTGTATGAAAACATGCTAAAATATATATAAACAATATTAACTTATTTATAAATTAATTTGTAATCTCTGGAGTTGTAAGTTATTCTAAGTCATATTTACTATAGAAACATACAAGTATTATTCCTAACTTACTTCAGGTTAAATTTGTAACAACTTAAATAGTTTAACTTTTCCCTGCGACCCACCAAGTGTAATATGCTGTGTTAGTTTATCACTGGTGATATTAATATAAGGTCAAGAACCACAGCAATTGAAATGGTTTTGTTGGTACCATTATAAATGAAAGATTAAATAAATAGCGCTAGTTTTAAATCAATTACTGTTCTTTTGTAAAATCGAGCGGCGATAGAAAAAGTTCCCCACTCCACCGCCATGCTCCTATGGGGAGGGCCCGTAAAAAAAATGTGTCACTGATACTGGCTTGGCCACCATCATGGATTTTAATTTTGATAACACAGAAATTTAGTCGCTATTGTCGGTCACTGTTTTAAAAGTTATAAACGTTAATAGGTGGCCCTGCTAGAGAAAGTCTCCTCATCTTGGCCACGCTTATATCTCAAAAAATAGGGTACCTAGAGAAGATCTGTTTACTCCTAAATTTAGTCGTTAATTCGCGATTTTTCCCACATTTTTTTGTCACTGAATTACTCAGGTCTTGTTTAAAAGATATTTCTATTTTTAAGGTGATAAGAGCTAGATCGAAGAGTTTATAAAAATTGCCAAGAAAAAATATTACTATTAGTAAATATGTGTAATGTAGTTCTAGTTTTATCGGTCTGAAGTTCTAAGGAATGTCAGAGATAAATAAATTTTCACCTAAATACAATATGTTTTAAATGACTAGGTTACAGTAACTTTAACTTCTTTAAAAACATTAAACTTGCTTATGGTCTGGTGTCAATATACACAGTTATGCGTTTAAGTATGCATACACCTGTTTTACCAAATTATAATGTTAGGCTTTGATGTACGTGAGACCTATTTCTTAGCGTTCCATGGATTCACCGTGCGGGTCAATCACGTGATAGATGGGGGCAACACATGCGACTTCGACAACGCCTGGGACATGCGACCCGGGTATAGGTTTAAGGCAATAAAAAACTTCTGTTACCGAATTACGAACGATTATCTATATATGATTTATCTAATAGGTAAAAATTATCGTATACTTACCGGCACCGATCTTGAGGCGGCCGAATGGGGTCGCTTTCCGCACTTATGGCAAAATAAAATGCACATCCTTTTATTATTATTTATTCATTCATTTTAGCTAGAAATAAAATCAAAAAAATAAAATAACATGGCGAGGGCAAATTAAAAGTTTCCCTACATATCATTATTTTTTCCTAATTAGAATAGAATAGAAATATGTCTATCAAAAACTCTTTATATACATAATTCTTCTGTGCGTGTGTATGTGATGAAGTGCTCCTAAACAGCTGGACCGATTTTGATGAAATATTGTGTGTGTTCAAGTCGATTCAAGAATGGATTTGATTTACAATTAGGTATAGGCGGAGAACCAATGAAAAATTTTGTAAAAACGAGGCAATTTTATTGTTTTTGAGAGATGCAGACGAAGTAGCGTGGGTCAGCTAGTCTTTATATATTTTTTGCAACCACAGTGTGCTACAGCGAAGCGTGACAGCGTAAAGCTAGTATACGTAGTAAAGTTACTACGTAACTTCTCAGTAATCTATGATAAGACACTATGGTTTTAATAAAAAAAAAGCATCTAGGTATTTATTTAAGTTTAACAAATATGTTCCTTACAAAATTATTACGGTGAAATAGAAGTGATACTTTCCATCAAATAACTATCTTAAATAAAGCTGGTACTAGTACTTACAATGAACATTTCTTCTTTATCGTCATCTCATTTATTGTGTTATACACTGGTCAGCAAATAAACCGAGCCACCCGCTACCTAGGAACTCTGATTCGATTTTCTCAAAAAGTATAAAACTTACAACTATCAAAGTTATACCTACAAAAAGTGCGTTTCATGGTGATTAAAATGACTAAAAATTAATTCGAAAGTACCGTCAACTCACATTGTAATCAAGCAACAAACACAATGCTAACGATTTGCTCTGTTTTCACCAGAGTTTGAAATTAGCGTTCTTTTTCTCTACAATGAGGGTAGTCGGATATTTCTTATCATTTCTTTAGTTTTTGTCCATCGTTTGCTCAGACGCGTGTGTTTTTGCTACTTTTTTCGATTAATAATGGATACAACACCTCAGGAAGCAGCTCAAGCTGTAGCATTACTTTAAGCAGGCATTGCGCAACGTGAAGTCGCTCGAAGGCTTCGAATCAGCAGATCTTCGGTGCAACGAGTTTACAGACGATACCTAGAGATTGGAGCATTCGATCGCCGTCCAGGTACGGGCAGACCTAGGGCTACATCAGCAGCAGATGATCGTTATATCCACCTTACTGTTCTGCGAAATCGCCACCTCAACGCAGTTCAAGTCCAACAAAGTCTGCGTGACGAACGCCAAGTGGTCATAAGTTCAGATACCGTCAGAAGGAGACTTGCTGAACGGAACCTGACCCCAAAAAGAGCTGCAACAGGCCCAGCATTAACGGTAGCACACCGTCGAGCACGACTTGAATTTGCTCGAGAGCATAGGGATTGAACATTAGAGCAGTGGAGTAATGTACTCTTCAATGATGAGACCAGGGTGAGTCTACATGGAAGTGATCGACGTCAGAGAGTATATCGTCGCCCTGGAGAACGTTATTCTCAGTGTTGCATCGAGGAAACTGTTGCTTATGGAGGAGGATCTGTAATGGTCTGGGGCGGCATCTCGTTAACAGCACATACAGCGTTAGTTTTCATCGAACCGACGGGCCGTACACGTGGACTGACTTCTCATCGCTACATTACTGAAATCCTCGCAGACCATGTGGTACCTTACGCAGGATATATCGGACAGGATATGCAATTGATGCATGATAATGCACGGCCTCATGTTGCTCATGTGGTGACCCAGTATCTACGCGACGTCAGCATTCGTACGATGGACTGGCCAGCTCGAAGCCCGGGCTTGAATCCGATAGAACACTTATGGGATGAGCTGAAACGTCGGGTTCGAGCCCGGGTACCTGCTCCAACAAGGCTTCCAGAGCTGCGAATCGCAATTGAAGAGGAGTGGAATACAATTCCTCAAGATTTTATCGTCGGGCTCGTAAGGTCGATGAATACAAGGATGCGGGCAGTTATCCGAGCAAGGGGAGGGAATACGGAATATTGATCAAAAACTTTTTTTTGATTTTATCTTCGTTTTTGGCTTTAATTTTTTTTTTCACTTTATCATTACTAACGATTGTCACGACTGGAAAACGACTCTTCTTTGTAAAATCCTTAATAAAAACTGAAATATTGATTAAACCCAATGAGTTTCCTTTCATTTTAATCACCATGAAACGCACTTTCTGTAGGTACAACTTTGTTAATTGTAGGTTTTTTAGTTTTTGAGAAAATCGAATTAGAGTGCCTAGGTAGCGGGTGGCTCGGTTTATTTGCTGTCCAGTGTAGATACATATTAGAGAATACGTGACGCTATCTAATACACTCGCATAAACATCTCAAGTTATGGCTACCAGAAAATTAAATTTATGAAGAGAATTTATACGCTCTAACGCAGTAATTTAAAACATGTGTTTAATTAAGAATTTATCTCTCGCTGACATTTCTAAGGACTTAAAACTAGAAGTACACATACCTACATAATAATATAATTTTTTCGTAAACTCTGCGATCTAGGTCCTTTTTATTTATTAAGGCATATTTACAGAATAAATACAAATATTCATATAAATAATTGTTTCAAACTTAGTTCACGTGCTACTCTAATTACAAATATGCACAGCATTCACAAATAGACAACATAATAATTATAAAAAAATCAAAATAGCAACCTTACCATACAACTAAAACTTATTAAAAAAAAAAAGTAACTGAAGAACTGAGAAAAAGTACTGTATCGCGGCGGACATGCTTATTGCTTTTCCTATTGCTAATTAAATACCATCTTACTTTACTATGGGACTTTTACTTATATTCCAATAAAACTTAACTAAAAGCTCTTAGGCTAAACCTAACTTAAAAATTGAGCTCATTTTATCTCCTAAACTGAGACCCGGCTAAATCTGTGACTTGACGACAAATGCCGACTAATTAGCGACTAAATTTGGGTAAACACAGATCTTCACTAGGTGACCTACTTTTTATTTTACTTATTCATTGGTACTTTATGAAGAAATGTGACAAAGGCGGACTTAATGCCGTAGGCATTTTCTCCCAGTCGACCTTAGGGCGATACAGAGCTAAAAATGGTAGATGCACAGGAATTTAAAATATAGCATAAATAGAATATCATATACCCAGGGTACTTATATAAATTACATTAGAATATATTTTAATAAAACATATACATGTACTTTTATACATACGTATACGTATACTTTCTGAGATATAAACGTGGCCAAGATAGGGAAACTGACCCAAGCAGGGCCACCTATAAACGCCTATAACTTTTAAACCAGTGACCGACAAATTCTGATAATTGGCGACAAATTTCGACTAATTAGCGACTAAATTTTTGTGTCATCAAAATTAAAGGCCAAACCAGTGTCAGTGACACGAAAAAATCGCTCAATTTTCTTTGTGTTTTCGCAGCTCTGTCATGTATCTGGTAGATTTATAATTATGTAGAGGTAATTATGCAGGCAACTTTTAACGAAAAAATGCAATTTTTAAAAATTTTGTAGGATGCGTTCTTCCTAAGCACCTATTTTTATATTTTTGCAGATTGTTTGGTATCTTAATATTATTTGCGACGATTTTTTATTATAAAATAGAAAAGAGTACTCGTATTAAAAACTATAATTTAACCCCCCGAACGGTTTTACTACGGGTCACACAAGCTGAGAAAATTAAGGGCGAAAAATCATGATTTTTTCGAGATAAAAGCGTGTTTCTCGTAAGGTTTCTAACGAATTTGACTTCAGCAACTCATTTTTCTCACACTACAACACCCTATTTTTGTTTTTATATTTAAAAAAACAGTGTTTTTAATAAACAGGTTTTTCACACGTTAATTTTTTTTCAATAAATTGCAACAAACCTATTTTTTGTCACTGATGGTCACTTTCCATCAGGTGACCTGTCTGCTCGTCTGCCCCCTCTGACATAAAAGCAACTGCGTATTTGTTAGTATTCAAAATATGTAGTGTTAGGTATCTAGAAATTTATTTGCATCTTCAGCTGACAGAAATTCAACTGAGATTTTGTTTCTACCCACTTTTTTACTCCATCAGTTACGCTTTGTTGTTAAAACATAAAAATTGACCAAAGTTTATTTGGCGAATAGAGGTGCTGAAGGAAAGATCTGGTTCTATCCGCGATACGTGGACTATAAACGGGCCTTTAACTGAAGGTTCGTACTTTAACTTACTTTAAAGCCTATCACAATTCTCGGATGAATATATACATTTTCTATAGACCATATTGTTTTCTGTAATATTTATTTTTGGTTCCCAATGACAGATAGCATCCTCAGAGGCAAGGCGACGATTACCATGAGGCCATCTGAGGAACAGCTCGGCCTAAACTTCCAGGGTCCAGGGATCCGGAGGAATAGGGGGAGATGGCTCTACAACGAAGGACGTACCTAACTTAGTTATTTAAAGGAGTTATATATTTATGTGAAGGAACGGGTATCGTGTTACCCAAAGATCCCCCCCAAAGATACCCATACATTTTTGACATTTATTATAATTTAATAGTGAAATTTAATCATCAAAAATTGGCTTTTTTAAGATTCCCTCGCAAATTTCTAAAACGCAACGCTATTGGTTGAATAAAACGTGACGTCAACCTACACTGTCAAGAGTGTCAACAAGTTGTGTGTATTTGTAATATTTGGTTTCTGGTGATTATTTGTTTCATTTTAAGTTATTAACTAATAGGTTTTCAGTGTTAAATTATTAAATTCCCGTGTAGAAAGACTCAACACAATGACTGAATATACTTTGTCAGGTGCAGTTTTGATATTATTTGGGCACAAAGGAACGGCACAATATTTATAATAAGTTTTTATTGGCTTTCCATGGTAATAAGTTGATTTTTATTACTCACTTTTTTAACTTTCAGAAACTTTGTGAACTTCACTCCGTTGTTGACATCGAATTCGTCTGAAAGTGTAATCTGACGTCACAAAAAAAGCGCGCCAAAATGGACGTGTTCAAATTGCCCCAAAATGATAGTGATTTTAATAATTTTTTTTGCTTAACGGCTTATATTTCGGATGTGTTATATTAATTTTTGGCAATGTAATAACTAGTAGAATCGTTAAAAAAAATAAAAAAAATACATGCATATTCCCTATTCTTCGTATCGCGATACAGGATTAACAATTCTCATTCAGTAGTTACTTAGTAGTCCGGTGTATCTCCGTTAGATGGCGCTGTAGTATGTTACTGTTTCTTCGTATATGGGAGTTGCCACATTTATATTTAAACAAATAAACAAAGATGATAATAGATTTAAACTAAATGAAACAAATTACTTACGATAAATTCTACACATATATAACAATAAGACTGCCTGATGATTAAAATAAAACAATTATAAATATAAAAACAGGAAAATAAGATTAGGATCCGAGTGACAGCTCGTCAATCTACTTTTTTCAAAATAAATTATGATATCACACAATATATTCATATTTTGTCATTTTTTCTACTTTTACTTTATTTACTCTGTGGCAAGCCCCTTTAGGGGTATATATGTTCTGTGGTGGCAAGGCAACACTTCTACATTTAATGTCACCGGCCCGTGGCATTTTCTGCTTGTGATTTTCCGTAATTCGTTAAAAAAAATCCATAGCGCTTTGACATATTACTCTAGTACATATTGTTTTATATATGGTAGATATAAGTTAATAAATTTGAAGATTGCCGCTATGGACGTTAAATCGTTCCTGCATTCCTGGTGTGCTAAACAGGGTATAAATCCGGTGTTTGATATTCGTGCCACTGGTAAGAGATTTTGTTGTGGTGACTATTACATGTTACTTAGAAGTATTTTATTAAATATATTAAGGTATTCCTTGAAGCTTAAAATAATCTAAATTTTGTAGGGCCCAAGCATAGGCAGCGGTTTCTCTGCGAGGTTCGTGTCGAAAACTATAGTTACGCCGGTGTGGGCAATTCTACCACGAAAAAGGAAGCACAAGCTAACGCGTCAAGAGACTTCGTGAATTATCTTGTAAGGAGTGGACATGTGCCGGCGTCAGATGTTCCCACAGATACAAGGTTTAAAGTGGAAGATGAGGGGGGGCAGGACCAAGAAAACAATGATTCTCAAGAGCATAGACCCGTTTTTCAGGTAATAATTATTTATAAGATTTTCCTTAAGAATATTTACTGAAAAAAGATTTTCTATAAATATTTTTACTGAGAGTAGTGCCAGTTTATTTTACATCAATCATCTATTGGTGAAGAGTTAACTACAGGCCAATTGCAAAGCTGAATGCTGGAATTGCCGACGATCTTGTTCATGTAAAAATACTCAGACTTGACCCCCCTGTATGAGTTTTTCACATCAACAACCTTTAATAGGAGGTTTTGGCCTGCTATACCATGCTGGCCAGATGGGTTGTTTCAAGTTTTCCTTCTCTTTGCAGTTTTGTTGTCCCGCATAATTTGCTCCCTTAGTCATCTTTTACGACACCCACAGAATGAATGGGGGTGGTGACACTCCATATTCTTAATCCATCACCACACATGAGTTATTGCCAATTTTAAAACGCGAAAGATTAATATTATGTTAAATCAAAATAGTAAATAACAATTGTTTTATAAAGAAGAGGGAATTTGGTCAGAAAAATCAGGAAAAAAGTTAAGAGAAAAGAAAAAAAATACAAATATAACTTTTACATTTTAGGATGGTATGGGACCACAAAGTATGGGTCCAGCATACCAAGCATATGGCGGTCAGAGTCAAAACTTCACATACATGGACCGTATGCAGCAACAAAAAAATGTAGAAGAAGCAGAAGACCTAGATGTGAATGCCAGTTTGCATGGCAATTGGACAATGGATAATGCTAAGTCAAAATTGCACCAATTCTTGCAAGTCAGCAAGATTAATGCTGACTACTCTTATAAAGCGGTTGGTCCTGACCATACAAGGTTGGTTAAACTATTTTATATTATTATTATGCTAATGTTTTTTATTTATTTTTCATCTCAAGTTACATATCCTCGTTAGCAATAATAGCCTCTATTATAATTATACAGGGTTACTGGTTTAGGATATAAGTTATAAAAAAAATTGTATTATGCAAAATTTCGGCAATTTGTATAAAAATCTTAAAAGGTCCAATATCTTGAAAATGGTTATCCAGAAAAAGGATTGGTATTTCATAGTGAAATCTTTTAGAAATGATTGCACCTGCATCCCCTTAAAGTATCTAAGTTGACTTAACGAGTAACCCTGTACATATTGAAACATATCAAATTATAATATAGTGGAAACTCTATTTACCAGACTAATTGTTGTCGTTAGGCATTCTGATAATGGAAAATGTGGATAATCAAATGTACATATTATTGTATATTTATACATATTATTGTAAATCAAAATTGACCCTATATTCTCCTTAATATAACTTATCGTGGATGTACCTACACTGTACTTATCGGCTAACTCAAAACGGGTTTCTCCTATTTAATGAATGATCAATATTGATTTAATCTATAAGTGACAATGCCACTTCCTTACGCTTTGACTTTTTTAACTACAAATGTGACACAACTCAGCAGAGTAACTAACTAAAACAATAACCAAACACGTAGGGCAGAGATTATGCGGAGCACGGAGGTGTAATGCAAGTTCTGACATGTTCATGCTTGCATAGATTCGACTTGTAAATACAAACAATGTTTAAAATAAGTTAGTAGTGTGGATGATTGGGAATCCATATAACTGATGGCTGGATAATCGATTTTCCACTGTACCATAACCATCATACCATACCATGTACCATTATGGCTGAGATTCATTTTATCACATTGATTTCACACAGAAAATTACATTTTATAGCCATTAGGAGAAGTCCTATGTAGTACAGTACATCTGAAAAAGCAAGATTTACTGTAAGCACACTGACTCTTCCTATTCTGATAATGTAATTTAAAACATAAAATCCTTATTTATTAACCATGGTAGTTGTCGTTATTACTCTTGCTTTCTTCATTCTATTTATCAATCTGATGCCATTAAATGTGAAATTTTACAATCTAACATTTTTTACTATAATAATTCATTGAATATTTTGTCTGCAATTTTCCCAATAACAAAACTTAATAACTTTATTTTAAGGTTACTGTTGAATAGTTTTATTATAATATATGTATGTTTATGTTATTTATTATTTAAATTGAATTGAATTTTTAATTTGTTTTGTTTTATGTTTGTGCTAATCAGCACTGTATAGATTAGGACTTACAGGTTTGATATACACTGTGTTGTGTGTTCTGTGATTATTCACAACAAGAAAATTACATGCTTCAGTTTCTGCATTCAATCATTTTTACAAAAGATCTGCTGCCCAGCTCTGATCTTTTGTAAAAATGATTGAATGAACACCAACTTGCTCTCGGCGGGGACCGGGGACCGTGATTGACGTTGCGATTGGCTCGCACACTGAGCCATTTACTAATCGCAACGCCAAACGCGGTCACAGTGACGATAGAGTTAATGTGAAAAAAACTCACACTAGGCCCTCTCTTTGCTGTGGGAGAAGAATTGTTAGTTATTCGGCAAATCAAAATAAGTAGAAAATTAAAATTGAAGATGTCTATGTAGATATGCGGTAGTACTAGTTTTGAGTCTTGTATTGATTACTTATTTGCAACATTGTATAAAAGCCACTCATATGAAATATTCACTAATAGAGTTTGCCGTCTAGTAGGCTGCGGAGCAAGTCCAGTCTAAAGCTTAAAAAAGAGACAAAGCTAGGAAGATGTAGTACATGTATCAATCTGTTTAACATTTTAATCTGTAATACATTATTAATTATAACATTGTACAAACCTTTGTGGTTTATTTTTGCTGCTAGTAGTTGATACAAGTCATCATGCATATAACAATTATGTTTTTCATTAGCAAATCCTACATCTTTCTGGTATTAATAGCTGTTTGTTTTTTGATTTGACCAATCGTTTGCTTTAACATTCTATAAAGGGTAAATAATGTTGATTACTAGGTAAATTAATGACACAGGATCATGAATAGTATGTACGAGGGCGGGTCAATAAGTCCGTGACTTTTTGAATTTCTGACCTCTTTACTGAAAAAGCAACACTACTCCTGTCAACAGGCATCTGTCAGTTGACTCCTGTCAAAATTTGAACTTGCTGCGTCAGTTAGTTTGTGTTTGACAGCTATCTTTATCAGACTACCCAGTAATTTGAGGAAAAAATGGAAAAAAGTGAATTTCGTGTGCTTATTAAGCATTATTTTTTGCGAATAAAAACCATTACCGAGACCAAGGCTAAGCTTGATAAATACTATGGGGACTCTGCACCATCGATTTCAACGGTAAAAAAGTGGTTTACTGAATTTCGTTGTGGCCGTACAAGCACTAAAGATGCCGAACGTCCTGGACGCCCAGGTGAGGTCTCTTCACCCGAAACAATCGAAAAAATTCACGATATGGTATTGGCCGACCGAAGATTGAAAGTGCAAGAGATTGTGGAAGCTGTAGGGATCTCGCAGGGCTCAGTGGTTTCAATTTTGAATGATCACTTGGGCATGAGAAAGCTTTCCGCAAGATGGGTGCCGCGATTGCTCACAGTCGACCACAAACGCAATCGTGTAACAACTTCACAGGAAGGTTTGGCGTTGTTTAATCGCAATATGGAGGAGTTTTTGCGCCGTTTTGTAACCGTGGACGAAACATGGATCCATCACAACACACCAGAGACCAAACAACAGTCAAAACAGTGGGTTTCTAAGGGTGAATCGGCGCCAAAGAAGGCCAAGGTGGGTTTGTCAGCCAATAAAGTTATGGCGACTGTCTTTTGGGATGCACGCGGGATAATCCACATTGACTACCTGCAAAAGGGAAGAACAATCAATGGGGAATATTATGCCAACTTATTGGACCGATTCAATGATAATTTGAAAAAAACCGACCACATTTGGCCAAGAAAAAAGTTATTTTCCACCAAGACAATGCAAGGGTGCACACATGTGCAGTTGCCATGGCAAAAATCCATGAATTGGGCTATGAATTGCTCCCTCATCCGCCCTATTCTCCAGATTTGGCTCCAAGTGAATACTTCTTGTTCCCAAACCTGAAGAAATAGCTTGGTGGAAAAAGATTTGACTCCAATGATGAAGTCATCTCGCAAACAAAGGCCTGTTTTGAGGACCTCGACAAATCATATTTTTTGGAAGGGATAAAAAAATTGGAGAAGCGTTGGACAAAGTGTATAGAGCTCAAGGGAGACTACGTTGAAAAATGAAATGATTTATTTATCAAAAATCTGTGTTTTATTCCAAAAGTCACGGACTTATTGACCCGCCCTCGTACAACTAAAAGACTATGATCCAGTCAATAAGCCAGTAAGTAAATAACAGCCACAGGGTTAAATGACACAATTGTGGCATTTTACCCTAAGCACAAACTGCCAGGTAGCTCATATATTATTTTATGTTTTGTGTTATGTAACAAGTTATCCTTACTTCTGTAGACATTTATGACATAAATGCTTGCAATAAGCCACTGATTATTCATAATGTTTGACAAATCATTGGCTAATGGTTAAATATAAAGATTTGGAATTGTGGCCAAGTTTTTATGTTGCATAAGGTGGTTTTACGACGGGTCAAAAACATGTGGTTCTGGGGTATTTACCCCTTCCAGTGCTGATACTCTGGAAACTGGCTTTATATGCCAAATTCTAGGCTGGTATTGTCGTGTCGTAAAACTACCTTAATACATTCAGGATTGATATCATGCGAGAACTCATGAGAGAACTTGAAGCAGGCAACATCAAACATTATTTTATTTTGAAGCCATCTTTGCAACAGCATAGAGCAAAGTTGGCCTCAACATTCTCAGTTATTTTAAAGAGCTAACTTTTTACCTGTAGAGAACAAACCCGAAGTTAAAGTAATCTATTTTAGAAACCTTGAAAATATTAAAAACTTCATTTAATATGAGAATATTAATAAGTTTTTATAAAGAAAAAATTGTAAAGGTATACCATAGACCTGAACCTATGCTAACTTGATTGAAGGTTTATTGTATTCTATGTCATACAGAAATGTGTTTTGTTATTGATAGTTTTGGGTTTGTTTTCTATGCAGGTTTGTGAGCTCTTTAACCTGACTGTACTTGGCCACACTTCCAGATTATGCCACAAATCGTGCACTCTGTCCTTGTACATGGTAAGTTTACTTATGTGAAATTCTATTATTTATGCATGCACTGAAAACTCTCATAGGTAAATAAAATACTGTTTTTTCTAAAAAATTAATTCATGGACGCTATTGGCTTATTATCTTATACGTAACTCATATTTTTACTCGAAAAATATAATTGGATGTGTTCGAAGTTAACCTAGTTAGTCACCTATATAAGTACTTACGTATAGAGATAACTCAACATCTTTTATTTTAGTATTTTGTGAAATGGAGACACTTGCCTCTTTCCTGTAAAATACCACAGAAAATTTATAATTATGGACGAGAAATAATTACACTAATGACATCTCATTGGTGTAGTGGTATTATTGGTTAAGTGCCTATTCCTACTTACACAATCTTATACTTTATAGTTCACTGCTCAACATTATAAGGCTTTGAGCTGCTAAATATTTTGAGCAGCTGCATGATGTGCTTCATTAGGTTGATATTTGGCTACTACATTAGTGAGCTATGCTCTTGGTGTAATTGAGTAATTATTATGGGTGCTGTTAACCAGGCGAATTGTATGTTTGCTTGTCAAATTATTTAAATTCGAAGTGGCTCGAAGGACCATGTTTTATTTTGTAGAGACTTGTGTGGTAATTAAAGCAGTAAATAAACTATCCCTGCTATAACTGATATATCAGTTTTGTGGTCAAACTAAATTAATGTTCGACACATTAAGCTTTAACGGATCATCTGTCAACTCCTTGACGATTTTTTCGAATAGTTTGATCACACAATATGATGTACAGATATCAAACCAACCCTTTTTACCTAAGGAGGAATATCTTCTATAATGACTTTTTAATCCAGATCAGTATTGCTAACCTCATTAAAAGTTTCATGGTTTTTTTTGGTATTGGTTGGTAAAAACATTAATAATTTCAGTTTCAAAGTAAATTGTCACAAATACTAATATGGTATTTTGATTTTATAAGATAAATTCAATTTGTTACCTTGCTGTCTCACTGGTTTTCTCATAGTTTTTATTTAATGGGTTTCTGGTGTTCTTTTTTTTATGGATGTTAGTTTGATTTTGTAGCCTGTTAGACCAGACATACAATAAATGTTCTATGAAAAAGACAAAACTTAACTATTTCTTAATTAATGGTTGTAGGAGTTTTTGCTGTGAGATGACGATATTCGTTCGTCAATTGGGACGTAATGTAACCGGCCGTGAAACCGCGTCGAACAAGCAGACAGCAAGCAAATCATGTGCGCTTTCTATAGTGAGGCAGCTGTACCATCTGGGTGTGATTGAGGCCTTTAGTGGAACACTGAAGAAGGATAGGTATGCAATTGACCTTTGTCTAGTTGATGAAATATAATTTTAATGAATTTACATTAATAAATCTTGGCTTATTGGTTTTCTTCGCGACATTCATAATGTAAATATTGCATTTATTATGAAATTGGTTATTGATTGTTTGTACTTCGATAGAACAAAAGTCACTTCGTCAGTTATAGACAGAAGGCGGATGACAAATTGAGAGATGGTATGTTAGCAAAAAAAAAACGGTATTTTATTAATGTGTGAAAAGAGTGTGTGTTAATTTCGTAAATTTGTTTGCCAAATTAATCATGTTCTAATTCCACTACTACTTCCTCTTTTAAGATTTATTTCGTTAATTTTCAATTTTATGCTACGAAAAAGACCTTGTAGTACGGCTTTTATTCCAAGTTTTGATCTATAATTTTGAATAAAAGTTTGCGTCTTATCTCTAAGAGATTTTATAGAGCAGATAATTTGTTTTCGGATATCATAAAATAAAATTCATACATAGACCCGCCAGGGTTTTGCTGGATTCCATTAAAACAATCGTTTCTAATTTTAGGTCTGCAGAAGGTATTATGAAACCACTGCCGGTGGCTATTAGCCCCGAACTGGAACAACAGATAGAAGAAGCTTTGAACGGTGAGTATTCCGTCTTTAAAATAAAGAAAGGGGGGCCACATTTGTTATCATGCAAAAAATAGCAAAAGTTAAAGTGGCTATTTTTTTTTTAAATTAGGTTAAAGTAATTAGCAATATTTTAAAAATTGGTGCCATAACTTTTTACTTTTAATAATTGTACAAGCATAGTGCTTTTATTATTACTTAATTACATAAATTTTATGAAGAAGAGTTGTCATTGTCAATATATAAATAAAAACAAATATTTGTTTGCGCTTAGTGTAATAGTGTCTGACGTGAGTTACAGGTTTTTCAATCATCTCTAACCTTACAGATCTAGAGATCGTGCCCGTGAACGTGGATACAGCTCCAAAAGATGACAGCGATGAGTCCGGCGCCGTGACTTTATTGCAAGTCGATCGTGTAAAGGCGATGCGGGAAGCCCGCCCTATGCCAAGCGGAGTAGTTTCTTGGTCGCCTCCACAAGCTAACTGGAATGCATGGACGCAGTGTAATATTGGTAAGCAATTTAGATATTCTTACGGTTGGTGGTGGTATTTAAATCATTATCATCATCCCCTAACAGTCCACTGCTTTACATAGGCCTTTCCTTAGAAAGGAGGTTTTGGCCTACTATACTACGCTGGCCAGACGGGTCAGCATAGGGTTTGTTTCAAGTTTTTCTTCACTTTGCAGTGCTATTGCCCTGCTTAGTTAGATCCCTTAGTCGGCTCCTACGACACCCATGGGATGAATTGGGTACTGACACTACATATTCTTAATCCATCACCTCCGAAGGCCTCTCAAAAAAGACCTGGAAAGGCCGAAACCTCCTTTCGAGGGAGGGGCTTATATCCAGCAGTGGACTAAAGGAGGCTGTTGATGATAGTCTTGCACACCATTTCGTTACGCTGCCTTCAGCAGACAATAGGAAATAGCTGGAGTCCAAAACTATCTATCTAGTGGTGGTAAAGGAAAGACAGTGTGTTTTGTTGCAAATTTTAATATATTTTATAAGAAATCAAAGATATAGCAAAACTCCACTATTAGATGTAAAACGTCATTTAACCTTTACTTCTAAAAGTTTCTCAAACATCCTGACGCTTCTACGAATACGATTTGTCTTATCTTTCGGTAAATATACTCATCTCTTCACAGACGAAGGACCGCTTGCAAACACGGGTCTAGAAGAAATTAGCGCTGATTTAGAAAAACTATACAAAGATGTTAATCAAAATAGTACATTGTACCAGGTAAGGATACCATCAGATGTGTCTATGTTCATTGTACTGTATTGGCTTGTGTTTATTTTGTCTTAACAACAAAATACAAGATGGACAGCTTAATATTTAAGAGAAATCAAACCTAAACACAGATTCACTTTCGCATAAAGCAGAAACGACATTGTCTCTGCGTATGAAGCAATACACACTAAGTTAATTATTATACATAATCGACATCCTTGATAAAAATATTTCTCATATTGATTGGGGTATAAAAAAGTCTCCTTTTAACTGTAAATTTTTTTTTAAATAAAACAACTTCTTTTTCAGCATACATAGCCATAATTTTAATTAAATTGAATTTTGTATTAAATAGGAAAGTTTACGAGAGCGGGAACAGTTGCCTGTGTTCGCAATGAGGTCGACAATCATGGAAGCTATCAACGAGAACCCTGTTATTATCATTAGGGGCAACACCGGATGCGGGAAGACAACTCAGGTGATGTTTACTAACAGAACATTATCTGATAAATATTGGACTTTTGTACTGTATTTCTTTGCGGATACTATCAATCTAGGGTTCTGAGTTTGATCTCCATGATTAACACATAATTATTCAAACTAAATCACTATGACGATTAATTAATTGTTAATCGTAATATCACTTATGATTAACAGTGAATTAATTGTAAGTTATAACAGGTTTTATTTAAACAGATTTTGAAATATTACGTCAGTCTTTTAAAAGAAAGTAATTTAGATGTCAAAAAGTTTTTGTATATAGGGCTTTTAAATCGCTTTTAAAGGCCAATTATCGTAATGAAAGTTCGGTTATAATTCAGTTCCGATCAAAGCCGACAAAAAGTATTTTCGTTTGTTTGTTAATAAAGTATTTAACAGCCAACGTTGAATATTATGTGATTATATCGTCTTGTAACTAAAAATTTAATCGATAAACTGCTAGTCTTAGTAATAATTTACTAAGACTAGCAGTACTACGAAAATACCTTTTATGACAGTTGCGAGCTCGAGAGTTGATCGAAACTGAATTGTGACCGAACTTTAATTACGAGAATTGGCCTTTTGCTCTGTAATTTCGATTCGATCTGACATACAGGAATTTAGGTTCTAAAAGTTTTAGAGTTTGTTTTTCTAGTCGCCTCTAGCAGGACTAAAAAAATAAATATCCATTTTTAATTTGCAATCAGGTATGCCAATTTATCCTGGATGACTATATAGCGAGTGGGCAAGGCGCGTGGGCCAATATATTCGTGACTCAACCGCGACGTATATCAGCTGTCAGTGTGGCTGAGAGGGTCGCCAACGAGCGTTGTGAAGATCTTGGCAATAGTGTGGGGTATGTAAATATTACGTAAATCTGACACACAACACCATCTAGTTTCAAACTAAGCTGAGCTTGTACTATGAAAGTTACCTATAATATGCATGTATTTTACATATAAACCTTCCTTTTGAATCAGTCTCGCTATAAGTGAAAACCGCATTAAAAGCCGTTGCTTAATTTAAAAGATCTAAGCGAAAAATATTATACTATTATTTTATACTATGTAAAGATAATATTATAAAAATATTTAATTTCATGTCAGGTACTCGGTGCGTTTCGAATCAGTATTACCACGTCCATATGGCTCCATTTTGTTCTGCACCGTTGGAGTACTACTGAGGAAGCTGGAGGGCGGCCTGAGAGGCGTTAGTCACGTGCTTGTCGACGAAGTAACTATTTATTTTTATGTTTATCTATTTATGTGTATGAGATGTATAATAATTATTATATATATAACTAATTTTTACGGAACATGATTGTCAATACGATCTGATCCACTTTATTGTTATAAACAGGAAGTAAAGGACGTCGTACTCCACTCAGAATGATGGTCTGAATACTCTATTTCAGTATTCGTTACGACGTCCCTTAGACCCTTTATAAAGTTAAAATTTTAAATTGATGAAGTTAAAGTTTTTTTTTAATGTGGCGTAACATTAAAAAAAGCATTTGCATCAATCATTTGATATTTAACAGCGATACTCATTTTTCATTAACAAAATTCGAAAATGTTGTTCAACCAATACCTAAGTTACCCCATATTATAAAGGCCAATTTATCATATAATCTACAATTCTGTATACATACGGGAATTAACGATATCATGTAATATTGATTACATACCGAATCGTCTGACGTTTCAACCAGTTATTACAGGTTGAAATATCTGTCACATCATATTAATTCCAGTGATACATAGTTGCATATCATGAAACGCGAAAGTACAAAACTCATCCTCCCAAACTAGTCTTTCCTAATCATACATAAATACTTGTGTTGCATAGTTTATGTAAGTACATGTTTAGTATTCTTAAACTCTGCAAAGAACTTAATTAAATTTATAAAATATCTATACCTAATATTCTTTTTTCCAGGTGCATGAGCGAGATGCAGATACGGATTTCGCGCTGATTCTCCTTCGAGATATGGCTCACACGTACCCTGACTTGAGAGTGATCCTCATGTCAGCCACTGTCGATACCACACTCTTCACCAATTACTTTGGCAACTGTCCCGTCATAGAGGTAAACTTGCGTTAACAATTCCGCTAACGTTATGGAGTGTTAAAATGTATACATAATCATCATCCTATCCACGAAATCCCAGTCTTGTCATCCATCCACTGCCAAACACTTTCCTCAAATTCATACAAATCATTCCATATTCAAGCTATATTCCGTATTTCAGAACTGACAAAAATCCAAATTTTGATCGTAAATAGCAAATATGTGTTGTGAATCTTTTTAAATATATTATCATCTTCATTTTTTAAGTTTGTATACAGATGGCCTAGTGTAAGTTTCATCATCATCATCATCATGATGAAACTTACACTAGTTTATTTCACATCAAGTCGCTCTCGCCAGCGAGTGCGTTTGACGTTGCGATTGGTGAAGATTTCAGCGCAGGACAATCGCAACATCGAACGCGGTCACTATGATGATCGTGTAGAAGTGAAAGAAAGTTTCGCTCGGCCCTCAGCACATGTCCGTAATTGGGACTTACAAAGCTATGCTTGTATGACCTCAGCTAGAGGTGAGATCAAAGTAACAAACTTTCACGTGCTGCGACCATAGAGTGCAACCAAATGCAAAGTACGCCAATAAAGCAGTAATAGTTTTTTTGAAAAAAAAAACCTTTATATCATTAAATTCTGATACTAGCGAATTTCTAATTCTATGGCATGCAGAGCCATAGAATTAGTTTTGCGTTACGATGTTTAATGTGTATACTTTGTTTATAGGTACCTGGTCGCACGTATCCAGTCCAGCAATATTTCCTGGAAGACAGTATAGAGATTTGCAAGTTTTCACCTCCTCCTGACACACGCAAACGAAAGGCATCTGGCAAGAAAGCTAACAAGGATGAAGAGGAAGACGATGAGGAAGGTATGACGTCATAGTGTTCTACTATATAACCTGATCTAGGCTAATTATTTATGTTTACTATGTTGGTAGGAACATTGGCACTAAATACCTTTTTGAAGGGGTTCATTAAACTAAAAGCTTTATGTAGTTTTTCGTTGCGTTTCACCAAGTGAGTGAAGTCACCGTAGCCCAAACCCTCCCCCTCTTCTGATTCTGGGGAAGGGACTCAAAGGGTGGCGACGCGCTTTTGATTCTTGGGTTGGGGTGTTTATGAGTGGCGGCAGTCACTCATCATCAGTTGACCCGTCTGGTAGTGTACCTCTCTATACCATAAAAAAGCAAACCTTATAAACATGCACTGTTAACAAGCAAAATTAGTCTTTATTGTGTAGTGGCGAGAGTAATCTTTATAGAAGTGATGTTAATAATTTTTTTTTTTGATTGCTGTTTATTTTGTGCTCAAATTAAGCAGAAAATTATTTTATTATTCTGTTACATGATAAAGCAGTTTGTCATTTTCATCAACGGTTTTTACAAGATGCCAGTCAACAACTCGAATCCAACCAAATACTCATGCTACAGAAACTCTGGCAATGCTACTAGTAAGTAGCACCAGAGTCTTAATAAAAACTTTTTACTACAACTTTCTATCCTGCAAAAGTCTCAATGGATTCGTGAAAATTTAATTAAGCCCTATATTCTTACTTAGGTACAGCAGCAGACGAGCAAGAAGAGGATTTAAACAAACATTGTCAACTCGGTGAGAACTACTCGCAACAGACTGCACTAGCAATGGCGCAAATCCCTGAAAAAGATGTAAGCATTATTAAATGCGTTTAAAAGTATGTTTCTATTTCAGAGAGAGAGAGTAAGAGATAGATTGTCTTAAACCAAGCATAACACTTTCTCCTTATATGGCATTCTCTTATAAGTGGTGAATGCTATGTGTGATATGCATCTCGTGTTGACTATACTAAAGAATGAAGAACCTTTTACACCTATCTGAGTTTTATATTATTAGTAGATATTTCTTTTCTGAAGATTTTTTCAACACACTCCATAATTACTACCATTCTTTCCATATATTCAGCCTTCAGCCAAATACAACTAGGCCCAACTGATGGAATAAATGGACGGACTGATCCTTTTTGTTTATTAAAATGGTTAATGAGTAAAATATGCCAAAATAGAGTAGTGAGAGAGTGTTACACTATGTTGAGGTGGTTTGTGCTAGGGTCCAGTTGTCCCTTCCAGTAATACTACTGGTAGGTACCAGACTGATAAAAAAAAATGTCTAGACACACTTCAATAACAGTATTTTCTTTCTCAGCTCAGCTTCGAACTAATCGAATCCATACTCCTGTACATCCGCGAGTTACCTGGAGATGGCGCTGTGCTTGTATTCCTACCGGGATGGAACCTGATCTTTGCACTAATGAAGCACCTTTCCCAGCATCGTGTGTTGGGAGACACGTCCAAGTACATCATTCTACCTCTCCACAGCCAGATACCCAGGGAAGACCAAAAGAAAGTATTTGTTACGCCACCACCAGAACTAACAAAAGTAAGTAACTAACTAATAATTTTAAGGACCACTATCACGTCGTTGATTTCTGACTTATCTGTAGTCCATTCGCGTTAAGAAGAAGTGACGCAATAATATTCAGTCATCATCATCATCATCAACAGCCTATACTAGTCCACTGCTGGACATAGGCCTCTCCTGAGAAAGGAGGTTTTGGCCTACTATACCACGCTGGCCAGACGGGTTGGTATAGGGTTTGTTTCAAGTTTTCCTTCTCTTTGCAGTGCTGTTGTCCTGCTTAGTTTGCTCCCTTAGTCGGCTCTTACGACACCCACGGGATGAATTGGGGTGGTGACAATTTGTATTCTTAATCCGTCACCACACGGACCACACACAATAATATTCAGTACGAAACAATAATTTCTTGGTTCCTGATTCCTCAGGGAACGTGGCATGATCAATGTCTCACTATTTTCTTAACGCGAATGGACAGTAGGTGTTTTGGTTCATTAGATGAAAATAAAAATGTTTCTCGGCCGATAAATGGCCTTTGCAAGTATCCAATATGTATAGGTTTTGTTGTTGTTTTTTTTTGTTTCATTTTACCGACATTGACGTCTGAAAGGCTTTGAAGACAGCTGTTTACGAACGTTGAGAAGAACGTTCGTAAACAGCTGTCTTCAAAGCCTTTCAGACGTCAATGTCAGTGCTCAAGGCTTTGAAGACAGCTGTTTACGAACGTTGAGAAGAACGTTCGTATAGTGCCACCAACTTATCTGTTCAGTAGACGGCGTCGCTACTGGAGCGATAGGTGTTGCTATTTAAAAAAATTATCAGGAGTTTAGGGTATTTGAAACATACGAAATCACGTGAGCTGTAATTTTAAATATTGATCGGAGTTTATTAATTAATGTTTAAATATCATAACTATATAATTTATAAATTAGTTGAAAAGAAAGAAATATTTTGTTTTGCAAACAGATAATACGATTTATTATACCAAACTAGTTACATTATATTTTATAAAAATAATTGTGGTCGTGATATCAGTTTCCCCTGGAAATTGATATCTTCTCTTAAAATATTCAATAGCTTGGTTACAGAAGGAATTTCTTTTTTTACTGAATAAAATTCATGGGTTTTTCTCCTAATCACACCAATATCAAAGTCATCAACTTCTAGTTTCCCTGTTTTCCTTTCCCTGTTTTTACCAGGTGTACATATTTTAGTATTAGTTTCTTCAGCTCGTTTTTCTTCATTCATTAATTTATAAACAAATCGCTCACTAACACCTGTAACAAAAAGACTCAAACTTAAGAAATAATGTTATTTTTTTTATTTATTCGGGTGGAATAAACAGTGAACACAATGTAGGTATACGTTTAACGTTTATGAAAATAAAGAATAGTAAAATGGTGCACTAGTTAGTAGTAGTGGGGGCGACGTATCAGTTTTATTTCTAATTTTCAATGGATATATATAGTATAGTATAATAAAATATGAAACATAAGCTGAATATTAAAATAATAAATAATAAAATAATTTAAGTGGGAAATTTTACTGTCCTTAGACTATAACACTAACCTGTAGCGGCAGCAACACGTTGTGGCACTTTTTCAAATGGTATTTTTGGAAATTGGAGGCGTTTTTCTTCGTTCATAAAAGATAAAACTTTTAAAATAATAACTCTAGCATCACTTTTAAGAGCTTTCGGCATTTTAATTGTAGTTTTAATAATAAAATCAAATGATAAACACAGAGAGCACCCACACCTTGTAAACTGACACGCAGATTGACGCAGACTTAGTTCCGATTTTGTCTACTGAACAGATAAGTTGGTGGCACTGTAAACAGCTGTCTTCAAAGCCTTTCAGACGTCAATGTCAGTGCTCAAGGCTTTGAAGACAGCTGTTTACGAACGTTGAGAAGAACGTTCGTAAACAGCTGTCTTTAGCGCTTTTAAAAGTGACGAATGCAATCTTTTACACGAAATCTCAACTATTAATTTCCTGTGTGTATTATTTTGTATTTAGGTCATTAGTAAATAGTTTATTTTTGAAACTTTTTTTTTTGCACTCCATAATTACTTCACTTGTTTTATGTCATGTTATAGAGAAACGGTTTTCTGTTTCAGGTAATCTTATCAACCAATATAGCAGAAACGTCGATCACTATAAACGATGTTGTGTACGTGATAGACTCCTGCAAGGCAAAGGTGAAGTTGTTCACCTCGCACAATAACATGACGTCGTACGCTACCGTGTGGGCAAGCAAGACCAATTTAGAACAGGTAAATATAATAATTAGACCTTCCATTCCTACTTTTTTATCTAGTTTATTTGGGGTTCCTCTTCCTAGAATCAGAGGGAGGGGGTTTGGGCTCTGGTAACCCCACTCAAAGGTGATACGCAACGAAATAAACTGGTCAACACCGGTTTTTGTGATGATACCTACTTACTAAAAATACTTTTACTATATTCCTACTCAATATTTTCTATCCTCCATCTTAACAGCCAATTATACATACATAATAATAAATGCATGTATAGTTTTTATTAACAAGTTATTTACAGTGATTTGGTGATTACAGAGAAAAGGTCGTGCTGGCCGAGTCCGTCCTGGAGTTTGCTTCACGCTATGCTCCCGGGCCCGCTTCGATCGTCTGGACGAACATCAAACTGCTGAAATGTTCCGCACACCGCTACACGAGTTGGCGCTTAGGTATGAGAAATGCATGTTTTACTTACTTTTTTGGTAACTCGCTTTTATTTATTACATATTCAGGTGTTTAAGGTACTAAAGTCGATGTTTCCATTAAGATTTTCCGTATGCTACGCCACTTTTTACATTACTGGTTTTAATTGGTTGTGTAATTACCAAACAAATATTATGTATAAGAACTTTTTGCCTTTATACTTTGTTGAGCTTTATTGTTTTATATTTAGTGTCCAATGAAATCCTTTATAAGTTATTGATTCCGAATACAAGTTAATTTAAAACTTACATACTTTACATTTCAGTATTTTATGTTAATTTCAATTATTACTTTGCATTTCATTATTTTGTGTAGTGGTTTGCTAGTTGTCTGCTGTAATTGTTTTTGTCATACTTCTGTGCAGTATCAAGTTGCTCCGCTTGGGCAGCATCGGCCACTTCCTGTCGAAGGCACCGGAGCCCCCTCCTCTAGATGCTGTCATCGAGGCAGAGGCGCTGCTGCGAGAGCTGGGCTGTCTCGACGCTGAGGACGCGCTCACACCGCTCGGGTCCATACTCGCCAAACTGCCCATCGGTTAGTACTAAATAGATCATCAGTTTCAAGCAGCTTCAAACTAAATTAAGTTAGAAATACGGATATAAGATTTAAAACTTCTTTTATAATGATTAGTTCGTCTTTTAGGTTGGTCAAATGATCTAACGACATTAACAATCTACATCTTAGATTTTTTTTAAATGTTTATTTAAAACCTTTATTACAAATTAAACTGAAACATTTAATGATATTTCATTTTGAATCGTTTCATTTTCAATATATTTGGAACCGCCCCGTACCATAAAAGGTCGCTATTTACTTGTCATACAGCTGTTTTGACATTTTACACTCATAAATTTATGACACAATATTTAATCAGTTTAATTTTGCCCATGTTTAATCCATATAAACTTAGAACGCTTACATTTGAATAACATAAAAATCACACTGAACGATTTCTTGCACAGATTTTTGCAGTTTGTTATTTTTACTTTTCAATAGTTTCTGACTACTATAACATATTATAATAGTAATTAACTATTATAATATGTTATAGTAGTCAGAAACTAGAAATTATTTCTATACTTCATTCCACAATTATTAAACAAAAATGAAGCACATTTACCAGTCAGAGGTACTGTGTCTACCCAACACATAGGGTGTAAAGATACAATTATGTTCTCTAGAACCCCGGCTCGGTAAGATGATGGTCCTCGGCTTCGTGTTGGGCGTGGGAGACGCGCTTACCACAATGGCCGCCAACTCTACAACATTCCCGGAGATATTCGCACTTGAAGGACGGAGACGTTTGTCTTTGCATCAGCGAGCTTTAGCCGGTGACCGCGCCTCTGATCATATAGCCATGTTGAACGCTTTCCAGGTAACTTAGCTTATTTTTCATACATTACACAAGTAATAAATAGAGCGCAAACATTATAACATTCCTCATACAAATAGCAAAAGTTGAATATCTGGAACTGAATATATCCCTTTGCCATTCACATTCATTTATTTTCTTACAGACTGACAACGATGTAAATAACACACACATTAATCACTTAATTATATATGAATGTTTATTAAAGTTATGCAGTTTTCTCAATGTGTTTTGACAATGTGTCTTTCTCTCTTGAAAAAAATTATAGATAATTCTTTATAGGCATTCGGCATACATGGCGTTTGTGGGTAGAGAAGCTTTATAGTTTTCATTTACAAGAAAATACTACTCTTCGTCATACAGATGTGGGAGAGAGAACACTCCAAAGGCGAGGACGCAGAGCTACAATGGTGCGAGTGGAAAGGCATACAGCAAACCACCATGCGAGTCACTTATGAAGCGAAATACCAACTTACAAGTTAGTATCATTTCTTCTACGCTAAATTTATTTACTATATGTGTTTAGTAAGTACATACATATATAGGGTGTAAGGGATGGTGTAACGAATACTGAAATAGGGTATTCAAACCATAATTCTGAGTTGAAAATCATTGGAATTTTCTGCGGGGAAAGAATATGTTCTTTGCAAGTCAAATGTTAAGGTCATTCCCAGTATCGCACAAAAGTAAAATCTACATTTCATCATTTGTTTGTTGGATGTTATTCCTTTTATTCTTGTTCATTAGACATTTCAATAACTGTTATTTTAAAATCTGAAATTAAGATAAAAACTGCTTCACGGCCGTGTTTGTTTGGAAGGAAAATTAGTTCAACTGTCTTAACATAATATGTTTCTATTGCCAGATATTTTAACGACTGCCATTGGATTCCCTGAGGAGTGCTGCGTACCCCAGCGCTGGGTGCCAACTGGTGAGGACCCTATGTTGGACTTGGTCGTTGCTCTCATGTGTTATGGACTGTACCCCAATGTGTGTCTGCATCAGGGAAAGAGGAAGGTAACTGGCATCAAATATTAAAATAATTTGCAGACTGAAATAACTATATAGCTTGAAAGTCCGAAGTTGTAAATTCTATTCTCAAATTTGTTTTTAGCTGTTTATAGATGCAAACTAAGCATTTTTCGTTTGGTCTAGACAGCTTTGTGTAATATGTCTCACAGTGTTATACAATTTTAAACACAAAACACTTACTTTTTGTATAAATATTACTCAACGACGTGTCACACATCTCACCAAAGTAAAAATGTGACCATTTATTCCAGGTCTTAACCACGGAAGGAAAACCAGCGCTTTTCCACAAGACCTCGGTGAACTCTAGCAATCAAGAGCAGCGATTCCCATCACCTCTGTTCGTGTTCGGCGAGAAATTGCGCACGCGTGCCATCAGTTGCAAGCAAACCACCATGGTGGCGCCACTGCACCTTTTGCTGTTCGGGTGCAGGAAGGTCGAATGGGTGCGTTCAATTTTTAGTATTATAGCGCCTCAAGAACGTCATCATTCTTCATGTAAAATAAGAATAACACGTAATAGTCTGTATAGGTCTCTATTTTCTTCAGGTATTATTAGAACTTATATATATTGTTACTTGTTTTTGCAGAAGTAGCACCTCGGTAATAAAGTTCATTTGCCTATAGTCACTTTAGAGTGTCACTATATTCGTATTCATCTCCCAGGTGGAGAACGTGGTCCGGCTGGACAAGTGGCTGAACTTCGAGATGTCCCCTCGCGCGGCGGCGCTGGTGCTGGCGCTGCGCCCCGCCGTGCAGGCGCTCGTGGAGCGCGCCGCCGCGCAGCCCGACACCGCGCTCGACTACTCGCCCGCCGAACAGAAGGTACCACATCTACGATACTGCCTAGCCGCCTCCATATCTACCAGAGGTATCGAAATAAACAGTCTCGTCAGTTCTTAGCATTCAATGGAGTCACCGTGCTGGTAACGGAGCCATCGCGTGATAGGTCATGGTACACCGACTGCGACACCGATCTTCAAATTCGGATCATCAGGTCAAAAGCGTAAAATGACAAACGATCTCAAATTTTCAAAAGAACAGAACGTCAAAAGCTCACAATGTCTAAATAGGATGTCTCCTTCCCAGAACGCCCAATATTCATCCAGTAATTGTCGGAGCCGAACTGCTTGCAGTAGTCGAACCAATACCGGTAGCTTATAGAATATAAAAAAGTTAGGTTAGGTTTGCGCTTTTGACGTTCTGCGTTTATGAAGATTTGAGATCGTTGGCATTTTACGCTTTTGACCTTAATGTTTAAATATAAATAGAGATCATTTGATTTTTGTTCTTGGATATTTTGCGTACTTGTATGAATCCGATGCTGAATCTACAGCTAGAATTTCAACCTTTTCCTGATTTACAAGTTACCTAGTTAAACGTAGTACCCATTACTTAATCTTCATACAGTTTCTTTATCCAATGTATATCATACATTAAAGAAGCTAGGTTACACGAGCTAATTAACCAAATGAACTAACTCTGACTAGACTTATTCTTTCACAAGTATGTTGATAATTAATCTAAAAACGTGTTGTTTACAGGTTATAAACTGTGTGAAAGCTCTCTGCGCTATGAATGCCGGTGATCATAATATTCACCGAGAGGCCGGCACTCCAATTTACAGCAGACCAGATGGCGCTAAACGAGGTGGTACTAGAGGTTGGGGTACTACTGGACCTCGCGGCGGGAACCAAGGAAGCTTTGGTGGCATTTCCGGCGGGATCGGCAGCAACCAGGGTGGATTTGGCAGCAACCAGGGTGGATTTGGTGGCAACCAGGGTGGTTTTGGTGGGAACCAGGGCGGTTTCGGTGGCAATCAAGGAAGATTTGGAGGGAATCAAGGTGGCTACAGGGGCGGGAATCAAGGTGGCTACAGGGGCGGGAATCAAGGCGGATTTGGTGGCAACCAAGGTGGCTTTGGTAGGAATCAAGGCGGATTTGGTGGTAATCAAGGCAGTTTTCGTGGGACTTCAAGAAATTTTGAAGACAATCAAGGCGGTTATGGTGGCAACCAAGGCGGTTATGGTAGCAACCAAGGCGGTTATGGTGGCAACCAAGGTGGATTTGGAAATAATAACGGTTACGGTAATCGTGGTCGTGGATTTGGAAGAGGGCGAGGACGTGGTTATTGGCGCGGTACTTAATGTATCATTCCTAGTAAATGTTTAGTGAGACTAAGGTAAAAAGTAAAAACCTTATTCATAAGTAATAATAACATATTGCTTTCAAATGGTATTCTTTTATTTATTAAATTCAATATTATACATGACTTTTAGTAAACACATAGCAATGCTGACATACAGAAATTTGACAAAATATCATCAACAGTAGAGTGAAACAATTTTGTGGCTTAATGTGTACACAAGCCTAGATTAGCCTTCCCCAGAGATTTTTTTGCACAACTGCACAAATCTTGAATTTTAAACAATATTTTCAGAATATTAGCGATAATACCTACAACAATTTTCTGCGACTGTATAGAACAAGAAGCATGATAATTATAAGATGTTTTTAGAAGGTCAATGCAGGGTCGCCGGAGGCAAAATATCGTGTAACCGGCTACGTGTACATTTTAGAATCCAACAATTAAATTATTCATTTGGTGTTACTCTCGCTGGCTCGTGCGTCTATTAACAAAATAGTGTCAGCAGTAACAAAATTTACTTAACAATTTATACTTAGAATGCCAAGGCTTGTTACATCTATATATTTCATTTCATTTCTCCTTTATAACTACTAGATAGGAGTAAGATACGAGACTGACCTAACAGTACTATGAAAAATAATAACTAATACGCTAATATGACTAATACTATATAACATTACTAATTACCTATTTGCAGACGTTCATGGGCGACGATGGTCACTTTCCATGAGGTGACCCATTTGCTCGTCTGCCTCCTCAACATAAAATATATATATAATTATAACTAACTAGATGGGAGCAGGATACGAGACTAACCTAACAGTACTATGAAAAATCTATACACATAAATAAAATTGAAGTATCTGTTTGTAATGTCAAAATAATGGTCCAGTTCAAATATTTCGTCTGTCTGTCTGTTTGTTCCGCATAATCTTCAAAACGGCTTAAAACTTTATGTCAAAAGACCGTTGGAATATTTTGTATACCTAAAATATCGAAACAAATTCAGAGATTTATAAGATAAAGAAGAAAGTAAATATATTAAAGCATAATGTATAATAAACACTATTTTACGAACTAAAGCCGGCCGTTTAGGAGTATACCTATGCGTTAATGCTTTTTAGTGTTGAACTATGTGCAAGCCCCTTGTGCAGCCGTAGACTTTAAAGCATTAGTTGAGCCAATTACAAATTAAAGACACCCAAAAGGCCCGACGTACACATACAAGGGTTGATAATATAAATTAGATTATAATAGAACTAACATACAAAAGTAAGCTGCGAAGTGCCGCCTTTTTTTGGCGAACAGGATTGCTAAAGCTATTGATTGAGTGTTACGAGTGTGTACAGAAAATAGATTATTCTATATTTTTCTGTACAAACTCTTGCGGTATTTACGTACTTTTAAAATAGAGTACAGATACTATATACTATACTACATCACTGAAATACATAATATTCGTAGTTATGAAAGATAAGAATAAAAAAGAGGAATGGCTAAACAGCCAAAGCCGTCGTCATTCAACCGGGTTTTGGACAACTATTAAAATAAAGTCTTTATCTGGTGCAACCATCACCTCACTTTTCTTACTCCGAATTCTTAGAAATGTTAAATCATTTGTGGGATCCAAGTCTCTGACCACAGATTTTGCTTTATCCACCAAAGCGCTCAGCAGTCCAGCATATTGCACAGAGATGTGGTTGTCCAATGTAGTCTTAATCGGAATGCCTTCGCCATTAACTACAATAACACCAGCGACACCTTTATGTGCTGATAGCTTACGCACAGTTTCTTCGGCCTCGTTTGCCATTACCGAAGATCAGTATAAGAAATGAAGAAATAAACTTCAAACAGTCGTATTTTATAGAAAATATACAAAATTTACAATATTCGTTTTTTGGTTCATCTACTTGTGGTAAATCTGACAGGAAAACAATTCGATTTTTAAATAAAATCAAAGAGTCATACGAAGATACCTATATGTTTTTATGACTTACCTAAACAAGAAAGAGTTTTTATACCCAAAGGAAGTAGAAGGTAAAGCAATTAGGTATTTAAATCGTAATAATAAAATCTATATGTTTTATTTCATATCCTTAACAACGCCCCTGTCAACTATTTACGGGACGGACGGTGGACAATACTACGGTAGTACGGACAGTTTTTAACCTAGACAAAACTGTAGATATACTACGGAGTTGATATAATTTTTAAGGGTAGCGAATTGATCATACGTTATATATTTTTTATGTTCGTACGAACGAACATGCACGAATATTATCATGGTGATAATTTTTAAAGGACCATGTGTGACTACAGTCCAATTTTTTTTCCCAATAGCTACGCTTTATTCAAGTTCATAAAGCTTATCATCTTGCAAGAGGGTTTTCAAATTAACAATAGCCAGGTTATTCTTTGTTGGGCAGTCTTGGGTCTTTGAGGGATTATTAGCAACCTCTGTCCAGTCGGTTACCCAACCGTAGCCGTCCCCAGCAGGATCGGTGAGGGCTGACGGCCGTTTTGATTTTTTGCTTTTCATAGCCTCAAAACGCCTTGCTGGGCATTGCGAGTTGGACGTTTTCAAAGAAACTTAAGCCGTAAGGCCGCCATAGCCACTTAGATCCGATTTTCTGACTAGGTGTATTGCTATAATTATACTAGTCGGATGAGCTCAGTCCGTTGTTTATCAGGGAGCACCGCGGCCATCCGGCGCTTGATATTTGGGCCGGTTTGGTGTTGCTACCGTTCTTCCCTTACTCCTCTTATAGATAAATGGACTAGAGTTACGCCGGAACGTAGGTAATCACCAATATGAAACAGCAACGCTAGTGTTATTTACAGTGAGTAAAACCGAGGTGCTCAAGCCAGCATGCATATATGTTTTTTTTATATGACTACATTTTTACAGGGAATTACAATATAATTTTGGATGAAACTTGACGTTCTGATGCAAAATCATTGTATTTATATTAGCGAAAGAATTTATTTATGCTAACAAGTGTCTTTTATAATATCATTTTTCGTTTTCTTTCCTGTATTGGTTTATATCTAGAGCATTTTGCCATTTAGTGACTGACCCGAAACACAATCCCGAGCCTGGTTTAACTAGAACCAGGCACAGAAGCCTATGGACACCTGCAACTCAAGCGATACAAGTGCGTTGTTGCCCATTGAAGGGAGGGGAGAGAATTTCGGTGAAAAGAACGAAATTACTGTTTAACATCGGTTTTCCTTGAGGCGATGGTACCACTACCGTCAAGCCGGCCAATATGTGCTGAAGTATAGCTTTAGCACGATACAACTGCGAGAATCTTTAAAGTAAAAAACAATTAAAATTTATAAACCATTTTATTTAAAAAACACACCAGTACATACAACACTCGTTCGTATGATTGTTCTATTCGAACGATTTTTTAAATTGTTAATGTAAAGAGGAACTCAATATATAATTGTTTACGTTCAAATTAAGAAAAAACCATTCAAATGTAACTTAAAGACTTAATAATTAAATTAATTAATTTAAAAACTTTAATTATGCGTTAACTATATAGAAAAATAATGATTTCTACGATGACAAAAGGTTTATTTTCTATTTGAGATTGTGATGATCGTGATTATCCAAGTGGTTGAAAATAATTACAATCGAATCCACACGTAAATGTAATAGAAATTTTTAATAGCTACAATTATAAGGTACTTTAAACACAAGTGGAGACGTTTATACGTATTTAATATGACTTTTTCAACTTTGATATTATTGATTCAATATCGATGTTAAATATTTTATAGAAATAACTTGTCAACTGTGGCTGAGGCTTTTATTTTAGAATAAGATTGTTACAGGCTTACACAAACCACTTTATAGAACTAGTGTTCTATAAAATGGTTTATTATAATAGAATTCCAACAAAAATGTGAAGAATGAAACGTGGTACTTTGCGAAACCACACCTTAACTGCCACCTGGTTACCCTCAATCCTTTACCTTCCGTTACACAGTTGTTGTTATTTATGTAGCTAACATATTATATTTGTTAAAGCGAAGTGGACGAGTAACACGTGATAAAATTGACTAGCTTGAAAGTGAGTTTGAGTGAGGACTGCAACTGGAATTTCACTTACGTACTTATAGTTTTTCTGAGAAGGGCTGGAGCTGGGTTCAAACAATTAGTGATGTGATCTGACCGTTGTTGCGGACTCACACAATAAATTGAGAGAAACCAGGCTTTGGTCTTTACAAAAATGGTCTTAAATATTCTTTAGTAAACTATGCCACTTGTCCGTGTGGTGACAGATTAAAAATACGGAGTGTCACCACCCCTATTCATCCCGTGGGTGTTGTAAAAGCCGACTAAGGGAGCAAATTACGCAGGACAATAGCACTGCAAAGAGGAGGAAAACTTTACACAAACCCTATGCCAACACCCGTCTGGCCAGCGTGGTATAGTAGGCCGAAACCTCTCATGAGAGGCCTATGTCCAGCAGTGGACTACTAAAGGCTCTTGATGATGAAATCATACTAGAACTGGTTAAAGCCAATTGCCTGTTTATAATTGTAAGGTAGTCTATCTAATGTCAACATGAATTTTTCATCTAAATCAACGAATGAACTTATGAAGTAACATAAATAATTATTTTTATTATCAAAAGACCTTATCCCAATTATAGTTTTAATCGTGATTTCTTTAAATTTTAATGATTTGAATAAATAAAATTGAGTATTTTCATCCTCATTGTGCCTGTTTATTTAAGAATATTTACTGTAATAAAATAAAATAATCTTGAATTGGAATAAGAACTCTTAATGAAATATATTAAAGATCGTTATACTGTGAGCTAGAAAAATAAATGTAAATAGTGATTATACATATCTTGTATATGTACTATAATACGTTACGTAAAAACTATGTTGTGTAATTTTAACTGCATTTAATTAGAGGAAATTGAATAATAACACATAAAAAAATTTTTACGCATTTTCTTTATCCAAACAATAGCTGCTATACTTTTTGGTCTTTCGAGCCTTCTGTGTTGCCATGAACTTTTCTAGACTACCTTTTACTGACTTAAAAGTTTTTACGTATCGGTAAGCTACAAATAGCTTAGCGTGCACCACTACTACTTGGTACTAAATAGTGAAAATAAATGCAGTTTAATTTCCATCAACTATATGGTTAAACAAAGGACCATGTGTGATTATTATGATTAAACAAAGGACCACGTATGACTATTATGCTTGAACCTACGGGACTCATTACAAGCAATTGAATACATTCTAAGAAAATTGAGATTTCGTTATCATACTTACGTTAATATAAATAAGGTTGAAAGCTGCAACACTTCTTTGGGTGTACAAAGATGTGATTAAAGAAGGCTGTGTATGCAATATATTATACATTTTATTATATATTAGTCTTTGATAGTCTAAAGTTTCATTTCAAAGCGTGTCAGTTGGTTTTATTTGAAAATGTGTGTATATGATAAATAAATGTAATTTATTTCATAGAATTAGAGATATAGAAGTAATTTTTGTTGGCAAACATTGAATACTATACGTTGGTTGGTTTGTAAGTGTTATGTGTTGAATGTCATTCAATGCGTTAGAAACTAAATGTTGCCAGTTTATTACTATTGCCTATTTGGTGTCCAGATCGAAAAATATAAATTTTATTTTAGTGTTACGGGCTCTTAACTACGGACTTTCCCATATTTTATTTAAAAAGTATCGCCGCCTTCAATCCACCTAAATCACGATAACCTATACATATAAAAGTATGTACTTGCCTTGAGTGACTGATTCGTCAAGGCAGAGCCTAAACCGCTGTGACTACAAACTTCAAATGTTGGTAGCTGATGTTTTTTGTGTTATAAGCACTCACTAAGAAACGATTTTTAGAAATTTAAACCTTTAGGGGTGTCAATAAGGCATAAACGGTTGTATGGAAGTTTTAAAGTTAGAAGCACGAATTAATCACGCGAGTGAAGCAGCGAGTAATTCACTTTTTATCTTTCCCAATCTTTAAGGTTGATTTTTTTTTTAATTTAAATAGGACCAGTATTTAGTACCACCAATTTAATTAAATAAATAATGATCAGTGTGAACGATTCAGAAATGATCAAGAAATCGCGAAACTTACAAAAACACATTCCAATTAAGATCTTATTTCTTATAGTCGATTAAAATACATATATAGTGTTTTTAGACACATATGATTTTTCAAATTTCCATACATAAAAGGAAGATTTATTTAGTCCTGAAACTCTTTCTAAGAAATAAATTACACTCAAAAATATTATGTATACAATACCAACGCAGTTTACATCGATACAACAGTAACATAGAAAACATGCACAGTCAGAAACGAAACTCGCTAAACACATTAAAATTTCAAAATGAGCTGATCAATATTTACATTATTTTTAAATATTTTGACTTATCTACTTCAGTGTCAGAAAAAAAATATCACATTAGTGTTGCCAAGTCGGTCGTGTTCAGAGAATTTCCTTACCAACCGTACGAACATACATTTGTATTAAATTAGAAATATCAATTAAAAAGTCTTGATAATAACTTAATGATATATTTTTTAATTATTGTTTCCGTTGAGAATTTAAACCTATGTAATAATAGACATCCATTGATATATCTTACATTTCTTTCATTACCATAAATTACAAACTTTTTTCTTATACTTTGGAGTGTACTGCGATTTTCGCGAAAAATTTAAATATGCTTTTTTGCATATATTGTCTCAATATATTAATCCCGTGAACGTGTACGATTATACTTTATAGTAAAATCAAACCCATAAACACTAGACATTAAAAAGTTCAGACCACCTTGGCCTAAACAATTTATTTAATCTTCTAATTCCATAAACGTTACTAACACGGCAATTTAAATAAAGAACGAAAGAATCATAGACAAGAATTTAGAAAAAAGGAATGTCTTTGAAACACTGATGAAACAACCATACACGTAAATTACATATTGATGACAACACAATTACTTTCATCATCAGTACAATCTTTTTCTAGATTGTTCTTGACGTTTCTGGTACCACATGATACCTAAGACAACGAGGACTATGATGACAATTGCTATACACATCATGTATAAGAATGTTTTGACGCCAGACATTGCAGGTTTGGCATCTTCGATTCGTTCCCGAGGCGCCTCAAATGATGCGGCCGACGGAATGATTTGGGAGCGGTCTTCATCTTTGTTTTGCTGAAATGAATATATATATATTATTTTACATTACAGGTCAACGTTGCATCGCAGGTGGTATTATAATTCAAACTAAAACGTCAGAGCATTTAATCTACAATTTTTTTACCCGTCACACACGCACGTCTGTCTGATCCCAAATTATACAGAGCCTATATTGTGTATGTAACTAGACTCCTGATAAACATACTTATATATTTCTAAAACCATGCATATTATAGATAAATTAAACCCAGCCACAGAAGAAATCATCGTGCTTATCACACCATTATTTGTTCTGGGTGGGATCGAACCCACGACCTCTGGCTCAGCAGTCAGGTTCACTGGCCACTAGGCTCGGCAATATGTGAAATATTATTGTTTAACATCGTCATCATCATCATGTAAGGTATAAGACGGTCACTGCTGAATATAGGTGTCACTTATTGACTTTAAAGCACCTGCCTCAACCGATAATTTGCGACCTTTATAGGGGAGTCTGTCCACCTGCTCAGCTCTAAAACTGTTTGGCCCTATCGGTTACTAGTTTTGGGTCCTGTGGTGTTACCATTACTGATCATTTGAGCCCCAAAAACGATAACATTCTGTTCATTTTCGATTGATCATTAATATAAGGTTGAAAATAAATAAACTCACCGCTTCTAAAAGATCCAGTTCATACATTTTTATGGCGATGATGTCGTGATTGTCACTTAGGTCGCCAGTCGTTGCCGACGCTCCGAAGAAATATCCAGTAGGGAGCAGCACATTATGTACCTTGAAGCATTCCTTCCACGCATTCTTGCCTTCCAAGTCTGTGGATACTGTAAGAGTATATGTTTAATTAAAGCAACCGCCATATTGTAAAATAATAATACTGACCATTAAAAAATCTTGTGTACCATTGGTGTGGTACGGTGGCTTCCTAATATATACCATTCTAATTCAAAATTAAAAGATATTATAAGGAATAAAACACACGTAAATGGTATTGATATTAAATAGATGTGTGGTTTTATTCCCGTGAGTATTTCGAGGATGCCTGATTAGTTTTGAATCCAACAATGGACCTTTATCAGAGATCAAGCGATCTTCATCGCTTCTCGGAAGGTCGGTCCGAAGGTCGACACGCGTGAGTAGAAAAGTATGTCTTCAACATATTTTGACCTAAACCCAGTTTAGGTCATATTTGACTACGATATGCAATATTATTTCTCCGCTCTTGCTTCTCTGATTGGGCGGTGAGGGTTATTACGTCATAGCGACTTGCAGTAATTTAATAAACTTGCAATTTGTAAACATTACCTGCAGCTACATTCAACCAATCAACATAAAATAGAATTAATGTTTTTCAGGTAATCGGTTAGTTGTTTTATTGTTAGCTTATTTGATTGCACGTCAAAATACCTGTGTTATAGCCTTGTAGATAAGGTGTACGGCTTCCTTGGACACTTTTTTGTCATATTCAACGACACAGTCGCAAAAGATAATCAATTTCTTCTGATTAAAGTTAAAAATAATAATTATATACACTAAGCTACACTACAAAAACCGATTTGACTTTACCTATTATTATTTATTAGTGAAAGACAATGCTGTGTACTAGGGGCACCTCTAATCATAACAGAACAATCACATTAATAATAAACTCACATGTCACACACAGTCGTTTGATCCCAAACTAACTAGGCAGAACCTGTGCTATAGTAACCAGACTGCTAATCAACATACTTATGTATTTTAATAATTATACCCGAATTATGTGCCCCACACATAAAAAGAAAATCTCCTGGGTGGGAATGGAACCTACAATATCTGGATCGCTAAAGACTAAATCCGCTTAAATCCAAATTAAGCATAGTTATTACTACGGATTCTAAAACACGGACACACATTATTATTCCTACATACGTTTACATATTAAACATTGTATATGTTTAATATGTAAACGTATGTAGGAATAATAATGTGTGACAAATTATTAAGTAGATAGTAAAAACATGCAAATTATACTTTTTTTATAGTAAAGATGAACAATACTAATCGGGACGTACCTGTGAGAGTATCATCCATGTATGTAATAGATATGTGTGTGTCATGGTTGTAGTTGCGGAACTTAGCTTCGCAGCCTGAGATCTGTGTGTGTGTGCCGTCCCTGTCGTGGTCGTAGTGCAGCGACCCGTTGTTTATCATCGCCGATATATACGGGTGCTGGTGCTGTATGAGAAATTAGCTTTATAAATATAATTCTAAGACAATTGAACCTTGTTGTGCAAAAACTATTTAATCAACTACATGGTCAAATTAATTACCCTAATTAAATCACCCAAATTTGTACAAAGGGATTTGGCCGCCATCGTAACTAATAATAATAATAACTTCACACATCTTATTACACACGGCCGTCTGATCCCACTATAATTCTGTACTATGGTAACCAGACTGCCGGTAAACATACTTATATATTTCTAAATGCATACATATATTCTAGACAAATTACACCCAGACAGAACAAATTATGATCGTGATTCTTTTTTGAAACTCTTAGAAAGTTAGCTAGTTTCACCAGCACTTTCTATCATTTTAAAAGTCTCGTCAGCAGTTAATAAACATTGCTCTTCTGTGGGTGATTAGGATAACAAGACAAAGTAACCAAATTTAATTAACTAATGCATGTGAATGTTAACACATTAATTACACCCAAAATGTTTTTGTCTATGTGTAGTTGTTAGAGTAATCTCCGGAACTGGTGGATCGATTTCCACTGGTCTTTCATTGCAAGATAGCTAATGATATAAGATTTATTAAGGTGTCACATAAATATAATTGTGGCGCAAAATAAATTGTAGAGCATATATAATGCATACTATTAACTTACATTATGTGCACCGTTATGGTTACTGTAAGTATCCAATATGATGGTGAGGCCTTCGAAGTAGTCCTTACTGCCGAAGACAGGGCCGGTCTGCATGCGGTCCCTGACGTACCATATCGCAAAGCCATCACCGAAGAGGTCCTTGCCTCGGCCGTGCACCTTGAACTGAACTTGAAGCTCCCAGTTGCGTGTTTGGCATGGCTGGTGGAAGAAATGATAGGATACAGTATACTTATCAAACAGTGACGTCAGGTGTCGCTAATACTATCGACAGTGGAATTAGTTCTATTCAACAATGAGAAGAGAAAAACGGTAACAATTCTTACTAATTTGTAAAGGAATAATGACGGGTTTTTTTACTAAAAGCGTCTGAATGCTTATGCAGGCTTATACGAAAAACTTTATTTTTGTTTTGTTTGCAGTTTTGTCCATCCATATTGTGCCCACCTGTAAGTGGCGAGATGCTTAGTTATAAAATCTATACGTTTGTACTACTACTAAACATTGTAATAGTGTACTCGCCGTTGATGGCTTAATAAATAAAGAAATAAAATAAATAAATTTTGTAAATGTTGGTTGTCAGTTTCTTCAGATAGCATTATATATACTTTTATTTATTTGTTTGTTCACGGTATAATACATTCGTTAGTAACATATAGTTACTTCTGCTAATCTGCTAGCAGATAGCCAATAAAAGCACATAACTGAGGATAGTATTTTTTTTGTATTGTGGAGCAAATAAGCAGACCGGTCATCCGTTGGTAAAGTGACTACCGTCGGCCATGATCACGTGCAAGTCAAGCATCACAAATGCATTGTCTGCTGCCCTTGAGTCCCTATCCCTACAATCACGGGTTTGGGCTCCGGTAAGGTCACTCACTCGAGGAAAAGCAACAAAAGCCTTCCTTAACGCCGGTTTTCTATAAGGAGTCGAAAGTGTCATTGCGGTCGCGTCGGGCCCGCATGTGTAAATGTTTTTTTTTATTTTTTATGGAAGAAGGGGAAAAAGAGCAGGCGGGTCACGTGATGGGAAGTGACTATCACACGTGATAGTCACAAGCGCGTTGCCAGCCTCTGAGGAAGGAGTACGCTCGTTTCTTGAAGGGTTGAAGATCGTATCGGTCCGGAAATACCGCAGACGATAACTTGTTCTACAGGTTGGTAGTGTGAGACAAAAGTGTCTTGAAAAGCGCACAGTTGTGGAGTGCCAATTATACAAGTGGGGACGAAAAGTTGCGACCGATTAGTCCGAATAATCCCTCCGATTGTTTTTCGTAACAGTTTACGCGGATTTATATGAAAAACGTCATTGTGTAAATTTGGTCTGTCAGTTTGTTCAGGTGGAATAATTTCAATGGAACTTCAACTCGCAGATAGCTATTTTCATAAGAAGTAACTTAGGTTAGTATGTATAATAGAGTTCGGTTTCGTGTCACAGAATCTATATTAATGCAATAGACCCGTAGGCTTAGGCTAATCTATATATATAAAACAAAGTGGTGTTAGTTACACCATTTATAACTAAAGAAGGGCTGGACCACTTTTTATGATTTTTGTGTTATAATAGGACAATAAGTAACATATGATATTCATCAATAAAAAAATATGATTAAAAAACATCAGTCTAGCCGTTTACTTGTTCTAAATGGTATTACAAAACGCAACTGACAGCTCACGTAATGTTGTCTATGGTTGATTTAAATTGAACTTGATAATTTTGAATTAATTTTAAAATTCTAAATCTGCTCATTCATTGACTGTTAGACGAAACAAAGTTCGCCAGGTCAGCTAGTATAGAATAGAGAATGGTATAAAGCGTTTGGGTTGCAATACATTTACATAATCAAATACGAGTACTCAGACTACTCAGAGCATTAGTAGGTAACGACACTCGCGGGCTGCCAAATGTTTATTTTTTCTTTTAAATCATCAATATAGGTATTTCATCGCGATGTTTAAAATTGTAGTTTCCGTGAATAATAAACATAATTGATTGTTTCTCAGTGCTTTTGTAAACATAGTTCGTATATACAAACTTATATATGTACTCGAATGGTTCAAGCAAGTTAATGTATTAAAAGTTATAATAATTCTAGGTCGTATTTACAACAAGAGGTCGTGGGTTCGATTCGAGCACGATCGTTTGTTCAAGAAATGCTATACCTAGCTATTTTCTTATTATGTTATATTAAGCTTTATTTTATTACAAATCTTGTTTATTATTATAGTTCTATTATATTATAGATAATATATTTTTATTTTTCAAGTTTTAGTTATCAATAGCTACAATTTATTTGCGACGTGTAGTTCCATCCATCCAATTTGTTGCTACCTTTTATTTGTCTACCCACGCCTCTTTTGCCTTAAAACAATGTATATACTGTATACGTACCAATTTCCATTTTTATCTAAAAATCTATATTTTCTCATGTGTTTATAATCGAATAGATTAAGAAAGTAATAAAACATTTAAACAATTTGAAGCGCTCAGTCTTCTCGTAATATTACCAGATTTCATTGTTTCCTTTGTGTACGCTTTATTTTTGTTATTTGACACACATTCATGACGCACTCCTACTGTTGTTTATTAACTTCCAAATAACTGAGGCTCCTGATAAAATACTTAGTATTAACCATATTTAAAGTTATCTACACAAATAAATATAATTGAAGTGTCTGTTTGTAATGTTAAAATAATAGGTTTTTTCAAGCTCACACGGTTATTTTAAACTGGTTTTTATTTACACGATACCTAGACCAGGTATCGTGTAAATAAAAACCAGTTTAAAAAAAAATTGTCTGTATGTCTGTTTGTTCCGGATAATCTTCAAAACGGCTTGACCGAATTTGATAATATTTTACTACTATACAATTTTGCTCGGTCATGGAATCGAACCCACTAAGGCAGCGCTTTTCAAAATCCACGCGAACGAAGTCGCGGATATCTACCAGCTAGTACTTGAATACAATGGCGTTTAACATCCATACCAATGCTATAAATGCGAAAGTGTGTCTGTCTGTCTATCTGTCTGTCCGTTACCTCTTCACGCTTAAACGATTTAGATGGAATTTGGTATAGAGATAGTTTGAGTCTCGGGAAAGGACATAGGATAGTTTTTATTCCAGAAAGGTTAACATGCATACCCATGGAAAACTACGGTGGACAAGGGGACAGACAGACGGACATGGTGAAGCTGTTCTTGTTAGTGAGTTTCGAATGATAGTATAATAATACTAGATACAATCTAGACAAAATCTACAAGTACCTACACCTTTATTATGCATCATCAATTCCTATAAATATCGGTTACAAACTACCACATTAGAAATGCGTCATACCGATAGATAGCAACAAAAGGTAATTTTGTAGTACATACCTAATAAACAAACATTATCTATGGTACATGAGGACCGTTTTGGCTTCCTGTGAGTTGATCGCTGCCAAATGACGACGTTTTATAACGTTCAAATTTTGAAGCTAATATTTTTAATGCAAAAGCACTATATTTCCACTTTTCTTTTCACATTATAAATGTTGCAGATTTGAGTTCCTTTCCTAGAGTCAGTAGCGGCCTTAGCCTTTGAGAGGCACCGGACAGGTAGATAATAGCGGGGCCCCTGTCTTTGTGGAATTAGTTTTAATGATGATATTTGGAACAAAAAACTTACAGCATGTGCTGCGTTGAATTCTCTAAGATAAAAGCATAAACTAAAAAAAAGCTAATAAAATTACAGGCAGAATGAAACACGGAGAACCCCCCAAACGTAAATAATTATCAAATCGTTTGTCAAAACAAAGTACAAGAAGATTCAAATAAACATTCTTCTACTGGGATTATTGCGCGAGTGCGCTACGAGTAGACCCAGGCCTCAATTCTGCTATTCTAATATTGTATCAATAGACTGTCGAGGGAAGCCTTCGGAATAGTTTTACACTTTTCGTATTCTACTAACTATGTGAGACCAAAATGGCCTCCAGATGACTTGTCACTGAACTGCCACTTATATAAATGTCGTCGATGTCTTTGTAATAGTTTGGTAAACGGTACATTTTAAATTTGTAAGAAAATGAAATATTTAATCTTGCAGGTATGGCAATGTTGTGGATATCACCATTGAATGATGAATTATCAATTATGCATCAAGTTACATTACTATATCGACAGTCTATTGACACTGTGAATTTTTGTTAGTAGAATACTGATATTTTAACTAATGTCAATGGTGTCTCAATGGTATCTCAATAGTGTGCCAATGGAATGTCAGTGGATTGGCGTTAACATAAAATAGTAGAATTCAGGCCCCGAGCGGTTGCCCTGCTAGCCACCCCCACAGGCCGCAACTGTCAAGAGTTGATTATTACAATTTAAGGCAGACCCCACATTCCTTTGCTGTGTTTATTGTGTGATCAACAGAAGGGATTTATAATATATGTATATGTTTATATATATATATATATATATATATATATATATATATATATATATATATATATATATATATATATATATATATATATATATATATATAATGAATGATGATGATGAGTGGCCGGGTCAGTGACGCTAACATAAAATCCAAGAGTTAATGTTTTTATCTTCAAGCTAAGTCATAAGTGCGATATCGGCCTTAAGTGGGAGGACGCTGTTTTCTTAATGTAGCTTTATACCTAAGGTAGTGCTTCTATCACTCTAGAACGCAACCAATATGCTTGATACCTTTAATGGTTAATTATAATATATTCCCTTATTAATTAATCATAACCTATTGTTTGAAAGACTTCAAAATGTGTATAGCAAATATACGAATATTGCTATTCAAATTGAAACCTTATGATGCATAAGAGAGAGCTACAATTTAGTTATTAGACGCGAATGTACGCATATGTCCTTGTTCTGGTTGCTTGCTCACCTTACGGTACTATTGAAAACTTGAAGGTTATTTTTTCTTTTACTTAAAAGCTAAAAAACGTAAAACTGCAAAAAAAAAATATGATAAGAACTCCTCTAGTTTAGTTATTTTATTAACTTATAGTTAAGTTACAGTTAAGGTATAGCTGTTTGCAGCAGTTTGGCAATTTTTATTACAACATCTTTATATATATAATTCTTCTGTGAGTGTGTATGTCACTGAACTTCTCTCAAACGACTGGACCGATTTTGATGAAATTTTTTGTGTGTGTTCAAGAGGATCTGGGAATGGTTTAGATTCACAATTTTGTCCGCTGGACAATGTTTTTTTAATTAATTTTTAATTTATTAGTAGTTGTTGATTTTGGAATGTTTTACATTGGATCTGACAGACGGCGCTACCATCGCAGTGTCAAATTTGACAGGACAACGTCTGTCGGGTCCGCTAGTAATATATAATAAGCTTTTAACACTAAATTAAAATCGGGAAATCGATGGTGAGGGCTCAGTGATCTATATATTTTTAAAGAGGTGATTATAAATGAAATAAATTGCAGATACAGTAATAAATACTGTAAAAACCCGGAGTTATGACTCAGCAGATTTCTGTTGGAATTGGTTTTTTTTTGTTTAACTGACGAAGTTTCTTTTTCTCCCCAAAGACCGATAGCTAACCAGTACTAAAAGTGATGTTTAACATTTATATTGGTGAGAAAATAAGCGCAGCTGTGCTTTGGGCCGGGTTAGTATCACAAATGTGGTTAGTGTGTTTAGGATACTCAAAATTATTGATACCGAACTATCGAGTGCGATATTTCAGTTCGATAGTATTCATAGCACAGTAACTATTAAGGCGTAAATTTAATATTATCATATAAAGAGATATAGAGAGAGAGATATCATAATAAAGAGACTCTTAATACCAGTTTTCTGTGATTTCGACTTGTAGTCTTTCTGCGATTGTCAGCTGGCGTCGTGAACGTTTTCATAAGAACGAGGACACGAATAAAAAAAAAACAGTGTCACTCCGGGAGTGCCGACAGAAGTAAAAACTTGAAAAAAAAAATTTTCTTGATTCGTAGAGTCCCAACATGAATATATATCTATGTTGTATATATATAAACAACATATGTTTATACTATATAAAGTTATATTATCAATGTATTTCAACCCAAAGTCAACTCTCGTCAGAGCCAATTTATTTAGATACTTACTAGCTGACCCAGCAAACTTCGTGCCGCCATAATATCGGCACAATAAGTTTTATTATAATAATACTCGTAAAAACACTCGTAAAAACTCTTAACACTGGCACAAAACAACCACATGGACCGGTCAACTTCGATTTTAACAGTTTGCGGTATTTAAAACAAACCATAGACAACATTAGCGTGAAAACGTGAGCTGTCAGTTGCTTTTGTTATACCATTTATTACAAATTAACAGCTGGACTGATGTTTTTTTTAATTTATTTTTATATATATAATCCTATTCCGGACGAAGAGGAATCCAAAAACACAAAAATCATAAAAATTGGTCCAGCTGTTCTTCAGTTATAAATGGTGTAACTAACACAAGTTTATTTTATATATATAGATATACAGAGGTGTCGGTAACGGTAACAGAGTCACGAATTCAATGGTTTTTTACCATCTCAAAGAATGAGTTTTTTGTTTAACCTGCAAACCTGTTTAAAATACAACAGTGGGCCAAATGCAAGTTTATTTCACATCAACTAATCCCCACAGCGAGCGAGCGATCATCCAAAGGGCAATAATATAATTCTTCAATAATTTGAATTGTTTACTTTAAGTTCCTCCCCTAGCGGAAAATAAAGCAAAAAGGTTTTAATAATATGTGGATAGAAATAACTAAGACTACACAGTTTTATGTCACTTGTGTCTATTTACTATTTCCTGGTCTCAAATATATTCTAAGTAGTAATTCTATAGACATCAACAGATTTATTAAATTTTTTGCTACCTCTTTTCATAACGGTCGGTAAAAAATAGTTTCTATTGTTTTCTTAAAAGACTACCGTAATAGTATGGCAGATATTTATTATCAAGATTTGTAACCACAACTTTGGCAAATATTTATATTATAATCTGAATATTAATTCATAATTATAAATTGGCAGACATAACTGAATAAACAATAGGTAGGTAATCTTAAAAATTTTGAACAGTGAAAGTTATTACGGAAATTTATTGGGTTCATAAAACCTCTAAAGTGCACCGAACTTATCACTAGAACACTATTCATAACAATAGAAGGACGCACTGCTCTTTATCGTACGTTTGATAATAATCAATTGACACTTACCACTGTATTCCAGATAGCTCCTGATTTTGACTGCAGGTCGGGAGTCAAACGCACATAATTTGATGTTACTATCGTGCTACCTAAGAAGTCCCAGTAAGGCACCGACATTCCACTCCCTGTCGTTAATTAACAGATTTTATTGTTAGCGAAAATTCTAGGCAATATCATTGTGATCAACACCGGGTAGAGGTCACTCACCTTGGTAAGGTTTTGTGAGAGAGTGCTCTCGTCTGATGTAATCTCTTGTATTCCATTCTGCTAAAATTGAGCTTACTAGTATAGATATTAAAAAGATTTGCACCCAATACAGCTTTTCATAAAGCATTTTCGTAATTTTCTAGACACACTAACCAATGACAAAATGACAAGCCAAACGCCAAATCATGGCAGCCGCTTGAAGGGCTGCCAGCTCAAATAAATATTTTTTGGCAAATTTATGTTAGTAAAACGCCTAACATTTACCAAAATGCTAACTTTTATGAAAAATGATAAAAAAATATTTCATAAACTATTACTACTTCTATTATTGATGTGGCACATCTAATGTAAAAGGTTGGATTGGTTGTTGGCCTAGGAAACGCATGGACATGATATGCGACAAAAACCAAACACCGTGTAAATAGACCTCTCATTAGAAAGGAGGTTCCGGTGTACTATACCACGCTGGCCAGACGAGTTGGTATAGGATTTGTGTGAAATATTCTTGTCATCATCATCTGCCTACCCTTATCTCAATTTTATTTGGGATCAGAGCAGTTTGAATTATTCGTCTATTCATTGTGAAATGTTCTGATAAAAAAGTATTTTTTTTTATGTAATGAGAAATCATGACTTTATACATATTGCCTGATATATGCTTCTTACACCAAAAGTGACACTGTGACGCTGCTTTTGCCATTACATTACAATTTTGACAAACTCTGCGAATAAAACTAAATAATTAACTAAAGTGTTTATTTTTGATGGAACATGTGGCATTTGGTAATTTTGTTGCTAATTTTTGAAGAATAAGATAAAAAGAGCTCAAAAAAGAGCTACTTCCTTAAATGGCTTTTTTATTGCCACCACTGAAAAAAAATCTAAATTCAGCCATAAAAATAACAAGCTGGCAGCACTGGCAGCTTTTCAGCCGAAGTGTTGCTACATTCGCATATTTATCTTTTCTTCAACGAAAACATAATTAATAAATCATCCAAAATATATGACGTACAAGTAAAATCCAAGGTTTTACACTTTATTAAAGAAAGACATAGATTTTGTGTACTGGTATCATTGTAAGGTAGGCAATATGACATTTATTTGGTACAGTCGATACAGCAGTGTCCAACTCTTTTAAGAATTTTAATTAGTACATAAAATCGTCATGAGATGTCACTGCTAAAATTTAGCAGTGCCATCTGGTGGAGGAAAGTGTAAAAGTCGTTTAGAAACGTTCAAGAGTTAAAGTTTGTTAACCTGTATATTCATTATTTTTAATTAAACGAACAAATACAGAATAGAACTGATATTAGTAAAATTTACGAACTTTTTTAAGAAATGCTATGTTTAAACATGAATCATCAATTGACATGCTCGACAAATCGCATGGACGAAATTACTCCTTATGCAGAATATTGCATGCGATCCGGCGAATAACATGAGCCATGACAAATGACAAAGTGCCGTTATCTATACTAATATTATAAAGCTGAAGAGTTTGTTTGTTTGTTTGAACGCGCTAATCTCAGGAACTACTGGTCCGATTTGAAAAATTCTTTCAGTGTTAGATAGCCCATTTATCGAGGAAGGCTATAGGCTATATATCATCACGCTGAGACCAATAGGAGCGGAGACTCAATGAAGAATGTTTCAAAAACTGAGAAAATTTATTACTATTGAGAGACGCAGACGAAGTTGCGCGGGTCAGCTAGTAGAATATAAAAATTAAATATACATGACATACATACTCTGGTGTGTAAAATAATTTAGTTAATTTAAAGAAAATAACGAATGAACAGATCTATTTGTTATTTTATTTTTATCAGTTATTTGAGAACACAACCGTGTGGCATTATGTAAAATTAAACTTTAGAACAATTGTTTATATTAAAATCTAAAGGATATGTGTATGCGAATCCGAAATAATGTACCTATCAATCACTTGTAGTTAAACACAACATATATTATATTATACAATTGGTCTAGTGGTTAGTGACCTTGACTGCTAAGCCGGAGGTCGTGGGTTCGATTCCTACCCAACAACCCAGGACAAATATTGTGTGATGAGCACGATCATTTGTTTTGTGTCTGGGTGTAATTTATCTTTAATTTGTATGTATTTAGAAATATTTAAGTAGGTATGTTTTCCTGCAGATTGGTTGCCATAATACACGTTGTGCCTAGTTTAGGACCAGACTGCCGTGTGTGAGACGTGTGAAGTTATTAAGTTATTATTATTAATTATAAATAGTAAGCTTACCGTACATTTCAATGTACAATACAGTTAGAATACCACCTAGATTTTAAAAGAATATTGTCTCGTCTAGACATAAATCTAAAAGCGTACTTATTTGTTATGAAACATTAGGTGGATCATAGAGAGAGGTTTAATTTATAGGATTATGTTGAAACGCATGTACTATTTTCTATTTTATAATAATATTTCTATTGCACATTCAAAAATTAATATTAACGATTTCTAACGATTTAGAAATCGTTTATATTTTGATTGAAAAAAAGCGTGTTAAATGAAATCGATTTTTGGTTTTAATAAGTTCGGCAACATTTTTGGTTATTAATAATTTACTAAAAAAATGGACAGGGTACATACTCTGTCCATTTATCTAGTTTTTAATATTGACTAGGTATCTACATACATACATACATAAGTATGTAGTATACCTACCTAGTCAATAAGTCAATCTGCGGAAGACTTCGGACGAATGAAAATATTTTAAAATGATTTTTTTTATCTAGTAGGTACTACTGGAGTCTAGGTATATTACACTTTGTAATTTCAACAGAAATAATATTCAATAGAGTTTTAAGCAACATTAGTATTATTTAATAATTATATGTTTTAATTTTTTTAATTCCTTTATTGATACATAATATATGTATTTGTTACTAATAAATAATTTAGAATACTTAGGCTGTCTAAAAATATATATCTTTATCCCACTGTATTATTTAATTTAACTAATTTCCTAGAAAATAAAAAAATATTCTAGTGTATAGAAAATTCATAAATAATAGGCTTTACAGGGACTCTGGGAAGAACGTTGTGAACACCATGTATCTTAAATTTAGTTTATTACTTTGCTTTTCTAAAAAGACACCCGCGCGTGTTGCGAGGGACTTTACAAACATTAATAATAATAATAACTTTTAGTTAAAATGACTCCGTAGCTCATATGTACGTTTGGCATCTCATTTTCAATCATGCTTAGAAACAGGTTCACTTCCATCTTTTATGACTACGGGAGTAATTCAACTACTCTATAAGTCTGGTAGTGCCACGGATCCTAAAAATTATAGGCCAATAACGTGTCTTTTGACTTCATATAAATTACTAACGTCCATTCTAAGAGTGAAGATAACATCTCATATCACGAACAACTCTATTATGTCTCACTCTCAGAATGGATGTAGAGGTGGGGCACGTGCCACTAAAGAGCTCCTTATTATTGACACGACTATTAACCAACAAGTTAACTGTAACCGAAAAGATCTGGCGACACTTTAGATAGATTATTATTATTAGGTGTTTCTATGTATAATAAATATGTATTAACAAACAAAAAGAATATTTGTATTTATATCAGTTGTCTAGTAGCCATAGTACAAGCTCTGCTTAGTTTGGGACTAGATGGCGTTGTGTAAATGTGGTTGACTTATGACTTATGACTCTGTGCCGCATACGTGGCTCTTGAGGGTGATGGAGTTGTACAAGATTGATACAACTCTATGCACTTTTCTGGAGACATGTACGCGGCAAAGGAGAACGGTTCTTTGCTCAAGGCGATAGCTAATATATAATGATTAAGCGGGGTATATTTCAGGGTGACAGTTTAAGTCCCTTATTTGCTTGGCTTTGAATCCTCTCAGCACCGTGTTGAAAAGTTCAGGGCTAGGTTATCGTTTGCAGAGAGGTTGTAAGATAATATCCCACCTCCTTTACATTGATGATTTAAAACTGTTCGCTTCTAGTAATTCCATACTGATAAATTTACTAAAACCTTTAGTGAATGTATCAAGATGGAATTTGGTGTAGATAAGTGTTTAATCATGAATGTTAAGAGAGGCAGGGTTGTGGAATCTGATATTTTGGAACTCTCAGATTCCAAGCACTTTAGGTGTCTCTCAGCTAACGAAACTTCTGGTATATCTCTCTGGGTATGTCAAAGATCAAGTGTGTTCAAAGATTGCTTTTCATCATCATCATCATCATCATCAATGCAACCAGAATGTGCCACAGCGAAGCGTGACAGGGTAGAGCTGGTATAACATCAATTGTAATATATGCATTTGCACTATCTTTCGTATATATAGTAGACTGTCCTTCGTCAAGTGTACTGTATTGTCCCGGATGTTTAGCTAAAAAGTATCCTTAGTGACATGCCTAATCAATTTAACTTTTCGGATGTGTTATGTTTGGTTTTGGTAATGTAATAACTAATAGAAACGTTAAATTAAAAATTTAAATTTACCTGTTTTTGGAATACTCACGCCTGTATATTTCTTAGTGGCGGACAGTGTGCTACACACTCGTGTGACGACACTAATGTTTTAAACTATGAAATATGAAGGAACCTTCCTCTGCAGAACATAATTCTAAAATCCCACTAATAACTATAATCTTTTTTGTTAACGTATGGGAATCCCCACGTTTGCCACTCACTCAAACACACAACACAACATTGAAACATCTTGACGTGTAGGGTGAGTAACGCCACCGTTTCAGGTGCTTGTGACGTCGAACCCACTGCTCATCACAAAAATCACGAATTCGCTTCTTCTGCTGTATGGGAGAGTCCTGATTCTTTTTTTATAAAAACCCTCATCTCTTTTGTATGCAACGAAAAACCTTATCCGTGCTGACTATTTCTTTCAAATACAGTAAGTACTTAAATATTAAGTATCAATATCGGTTAACATGGATCAATATTTTGCGTCCTACACCATGAGTACCCAAGGGTGGTCACTTTCGCCTCAGTGAATGATGGATGCACCTACTTTCACTCAAGTTTGCTACATAAACCTGAGCTAAGGTCAAAACCGCACATGCTGCGGTCATTGACATTCGCTTGGCAACTTTTACTGTAGCTGCAGGTCTTGAATTTTGGT